TCCGGGATAAATACACCATATTTTCCCAATCCCAGAAAGTTCTGTTAGTAGGAGACCTTAGCGGCAGGCACGTAAACTGGAACAATCACATCATCGGGTTAACAATCTTCAATTACGCTACTCATAATATGCTGGCGGTACACACTAGCGATACTCCAAAACATTTTCCTGCAAACGGTACCACCCCAACTTTCATTGACATTGTGCTCAATAAAGATATCACTGACTTCTTATCACCCATCGCTCCTATACAGGATGCTCCCAGTCTTGAAAGAGAAGTAGAGGACTTTACGGCTATTATTCAAAACGCCAGAAATATGGTGGTGAAATAGATAATCCTCAAACCACTCGAGGACCGTCTCCCCTATGACACCGCAAGCGATGGCAAAGGAAAAGACTGCCCATCTTAGTAACGTCCACACCCCTGTCCCCTATCCCCCCCCCCCCCCATTGAGGAATTACGAGCAGTCATTAAACCGTGATCATACAATAAAGCCTCAGGCCCTGATAATGTATATAATAATATATCTGATAAGGAATCTACCCCGAAAAGCCCTAATCAAACTACTCTACATTCTCAAAGCTATATTAGTGTTGCAGAACTTTTCCAAACAATGGAAAAAATCCATCCAATCCAATTTGCAAACCAGGTAAGGATCCCAAACTGGCCCATAGCTATCGCCCCATATCATTTCTCAATACTGTGTACAAAGTCGCAGAAAGGATCATACTCACGAGAATTAATTAACTTTGACGATAAAGACAATTTAAGACTGCATTTGATACCGTGTGGCATAGTGGATTACTGTACAAATTTTAACATGTATTCAAGTTGTCGCCAAACCTCACACGACTCATTGGTTCTTATCTCCAAGGCCGCACCTTCGCAGTGCGCGTAAATAGCACTTCCTCTGCTACAGGAGTTATAAACGCCGGAGTCTCGCAGTGCACAGTGCTTTCTCCAAGGCTACAAACATTGTACATAGCTGACATAGCAACACACCCGACGATTCAGATCTTACAATACGCCGAGGACATGCTTATTTACGCTCACTCCGGTCGTGCAGAGATCCCTAACAGACAAATCGTTTTTCATGGAAATTAAAATTGAATCCCAAATTGTCTTCACACGTAAATTCATAATTCAAATATTAAATATCCAAAATCCTATCATTGAACCAAAGACCAGGGTTAACTATGTAGGATTTACATTGGATCAACCACTTAGATTTGCCCCTCCTTCTCCTTCATACCAAACGCCGCATTCAGAAAAAAAGCGTGGCGATTCATAAACTGTATCTTCTGACTTGTGGAGGATTAGCCCTATCGATTCCAAATAAAATCCTTATCTTCAAAACAATCCTAAGACCTATCTTACTTTACGGTGTCCCCGTATTCAGCAGAGCAGCTCAACTACATTTCACAAAACTAAAACGCTACCAAAACAAAATCCTAAGACATGCCACAAACGAAGAAGGGTATGTCAGGATTCGAACACTTTATGAGGTCTCCCAAGCTCCTTACGTAAATAAAACCATAACAAGGTTTTTATACATCTAAAGTATCATTCATTTCAGCACTTTGCTCTGTTTTTTTTACAATTTTTGCATTAGTCACAGCTCTAAAAAAGATAAGTCATTGCTTTGCAATGCAATAATTTATACTTAGTCTTAGTGTCAAAATAGCATGACAACACATAGTAAACAAAAGTTATGACAATACCTTTCACTAAACTTAGGTCACACTATCGCTTTATAAAAAAAATGAAAACAAATTTATATAGTAATTGGTCAAAACTTATAACGAAAAACAATTTTCTCCTTTTTTTTTGCCCACCCGGTAAGTCTTAAGAAATTATTTTTATAAAATGGAGCAGGTGGAAGCAAGATTGTGTCTTACATGTATATAGTATCAACAACATCCCTAAATTATGCTAAAATTGCAACATATTGCTTAATAAATTACAAACATACTATTTTGGGCTATTTTTTTAATATGACTCAAAACAATGCAGAATTTTTTAAGGATAATTGCCTTTTAAAGTAATTTACTTAGCACAAAATTAGTCTCAAAACTTACCTTTACTGGCTTCCTGCATTTTCAATTTTGTCAAAAGCTAATTTCTTTAAAAAATCCCATGATTAGTCTATAATAAGGAAAACGTTCATTGCACTAAAATGTATAATGGGTTCATTTCAATAGTTTGGGTTCTCCCTGACCCACCGTGATATAGACTGTCCAAATCACCAAAGACTTGTTTACCAACACCTGCCAATGTTTAACGAAGACGTGTCAACAACAAATCACACCTCAATTACTTACGTCATATTTACAGAGCAGAAAATTGAAGTTTTCTTTTTTTTCGAATATCTCAAGTCGATATACGATACAATTCTTTTGAAAAGGGTTTTTACTAATATTAGTTTCCTTCCAATATAATAAAAACATCATCCCCGCACTATTATATTTGATATTGATATGAATTAATTAAAATCTCTGATACAGGAAATGCAAAAGCGCCATAACCTCGGAGTTTGCCGATAAGAGAAGTATCACAAGTCAGACTGAAAGGGCCTAAACATCCGCCCAAACGCTATATGTATTGTAAATATTATTGTATATAATATGCAAATGTGACTTTGACATGTATTCTAAAGCAATAAAGACCTTTGAAATAAAAAAAACATCCCGTCCGTTCTCTGAAGTTAAGCAGCATCGGGCGCGGTTAGTACTGGGATGGGTGACTGCTTGGGAACACCGCATGCCATTGGGTATCTCTTTTATTATTTTAAAAGTTAACTGTTAAATTTTTATATATTTTTATTATTATAGGAAGGAACGTGAATCCTGAACCGTGATTGTATGCATGCCGAAGATATTAATAACATTACCAACCACGAAGTTAACACAATCTAAGAATAGAAAAAGAATATTCTTTTTTTTAGCCTTGGAGCCCGGTTTGGAAAAATCCCTATCGAATCCGATAGCGACAAACAAAATTATTTTCTATAAGATTATGGCGATGCCATTAAGCTAAGCAAACAATTTTTCCCATAGCTTTCGATTTACTAGGACATGAAGTGCAGTTGTATTTAATGGTTTATTTCAATTTCCATGGGGTTGAGATCCGTCTTGCGTTAATTAAAGAACGTGCCAGATTTTCCTGAAAATAAAGAAATTCGCGGTTGCGCAGAGGTCGTCGGCGTAAGCACCCGAAATCAGGACTCCGCTCAGTAACGACGCGTCTGCGGGATTAGTCATGCGGTCTTAAAAGTCACACGTATTGGAATCGGACTTATTTTATTTCGTTGGTGGTAAGTTGCTCGCGGTATGGTGTGGCCAAACTAAATTCTTCTTCATATATAATCAGAACTAACTTTCCTTATTCGAATTTTAACGCATTTCTCTACAAACGACTTTAACAATAAAGGGAAGTAGTATACTAACCGAATTTTTAATGTCTACAGTATTCATCGTTAAAAATAATGTTATAACTGTTGTTTAAGTTTATTAAACACACTAAGTTTGGTCGATTCATTTAACTGGAGCTCTTTTTATTTCTTCAGTTCCTTTAAATAGGAAATCTCAAATATAGTTTTGCAATCGACGGTAAACAATAAAGAAAAAGCTAAGCGAAACAAGATAATCAGTTATTTCAAAATAGGGATTCCTTAGTCACTTTAATTTGATCCAAAAATAGTTTCTTAAATTTTTTAGTACATAACGATTTACCAGCCCTGTAAAAGTAGAAATATACCGTTGCCAAATAAAACGCTTACAAAAGTATTTCTTAATCACGAAGGAGTGAGTGTTTGAAACAATTCGATTTGGCACAATCTGGGTTTGTGCAACACAAACTGTCTGTTTAGTTATTTTTAAACCTGCGAGCTTTACTTCACGGTTAAGATCGTTTATTACAGACAATATAATAGGGAAAAATTGTGGGATGAAATAAACAGAGAAATTAATATAACCATACGTATTTAATTTGAATGCGGTAGAAAAACATTATACAAAGTATATATTTTTTACGAACGTCACTTATTTATACTTTTCATAGTTACAAGAATTTATAAAAAATCGTTACCCTTCTTTTTAGGTACGTGTCATACAAAATTCAAAAATATCTAGTAATAAGCCAAGCGATAATTTTATACCTGTTTCTTGAGATAATCAGGTGCCTTTATTTTCACAAATTGCTATAAGAATCTCATTTTTCTTCGGTCACATGAGGTAGCTGCCAAATTAAGAAGTGATAATCGCGAGCTGGACAGCCGTCTTGTGCATATGGCAGAACAGCACCTTAATTTATTATTTAATACCCACCAAACTGTCAACAGAACTGTAAATTTTAAGAGATAATTCAATCATATGTTAAATTTTATTTAGTTTGTTTAGTTGTAAACAGTTAAATATTTAGATTTACCCCAGCACAACAATAAACTAGATTTTTTTTTCCTTCTGATTATCAATGATTTATTATTTCTGAACCTATCTAAGACAATTCCCGATCTTTGAATATTAAGTCGGTTAATGTTTTACTTCCCACAATTAGGTGGTATTGTCTACTAATGTGTTTGTTCTCACCATTTACCAGTAAGAGGTTTAAAGCGTTAAAAAACTATATAACAAAGGTTGGGCGCAATATCCAATAGCTTCTATTATATATTTGGACTGCTACAATCTGCTTCCCAAATACGCTATTAACTGTTTCTTTGCATTTCCTCGTTCAGTATTCAATCAAGGTGTTTTGGACATTTTGGTCTATAGCCCTTTTTATGTACTGGTTTGTTCTTAAATTGTCACAAAAAACTTTGATTAGTTTTATTTTATATTATATAGTTTGATTTCTGGTAGTGTTGCTAATGAACGTTATTGTATTTGATATTTTATGATTTGTCGACCTGTAGATCAAAAGCAATGACATTGGCGACGATATTAGAACTCAGACATGCGCTCCCCGGTCGATCTCCAAATTCCAATGCAGATCAATTTTACTGTCTTTTAAATCCGTGCCAATGCGTCCTGCTGTAGCCTAGCGAAGTGCGTTTTTAAAGTTTATGTGCCTTAAATGGAACTGCAAAATTTGCGTCCGCGAAATTTGCCAAATCGTATTCGTTACTTTGGTTCAGTTGGTGACCATTTTGGCGCCAGGTGCATCTTGCTTTAGAATATTCGCTCCGAGATAATGCTTCGCGAGTGGCTCAATTATCTGTTGGTCGTGCTCCTGCAATATTTCTACACGCCCACCAGGTCTATTGATGGGTAAGTACCTGTGGGCCCGCGGTGTTTTGTCAATACCAATTTTCGAAAACTGACATGAACGTTTGCGTTCTTTTTTGTTTTCCAGTGATATCGATACGGTTTATTTGGCGGTCGTCGCGGCTTATTTCTTGGCTGATAATGTAGGTTGTAGCAGGTAAAAAACATTGTTTATTAACATTGTTTTGTCTATCGTCATCATCCCAGTGGCTGGGAACATTTCATGCATACACAGAACATAAAAAAATAAAACCGAAGAAACATGAGGAAGAATGTATTAGAATAAAACAGAGGCAGATGAAAATTGCGAGAAAGTAGAACACAAATATTGAATGCTAGAGCGAAGAAGATTTCTTTAAAAGATTTGAAAGGAAATATTGATACTTACGAAATTTTATTAATGGAAAAAATTGTGCTCGAACTGCATAAAGCAAATGATTGCATGATCGTGTATCAAGTTTCATCAAATCAGGAAAGTAATGCAAAATGAATTGCAGTGGAGACAAATAGCATGAAGTAAACTCAGAGAATGGGACTAACTACTGATGACAGATACTTAAAAACGCCAAAATTGCTAGCACAAAGACGAACAGCAGTACCAGAAGACCGTTTATCACTGCTACTTAAATACACTAATAATTTTCATAGTGCTCTTTTTTTACTACCGTTACGACTTCTCGTTTCACAATGACCTATCATGATCCATCTAGTGTTGCCGATCATCGGTCCATTGTCCATGTTCATTTCGTCTTTTCATTAGACATCCTGATAAATGATCCAAAAGTTTCTATTTCGTATTGAGGATGCATTTGCCTCGATAGAAAATTTTTCCTCTACATATAACCCAACCGGCATGTCTGATATTCATTTCGAGATTTTTTAACCTTTGCCAAATATTTGACTTCAATTGTACTAAATTATATTTCGTTATTAAATAACAGTCGCAGTCTTGCCAAGTAGTATCCAGTCAACCATTCCAACTGACTTCCGATCGGCATAAATAAAAATCTCGTATATATCAGATTAGCCCTGGAGAAGACAATTGCGTTTTTGTAGTTTAATAATTTGGCATACACACAGTAAACAGTAAAACAATAAATAAAAAAAAACTAGAAAAATTTTATTATCAAGGAGGAATACATGGAAATGGTTCAGATATGACCCAAATATTCCTGTAGGATAGCAAAGAAATTTAAAAACTTAAAAAACTTTTAGATTCTGGGAACTGATTTTAGGGTTTAGAAGTTTTTGATTTGGTTTTCACAGGGACGTTTCATTTGTGAATAGAAATGAAAAGAAATTCCAGAAACTTATTTTTTTTTAGTTTTTTCGACTGAAGGAAGGAATGTTTTTCAAAAGCTTTGACATTGTTCTGCATCCGGCACATATAAATATTCCTAACTAATTTTTCAGTGGTTCTTTTTTATTTTATCGATAACACTGACGCAATGTGCTTTAATATTTTCATAAAGCAGGGAATGATCTTCCGAGCATTCCTCTAAATTTCACACGCTAATACGCACTTTACGCCATTTTCTTTTTAAACAGCGATTTTCAGACGTAAAAGTATGTTATCTCATTTGAACGCCTCAAGGTTTTATTGGTTGAAATCGAGTTTCTCGATGTTGGCTTCAAAGATGTTACTAGCATGAGCAAGCGTTCTATATCTCTACCGAGTAGCTGTATGTGATATACATTTGACAATATCCAAATTTGAAAAATATCTGGAAATGCCTAAAAAAAATAAATTTGGTAGAAGGAATTTCATTAATTCTTATTTATTCAGAGGAGCAAGTGAATACGCAAACATTTTCAATGTAGATTGTTGACGAGTCGATAAGCTACTTGGTTTATTGGAAATTTTACGAAAAACAAAATCATTGTTACGAAAAACAGAAAACGTTGATAGGACGTTTTTACGAGTGAAAACAGGTCGTGTTTAACCTGGGTCTATTTTCGGTTTCGCGCATTCTGCTAATTCAGTGCAGAAAACTGTAACCCATTTGGACGCTATTGTTGTGCTCCGCAATAGACTAAAATTAAATATTTTTTCGAATACGCGAAACCCGGTAAAAAACCCGTAGAAATTGTGGACAAGAAGCGTCGTTTGGCGAGCGTCCAATGGATTTCTTCTAGCCAAACTCATAAATAAATTGTAGTAGTGAGATCGGTACCCGGCCCGGCCAAGTCCATGTTTAAATACGTTTGCGAGCTTGCAAATTTGTGCAACAAGCACTGGTGATGTTTTGGAAGATTTGGCGCAGCTTTAACTATAGATCTCTCCGGGCGGAATTTTATGACTGAATTATTTTATTACAAATTCTGATTTATTTTTGGGCTCTATTTACATTTAATGCCATATTAAAATTAAAATTGTTATTATTTTGACTTATTGATTAAACGCCTTATGGCACTAGCCCCATTTCCGAAGTGTCATTATTGAAGATAAAAATATGCTACTTGAACATTAAATTACAGAATTGGTTATTTTAAAACTTTGCCTCATCATAAAAGATTTTTCGACTTTGTAATGATAGCTTGTTAACGAAAATAATGTAGCACAATTAAAATCTTAATTCCAAATTGTAAATTATTTTCTGCAATAATATGTAATGATTCCAACTCAAGTTCAAGTTTTTTGATGGCTGAAATTTTATATATGTTATGTTTTTTGATTATTATATGTTTAAAAATTTAAAAAGTTAAAATGAAGTATTTTAAGGTGATGTGGGTGCCAACAATACTACTTAAACTAGAAAATGAAATTTTGTAACAATATATTTATATAATCCTTAATAAAACCTATTTCATAAAAGGCATATCAGAAAACAAAAAAATTATTAAGAAATATAAAAGTATTGATTCGAAAATCTAAAAGATAGTTTTATTGGGCTCTTAAGCATTTTGATAATAGATTTTAAATTTAACCGATCATAGCGGATATAAATTTTGCATAGCAAATTTGAAAATATTTTGCAAATGTCAAAACTGTAGAGTAGTAATGTACAAACCGCCACTTTGTATCCGAAATTTCCCATAAGGGGTTATACATTTTATTTATCCAAATACTTGATGAGCTTGATAATGACAATAATAAAAAAACTACGACGAATTTTAGCATAAATTCAAAATCCATAACTATACCGTTTTAAGCATGAATATTAGTGATTAGGTAGAACAGTGAATAGTAGAAGCTTACGAAGCTGATATATGGGACGGCTAATGCTGTCTTGTTAATTTTGCTACAGAAAGGAAACGAACGAAAATCTCAGAACTGGACTTTTTTCTTCATTTTTTTAATAAAGTTATTATCATTCGTTTTAATTTCATATTCCCTGGGAAATATTAAAGTTGGTTTTTATAGGTCATCCAAAACAAGCCAATCTCCATTTGGGTCTGAACCTAGCATAGCATACCGCAACATGTCTGATATGCAAGTGTCAGTCCCCGGCAGTACTGCAGTTAGTACTGGTTCGGGCAATAGGGAAGAAGAATCTGAATTAACGGAAGAGACTACACTCTCTGAGGTAAGCTCGCGCCAAACAGTTACCCAATTTGTAAAGGTGTTATACCTTATTTTTATATTTAAATTTAAATTTATATTTAAATATTTAAATTAAACAGTAGGGTATTAAAAACAGAGTAATTCATATAAAGCAAAGCACATTTGCAAAAATTTTATTACCATTATTTACATGAAATTTTGGCAACTGAGTAATTTCCTGTTTTAGAGTCCGAGCCAAAAAAGTTTAAGCGCCATTTTGATGGGCTTCACTGACACCAAAAAGAAAAGTCCTTTATAAACTTTATTAATTCTTAAAATGATTCTTAATTATGATAGTTGTTACTCGCCGCTTAATTTTTGATATTTGAAACAAAATCATTTCCAATTACAATTTTCCAAATTTTTTCATTTTAACTGAAAATGTCAAATTTTTTAATATCACTTATTAACAAAAATAATTTTTTCCATGGGTTGACAAAGTTGAAGATCTCCATTAATTTCAAAATCATAGCTAACATTACCGATGAATCGATGTACAATTTAACTTAAGAATATCTATAATCGGAGTATATAAAGGCGAGTTCTGAAATATTTGCATTTAATGATAGAGGGTCACAAAAAAGTAATTTTTACCTTTTTCGACGACACTTTTGCAGATTTTTTGACATTGCTGTTTATTGCGATAAAACTTTATTTTATCAAATAGTACATTTTTTATAAATGAATCTGACAAAACCCAACACTAAAAAAATAGAAAATCAAACATGGTGGACTAGGCGAAAATCAGTCCGCCTCCGCATTGCGACGTTTTAACTCAGTTATTAATTGGTTTCAATTACTCGTACTGCAAACATACATTACGTTTCTGGAAGAGAGTAAATCGTTCAACGCACAGAGGTGTGCTGGAAATATTTAGGCAAGCATAAATAATCCGGCATCATGCGTTCCGCATTAGTCACGCCACACGCATAAAAGCAGACTTCCTCTTCTACTTTGACTTCTAAATTGTTCAGTTTTATGATAAAAATTGACCATTGAAGAATTTTTGCAATAGCATGGGGAATTTTTGTATCGCAAAAGGACAAAGTTCACAAAGTACAAATTATACAATGTCCTGGTTCGGAGCAGTGCACCACAACTTATGCACATTAAAAAATATACTTAAGTTTTAACTTTATACTTAATTTTTTTCTTTTACATTCTAAAATTTTAATGTCCAAAAATCGCCGCTTCTCTTTTATATTGTGAAAATATTTTGCTATAACATCTCGAATGCTTCAATTTGTCAAAATATAAATTCTTCGATGTTCTGGTTCAGAATGGTCACACTTATACTGACCTACTGCACCACAACTTATACTTGTCCAAAACGTTGTATAAGTTGTGGTGCGATGATAGTTCTAACTTTAATAGACTATTATCTCTTTTTCTTTTCTTTCGGTAAATTTTATTGATAAAAATCGACCGCCGCTCCACTTTGCGCCAATAATTTTTTTAATGAAATCCAGAATATTGAAATCTCGAAATCAGTGGTCGTTTGGCTTCGATGTATTCAACTTTCGCCACAAGTTTTCGTTTTCGGATATCCAAGCTGTCACTGCGATGTCAAGAACCTGTCAAAAATCCAATAACTTCAGGAGTTGTGTGTATTTGTAAATTGTAAAAGATTTTTTTATTTTTAGAGTCGACTTTTATACATATAAATAAATATAAATAAATATAAACACTAAAGGAGTTGAATATTTCGTTTTGAATTGAAATCACTAAGCAGGTCTTCGAAAAACTTATTAACTTTTAATGATCAAATTGAGCTCGATTGCTTGTATTTCCTGACCATCGGTGTTTGTTTTATGTTCACGCAGTTTATACTACTTGCCTCTCTTTTAGCAGCGTTTATTTATACTCGTATACGTTCATATGTTCAAGTGGCGAAAGGCTTTACGGTCTGTTAAAGTTCTTTTATTTAAGTTTTTGTTTCATTTAGTATTGTGATTATTAACGCATATATTTTTCTCTCTAGAATGTTGTAAAAAATAACTCAAAAACTACAAACATATTTCTTACCGCGACACCTTTTTGACCCACTGTGCGGGTAATTCGTGTCAGATGGGTATGCGAAACCAAATTTCCATTGTTTTCAGGTACGGAAAGACTTGGGACACGCGAAAATGCACGAAAAGACGGCTACTTTCGAATCACAAGAAAACACGTCCATAAAAGAAGATCACAGAAGTCAGCAGACGGAGGCCTCGAAGAGTGTCATGCAGCAGGAAACTTGTACCATATCGGGAAACACAAAGGTAATGAGCTCGAAAATCGAAACCTCGGAAAGTTTCTCCATGGAAGAAACGGAAGAATACGAAATCGAAGGGTGATAGATATCCCGGCCGATCAGAAATTATCCATTCAAAATGTAACCCGCGATAATTTTTTGTTTTGATTATCGCTTTATGTTTTCAGGGTTCTCTACCAAATTTCACAAAAGAGTTTCTCATCTGATTTGGACCCTCCCCATTAACTTTAATGGATAGTTTCTGCCTTTGTTGTACTATATACTTCATTTTTCTTTTTTTTTCTTTCTTTTCATCGCCTTGTTGTCATTCACGTATTCACGCTCTGTAAAATATGTTGATTGCATTTATATCGGTAAGGCCTCGTATGTGATAACGAAAGATACAACAGAATGTATTGCTTTCTTGAATGTTTATACGGAACGTTATATAGAACTGGCGCTTTTCGTGTTTTGTAACTTTTTTTAGTTTTTAGTTGTGCTTCTTTGTCCTTACCTACTGTATCTCTTTCCAATAAAAATTTACCTTGAACTGTGTTGTTGATTTATTTTTCAGAACGATGGGCTTCAAAATGTTATATTCTCGCGCTGGTGTGCGCTCAGTTCTATATAGCGCTTCTCGTTTGCCGTACGTGAAAATGTAACGTTTTGAAGCTTCAGTTCCACTCTCGTACCACCTCTTTTCGGCTTTTTTACTTTATTTCGATCTATTTTTCTCCTCTTGCTTTTGTTTTTTAATGATGCGATTTACGAAGTAGAGGAATATCGGTGCCGTTCAGTGAATAATTCTTTGTTGCCAAATTTCTGTAGGATATCGGTATTTATATTATACAAGGCGATTCAAAATAAATTCGAGAAACTTAAGGGGGTGATTTCTTGTTCAAAACATAGCTGCAAATGTGCTGGAAAAATAGTTTTTTAAACGAAAAGAGAGAACAAGAACGTTTTTTGCAAATATTACTGATATAAAAACAGATTTCCTTTATATTTTTGCACTTTTTTAGAAGGAGTAGAGAGGATGGAAATAATCTACCATTATCATTCGTCTTAACTAAATTTTGATAGCCAGTTTAATAAAAACGCATTGGATGTCGAAAGAAGACATTTAAAGGTTGTTCGGAAAGTCATTTCGTTTTTTCCCGTCAGAGGACTTAATTACGTTTTTTCGAAACCAACTTCACACTTAAGCCGCATAACCATTATATGTCTTGAGAGCTGATATTGCAAGGCTTGTGTGTGAAAAAGTTCTATTAATTCTACGCAGTAGTTTTTGGTTGGTGCCCTTTTAAATATGGAGAGCAATAAGCAGCATTTTCGTCATATTTTACTTTTTTACTTCAGAAAAGGTAAAAATGCTGTCCAATCGAGAAAAAAATTGACGGATGTGTATGGATAAGGCGTGTTAACAGTACGCCAGTGCCAGAACTGGTTTGCAAAATTTCGATCCGGCAATTTTGATGTCGAAGATGCACCACGGTCTGGAAGGCCGGTCGAAGCTGACAAAGATGCGATAAAGGCATTAGTTGATGCAAATCGGCGAATAACCACACGAGAGATCGGTGAGAGATTAAATTTGTCGAATTCGACTGTTTATGGCCATTTGAAAGGCATGGGCTTAACCTCGAAGCTCGATGTGTGGGTGGCCCATGTCCTTACGGAGCGAAATTTGTGTCGTCGCGTTGACGTGTGTGATTCGCTCCTCACACGTCAAGAAAATGATCCATTTTTGAAGCGGATTATTACTGGGGACGAAAAATGGGTTGTATACAACAATGTTAAACGCAAGAGGTCATGGAGCAGAAAAGATGACCGGCTCAAAGCGTGTCAAAAGCCAACATTCACCAAAAAAAGGTGATGCTCTCCGTTTGGGGGAATGTCAAAGGAATCGTTTTTTTTTGAGCTTTTGCCGGACAATACAACGATTAATGAAGTCTATTGTCATCAACTGGACAAATTGAATGATTCACTTAAAGAGAAGAGGCCCGAATTAATCAACAGGAAGGGTGTAGTGTTCCACCAGGATAATGCGAGACCTCACACAAGTTTGGTCACTCGCCAAAAACTTTTACAGCTTGAATGGGACGTACTGCAACATCCACCATATTCTCCAGATCTGGCGCCTTCCGACTACTATTTGTTTCGGTCCCTGCAAAATTTTTTGGATGGCAAAACCTTTACCTCAAATGAAGATGTCAAAAACCACCTGAACCAGTTTTTTGCCAGCAAGGATCAAAACTTTTATGAGAGGGGAATTATGTTACTGCCAGAAAGATGGCAAAAGGTGTTGGACCAGAATGGTCAATATATAATTTAATAAAATATTTATTCATTATACGAAAACTGTCTTTCATGTTCCCCAAAAAAAACGAAATGACTTTCCGAACAACCCAATAGTTTTGGTTGACTAAACTAGTACGTATTAATTTAAAATCTTTGAATAAATAATGGTTTTAAGATAAAAAATAAAACACTTTTTATAAAACTTCTGGATTCCTCCTGCGTCGGTTTTTGTTAGCAAGTTCGACTCAACAAAAATTGACGCAGAAGGAATCCAGAAGTTTTATAAAAAATATTACAGTAGCTTGTGGAGGTTTATTTGAAAAAACAAAAATAAAAAATAATAAAACCATTTTTTTGCCGTATTTGTAGCGCGATATCTCCATAATAACCCAACGTTTTTATAATAAACAGTCCGTTATTTTGAGTAAGAAATCAACCCCTTACGTTGGTCGAGTTTGGTTTGAAACACCCTATATATGCTTTTTTTATCATTCGACATTACAAAGTTTTACATTTTCGAAACTTATGACGAATAAACTTTTTGAAATTTTATCCGATAATATCCGATTCGCTAACAACAGTTTCTCGCAATTTAAAAAAGAAAATAAAGTATAGAATAAAAATACAAAATGAATGTGAAACTATACAGCAATAATTTTAGAATCTTAACAAACAAAATGTCTACACCTATATATTATTGCAGTACAATATTCATTATATGTCGTGTCTGTCGTTTTCATTTTAAGTACTATGTAAAAATTTCAACACAAGACACCCAATTCTATCATACTCTTTAGGAATTTGAAAATTTATTTTTTTTTAAGTGTCTTTAAGGCATTTCCTGAGAAATCTTCCCGTAAAAGAACAGCCCTATTAAAAACATAATTACGTATAAGTTTTTCAGAAAATTATTCCTGCTCTGGATGTTAGCTGAGAGGCAGAAGAGGTTGGTAAGTTCGTTGACCTGAATAATATTTAAGCTTCAAAACGTTACAATAATATAAAAAATACAAATACGAAACGCCTGCTATTCTACAGGACTGGGAAGAAAAACAATCAACAAGAAGGCCCCATAGCTTATACGAGCCACTAGAATCGATCAAGCCGTTTGAACCTTTAAAGCCTTTCGAACCTATCAAACCTTTCGAGCCAGTAAAACCATTTGAACCGCTACAGCCGTTCGACGCACCAAAATCGTTTCAGCTTACCAAACAAATAGAAACGCAAAAATCTGAAAATTCGCTTAAGGATATTAATTCTTCTGTGAATTCTACTGTGCAGGATAACGTCGGTAGTCTTCCTCTTGGTTACGTTCCCGTCGAGCCTTTATCTCCACTAATTCTATCGGATTTAGAGCCGAAATTGGAGAGTGGCAATTCATTGCCACCACTAATAACATTCACAGATTTGTCGGTTAACAACTCGGCTGAAATCAAAGAGGAGAATATTAAAAATACCTTGAGAGAAATTATTTCTGATTTGGACTCGTACGCGGAGAAAGATAAGGAGGTGAAACGCGAAGGTTTGGAAAATGGTAGCGCTCCAACGGCTTTAGCTCAGTCGTTTATGAGAAAGGTAATACTTGCATAAATTTATTTCCAATCAACCTCACTTTTACAGAATATCTGTTAGATGTTTAATTGATAACTGCTACACCAATATTTTATTAACCTTGATGTCGCATGCTCGTTGTACTTTCAGAAACATCCAGATAACAGTCAGAAGGAATCATGGGTGGCAAGATTGCCTTCATGTCTACCAAACACTATAACAAAACATCGACCATTATCCCTTCCTCCCGAAAACACACTGAGTCGTTATCATTTCACAGAGGTATATCACCAGTTGTCATACTTATACTCCCATAGCGTAAAGGATGGATTTATTCAGTGTAGTTCTCGCTCAATATTATCGAGATATACATTGATGAAAAAACATGGTTTTTAAGATATTGAGTTGAGGGAAATATGTGTCGCGAGGTTTCGAATATTCAAGATAAGTTGAACCGAATCATTTAACAAACTTCTTATTATATACGTTTTACAGTAACACTAGCAGTAACTATCCACTAAAAGTGATACATAAATTTATCTTCTACGCTATTACATCTAGTTTAATGTCTGTGTGAATAATTTTTCTTTTATACTTTGCTCTCAAAAGGTACGTACACTAACAATAACAATTCGATAAGCTACACCGTTGGCTGGAAAATTAAATGTTTTTCTGTTCTAGATGAATGACGAACTGATCAGTAAATACGGAAATGAAGATCGCGGTCAGGTAAGACAGATGCTAGGAAAAGGCAATACTGATTTAATAAAATTTAAGTATCTATATAAAAGTATATTTATAAAAACTAACCAAATCTTATGAAACCAATGTGTGTGCGTATTTTTAAATTTTAATCTAACATTTTTATATTCCTACTGTGCGTACCTAAAACATAGGGTGGTTCTCAAGTACTTTTCGTGGTAATTTTTTTCCAAATACTGGAAAATGATAAATTTACATTTCTAATTTAGGATAAGAACATGGTGAGGGTACACTACTAAAATAATGAAGAACATGTGACCAAAGTGGGGCTGCAATTGTTAATGCTTGTACAGTTTAGCTATCCTCTTATTTTACACCCAATTATGCACGGATCAAGTACGCGAACAGTGTCACTTTAGGACATCAGTCTCTTTATCCACCGTAGCGAGACACTTTGGTCGTTTCCGGTATTTTAGCACTTACTTCGTTCTTGTCAAATTAAACTCGTGTACTAATCATAATATATTACTTTCAATCCCCTACTCTAAAATATCCAATTATGGACTACTCAAATTTACTAAAAGTGTTCCTTTAAGACGTCAGCTTCCTTAAACATGGTCGCTAGTTATTTTAGTCACGGGTCTGGGACCGACTGGATGAAGATTTTGGCCATGGTATCTTGACGTTTGTCGATTCTCATGGAAAAATAGAAAAATTATATTATTCACTCGTTTATTAAATACTCACCCCGCTGCGCCCTTCTCGTGCCTAAACAACTTGCGACTAAATGGTCGTTTTTAAAACTTGTTGCATCCTATCGTGTTATTTTAAAAAGGTTTAGCATAAAAATAGACAATATAGAACTGTTTGAATGTTTTGGGTTTAAGTTGGTCATGTAGTCTTAAAATAAGCGTTTGATCGCCATGAAAATAATTGACGTTTACATATTAGACTACCGAGATAACATCGACGTAGTTAAAAATACGAGGCAGATGTTTTTTGGTGCAAAAGGAAAGCCTATTAATATCGCATACACTGAACACTGCGCGAATTCTTAAATAAAACATTTTTTTCTAAATCTTTGCTAAAGTGCAATTTTAGTTTTAACTAGTTAGTTTAGTTTTTTTTATAATTTGATCCCATCTTCCGTATTCCTTCATCTAATTCTTCGGCAGCACCCTTCAACTTCCAATATCAATTCTAAACATACCACATTTCAGACCCAATCCCAATTGTAATCTTGTGAGTTTTATGTTTTATTTACATCGCAAATAGCAGAAAGAAAATAATAAGGTGCGTGGACGTATGAAGTGAGATACAGCATACCTTTTCTCTACAATTTGCTGAATTTACTAACTTATTCCGGTTTTATGTTATTGTGTTTATTTCCGCCGTTATTTATAATCGCCGGCAGACTTAACAATATCCATTTTAAATTATTTATATAACGTTTATCGCTGATAGGTACCTTCGATATTATTGGAAATGATCCAGGAACGGACCAAATGCGTCGACTGTTGTTCCTGGCAACTTATTTCGGGACTTGTACTTGGCTATATAGATTTCATACGATCAGTGTTATCAAAGTTCGTTAGTAATTGCCATGGGAAAAACGAAATTTCCCCAAAGCCGTTTGTAGTCGCGGTTTCTGCGGCGCGTGTGTTATCGAAAAGTGGTGGCTATTTTCGGACCTAAAGTGACGCGGCGAATTAAATATTCGGACGGGGAATTTATCAGAACATCGTGGGTGTAAACGCGTTGAGTATTTAGGCCGTCTCGAAATTGACGGGGGCATAAGTTCGCAAACACTTGATGACCGTTATTTCTTTGAAAAAAAATTTTGCGCGATTGGGAAACGAAAATTCCGAGACGAAATCTAAAAATAATCATCAGGAAAATAACTTAAAATAATTTTTGACGCAAACAAATGAACCAACAACAGATCAAGCGAGCAGTTCGGTTTTATAAAGCATTACCGAATTAACTCTAATTATATTATTTGAACGGGGAATAAACAGGCTCTTATTTTTGACTCTCCCTGTATTGTCACAGTAAACGAAAACGTGAAATTAAAAAAAAAAATTAGGAAACAAGTGGACCCTAAACGATAGAGCTTCGACGTAAAAAATCTCTATCTCTGAAAGGAATCGTTAAGGAAACCCTTTCCTACGCTACAAAAAGTGTTGTGAATTGCAAAAAACAATAATTTTATGGAAAAAGAAAACTAAACTATATGACTTTTTTTAGATAGTCAAATAAGGACTCAATAAGCCAATGAAAATACCTTCAGGTTATCCCGTATCTGACATTGCTACGTTAATCATTTTTCAAATATTTAGTATAATCAGTTATAATTTCATTAAAAATTAGGTTAAATATTATGTTTTATTAATTATTGACGTATTTAAGCAGTAAACTGGAGAAAATATTTCCAAAAAAACAATAAATCATCTCTTTTAGATTAAAAATGTGTTATTTATCGTAACCCAGTTCATAACAGAAATAAACTCGTTGCAACGAAGAACATACTGATTATTTTAATAAAATTAGTAAGTCTGCAAAAAATTAATTGCTTTCGTTAGTAAACTAAGTAAACGTTACGATTGGTTGTCGTTCCTTAATTAAGAGAAAAGAAATATTATAAAATAAAATAACCACTTTGATAAGAACAAATATAAATTTTATTTTAATATGAGAAAAAATAACGGTCGTAGCTATTTTATTTGAGGTGCCGTTGTTTTATAAACGAAACTTTTTAATTTAATGGAAAGAATATGGCTTGCTACCTACAGAGAAAGTCAAAAATAATCTGTACCTGTTCAAGTCCTGTCTACAGAACCCTGTATCACACCTACCTGTAATCCGGTATTCATGGCGCCTTGCAATGACATTAAACTTGGATAAATATAATAACTCAAGGGTTATATTTATAGCCGTGTGGTGACGTTTATTTATAACCGACGCGTCTAAGGGTCAATTTGCCGCATGCAATGCATAAAAATTGCTTAGCGTCGGTCGACATCATAAAGGAATTTCTGTCCTGCAAAAAACAAGATTGCATGCATGCGGATCACCCTTTCCTAGATGCAACCCCTTCAATGGGTGTCGGTTGTAGAAAAGTCACCGAAATGTTCACCTTATCTACAAAGTTTCATTCATTCATTCAATAATTATCCTCACCAGAAAGGAAATTTCTTTCGAAAATATCCAATTGGTTTGAGTAATTTAAACGATGAGAATTATTGCGAAAACCATCGATTCGAAGAGCCAAAGCTCTTCGTATTCGTATTCGATGTCGAAAAGTGCAAGCAGTTCAAAATTTGTACGTTCTTCGGCTCCTTCCACACCTTCCGACCGCCAGCCTTCATCCAGTTTCGGTTTACTGCAAAAATCTCAAAGCATTACGGACGTCGTCGAATCGGAACGGTGCTTCAAACCGTCAGATCGAAATGATCCCAGCAAACGCCAATTTCTGACAAACCTCACTCAGAAGGTGTTCAAAGTTGGTGTGGTAAGTTTAGATCGAAGAAACAATGACCAAATCTTTTCATTATGGTTCGACAGGTTTTCGTATGATTGTTTGGAGCGTTCACAACGACGTACTGCTTAACTTGATTCACTTGTTACTTAATGTTGCTAAATTACCTCAAGAGTAATCAGTTTTTCGTTACCTTTTAAGAACCTGTAGTGTCTAATAGCTGAAAAATGCAGTTTTTTACTGCTCTTGTGAATATCAATTCCGGCAACATAATGTTATTATAATTTTCTATGTGACCCGCCTATGAAATTTTCGATGGGTTCAAATTATTTAAGTCATTTTTCCGCAAAATTAAAAGTAATTTTAAAAAGTCAGTAAATTTATGAACAGACTCTATTATTCATAAAATTAAATGTGATGGCAAATGTTAGTTTTTAAAAAATGCATTGTTGAAACGTGTAAAGCTGTTAAATTAATTGAATCAGTTTGATATTTCTGGCCTCCGTACATTGAGAACATGGAATATTCAAAAATCTTGAAACCAGATCGAGATATCGTCATTAACTAAGTACATTTGTTAGGCAGAAAATTTAACTTTACAGGGTAGAAAATATAATTCATCATTAAGCACGAGAGCAATCCCTGGAAATTAAATTCAAATTAATATTTTCTAAAAAGAAGTTTCTTTTTCAAATCTTTTTTTTCGCCGACACCGCTAATTATTGAACAAATATTTCTAATTTATATTGTCACCTGTCCCTCAATGTCGAATAAGTTGTGCTATACAAGCAAATAATGTAATTCCTAATGATTTATTCTTCAACTCTCTTATTCAAAATTAATATTATAATATTTTATAATATATTTTATTCTCTAAAATTTGCTAAAACCAAGGATTCAAATTTATGGTGTAGGCGCAGGGAATAAGTAGCTGATTTATAGACTTCTATTTATCGTATTACATTATAATAAAATACATTTAAATATTCTTCCAATCCTTTTTTTTGTTGGTATTTTGGCTGGCGATTGTGGTTGTTGAAGTTTCGTATCCTTATTATATAGGTTCGCATTAAAATATTGATCCGAGCAATTGAACACACACACTTAATGGAAAATAGAAAATTGCATGCAAATAGTTGCTAATAAATGTGAAAACAATAATCCTAATACTTGCAAAACCGATTTTATCGTCAAAAAAGTGGATTTTCACTCATGGTTTTGATGGTAGCGTTTTGCTAAGTACAGTGTGTTCCAGTAGTACAGAATTTTTAGGGATATCATTTTTACGTTAAAATAATAATGATCGATTTATAGTGTCAACATTTGAAGATTTCTTTAGTTTTTTCTTTTTAATTGACTTTTAGAATATACATGGATATATTTATAAGTCATTCGTCCTTTTTTTGCTCTTAACTTTTTTGCGATTTTTTCGCGCATATCTAATTAGGCTTTTGGTCTTCACTAACTATAATTCAGGTCTGTTATAATAGGGAAATAGGAGGACATGCTATTTCTATGTTGACTTTTTCGTTTCTATTGGAGTAGTTATTCATTTTGTATTGTAATATGTAATATGGATATGCACTTAAAATCTAGGTTCTGAATTTATTTGTATTTCTTTAAAAATTCCGCCAGCTGTAGACAGTAGTGAAAAATATTGGGTAGCAATTTTCGAAACATGGCGGCGATAGTTTATTTTCGGTTTGCTCTAAAGCGAAAAATCGATTACCGACGGTCGATTGCATCATAACTAAAACTAATAATATAAACAAAACGCGCAACAACGCACATGGCTTCGCGTCGAATTTTATAATATCGGCGTCGGCGAAGCTTTCAGTGTTTCCGCTGGTTCCTTAAAAACGCCGGTCGGTGTGGAAATTCTAGATTTTCGTTAGACGCGTCCGGGTTTTTGGTATATTCGTCCGATTTAGCGTTTCATTTATTTCTGGTTTAATCGGCTTTATTTTGGAACGCGTACGCGCCGTTTTATTTTTAACATGTTCCTCGGTGGCGAGATATACACGATCAGTAAACACAGGGAGGAAATTTTCCAGGAAAATTTCGTGAACCGAAACGGCCAAAAGTTCAAAAAAGCGGAGAAACACGTGCATTTCGAAGTAGGTCAACACGGTCAGCTTTTGAATGGACTAACCTCAACTTTCTAATACGGGATGGGTTATTAATTATGCGCCGATACTTAAATGGGTGAATGTTTCGACTATTTCAAGAATAAAAGTTAATATTAACATATAAACCACTTTTTTCTCTGCATGGTTTAGGAAAAAAAGTGCGATCAGAAAATCAGGCAAAAGAAAAGCATAAGGCGATGCCTATTGAGACAGCAGCGTAGCGACAATATGAGTGGAACAATGCATCAATATAATTGTGCCTCTCCTTTCATATTACAACGTAAAATTCAAGATATAATATAATATTACACTTTACTGTATATACAACCTAACATTTGCAGTACCTTTCTCATTTTTCGTTTGACATTAATAGACGATACTGCTGCATATTATTTATCCGATTCGGCTGCTTTTCTTATTTTAATTAAATTAACTAATTTGATCAAAAACCATGCAAATTTTATTTACAGTTTCTTTTGTCCATATCGTAGGTTGCACAATGTAGTTCGCAGAAATGTACTGTGTCGATTTAGAAAAATTACTAGAAACTCCAGAAATTATATATCATGAGACATAGAAACTCGCATATCTGAAAAATATTTACCTTTGATTAAAACTTTTTATTTCAAACCCAGTTTTTCAGGTGTATTGTATCCGATTATATTTTTGAAAGTGTTTTTATATGAAAGGGATTGAAAGTTTACTATCCTATTACAAGTTTTTATTTGATTTTGGCAGATACTTAGCGCTCAATTTCTTCTTACATTCTTGTAACAGTATTTTAATGTATTATTTGAACTAAACTGGGCCGCAGATGAAGTGGGACAGTCCAGAATTTCCTTAATTTTTACTATGTTGGCTTGTATGTTGAATGTTGGATTTTAAGCCAGTAGTGGTTTACATATAGCGATAGTATTTAACAAATAATTTATGAAAAAAATGGTCAAAGAACCTTACTAATACAATATTTTTTGAAATAAATCTTATAGGTGACAAAATATAGAATATAAAAAATTGCAGAAACTATTTTCTTTTTTACTAAATTTTTTTGAACGACGAAATTAAACTCAAACTTCATGGAGAATAAATCGTTTTAGTTACAACTCCTTTTAACAGTTTTTAACAAAACCAAAAATTAATTAACAATAGTAATTTTATAATTTTATTAATCCCTTTTCTGGTCAATGTAGCTCAACGTTTAGTTCTTATTTTCAAAAATAAACGGCATATTTACCTTAAGATTTTCGCTGCCCTACGTTAACGTCCTGAATAACCAGGGAACCAACTCTTCAGCTTGAAATTTTGGTTATACGAATGAAACTCGAACACAAGTTTTGAGTGGTTTGAAAAATGCGCAATTTGCCAAAGCTGCATTTTTACCGAATGTTCCTTGGAAAGTTCGAAAAATAGTGAAAGGAAGAAGAAACTCGCCATTATTCTTTGTTGTCATTTGTCAAAAATTAAATAAAATAAATAATAATTAAATAAAATAGAATCAAAATTGCAAAAATACACATTCCTTTTGTGTAAAAGAAACGCTACCAAAAACGCACATTATTTTTGTATGGTAGAAAGTTTTTCTATAAAAGTTTGCTTTGGATTTTGCAGCATTTGAAATAAATTTCCCACTTTACCTTAGCCTCAATACTAAGAGCCGAAGCTCGGGAGGGTGGAATAAAATACGGCTCTAAGTATTGATTAACTCCCTAATAAGAGACTTCGTAAGGCCATACATTTTTACGAATTTTCTCTCACTAACGAGGGAGGTCAAAAGTCTTTCCATGCGGCGTTCTTCTAAGAAGAGCCAAATCGCCCAAGCTCGCCACAATTAATATTTTTAAAAAGAATTTTCAAATCCAAATCTACCGACAAATACATGTGCTGAAGAATTGGAAAAATAACAATCATTCGGAATCTGCCGTAATCCGTATACGGATTTATTTCAAAATTGGCTCCCAGAAGCTATTTTAAATATTCTATGAAGTTTCGTACCACTGGCTGAAAATACCACATGGGCAATCGAAATTCAGTTTATTCTAGTCAACAATTGAACGTTTTGTTTCATATAAAACACTGGAGTCCAGTTCAGTAAATTCTGACTCGGTATAAATCGTAAGCATTGAGTTATGTGACATTTCCATTCTTATCTTACAGGATGAAAACGCCCCTCCTTCCAAACCCATCAATTTGGAGAAAATATTCACTCCCGCCGATGGGGAACAAATCCAACCTAGAGCAAACAGTAAGTAGCGTACAATCCTAAAGGATTAGGTTCGGTTCAGTCTGTGTTCAAATCATGGGATATTTATGAAACTTTTTCAATGCTACAATAACAAACATATTGAACACAGCGGAATTGATGTGTAAACATCGTAGAAATTTTAAATTAAAGTTTGTTCCGCTACGATAGACCTTTCATAAAACCTTGCATGCAGCGATGAAACTTAAAAAAGTGAGGACTCTATCTTTTTTTGTGACATCGTACGACAGTAAATAAAAGTTAAATGTCAAGCATTCCTGATTTTCAGGAAAAATGTTTGCGTCATCGGCATTCTACGATAAGGGTTTTCATCCCACCGTCGAGGACCAGGTTCAATTGGCGAAGCGAATATCGAGTTCATTGAGCGATATCAGCAATCAGAGCAGCAAAGGCCTGCAGATGTACGTCAACAGGAAGAAACGATCCGTCAAATGGGTACACGAAGGAGAAGGTACGGCAACTGAATGACATTAACATTGTTCAATGAAATCAGTTATTAAATTCCTGCGGCATATTCCAGTCAAGAAAGAGGTCTTTTTAAATCTGGGATATTTCTTCATTCAGTTAATCATTATGGCAAAGAGCAGGATATGAAATGGGATCCTTCATAAAAGATTTCATAAAATAAAAATAAATATAAAAAACAAAGTCAATTTTTTAATTTCGTATGCTTACACATCATGGGAAAGGTTTTTAATGACCTTGTCAATCTTAAACTTATACTTTCTAAACTTAAAAGTGGCATGCACGAAATAACTTTGGGGTTAACGGACTTGAATTTAGCTCGTCACATTTTGGCACAGTTTTCGCGTTTTGCAATGTGACGAAGATCGGTTTTGCCTTTGCGGTTTCATATGGTGCGTCGCAATTAAATATCTTTACCATGGCAATAGCGCCCTGTCGAAACCACGAAGCCAATCCCGATGTACACAATTCAATCGGACGAAATACTTTGATCTAAAAAAAGAAAGAGTCTCATCAGTGCCAAGTTTTGTACAATGGTTGGTATCGACGCGCATTTTGTTTTATTACCATTTAATTATAGCGTTCATAAATGTCAATTGCACTGGACGGGGAAATGTAGGTCTCGTGGTTTATATTTGATTCCGGCCACTTTGCTCCAATAAATGCACTAATTACTCCTCGGTTGGCAATACATCGCAGAAATATCGGACTGTAACAACTTAATAGTCTTCGACGATAGCGTTAAGCCGAAAATTATCCGGAAGGGAAAAAGGCCTGCAAATTTGGCCACTATCCATTCACGATTCGTCCAGAGACGTACTGGATTATACGCGATAGGGTCTCGACAACCAAAGTAAATGCGAATTGCGGTTGCCCTAAAAAAGTTACTTCCATAGTTACAGAAATTTTATCTAGATTCGTCTCTCTGATTAGACTCCAAAGCTTTGATGGGGTCTTTGGTGTAAGTCGGTGCATTTGGTCCTCCTCTTCTGCATTTAGTGTTTTCCTCCTTAGTGATCGAAGATGAAAAAATAACGTTTTGCCCGAATACACAGCCGAAATTTCACCACAGTTCAAATATCCCGCCTAAAGTGGTTTAGAAGCGGCACTACTATACCACTACACTAGATCTAGTACATATTACTCATACACTCGTACATGTTCTCAAGGTTTCATGTTTTTTTATTTTATTTTTAAAATTCTTAAATAGCAAGTTTGGGACTTGATTTGAAATTTAAGTTGTATAAACTTTGGGTCAAGAGAATTTTTCATGCTTTTAGTGTATTTAAATTTCCTAGTTCGAAGCAAATTTGATGAGGAAATGGGCTATTTATGACTATCTGAGTGAACTGAAAACAAATTTTTTGAGTTATGAATTAACACCAAGATGCTGAAATATCGGTTGCCAATGGTCTCTATGTCCTGCGTTGGATATAATTCTGATCGCACTTTTTTGCATACGAAAAATTTTTATGGCATCTATTGAGTTTCTCCACAGTATAACAGCATACGACAAAATTGAATGAAAAAAAGCATAGTAGCTCGAGAATGAATAATCTTTTCCGATTAAATTTCCATATGACCGAAGAGATCTTAATATAAACTAAAAACAATAATGGTCCCATAATGAAACCCTGTGGAACCCCGTGCATTACATTTCCTTCTAAATACAAACTGGTTTAGATTTATCAAATTATTTGACTCAAAAAAAGTAATTGGTACTTTTTAGTAAAACTGTGGAAACTATTGAGATAATTGATATGGGTCGGTAATTATTAAGATCAGAGATTTCACCTCTCTTATAGATTTTCACAACTTTAGACGCTTTGAAACTTCCGGATCTATTCCAGTGCGGAAACACCTATTTATTATGTCAGTTAATTCTTCAATAATCACACTAAGTCTAAAACTTTTGAACTATTAAAAAAAAAAGACTTTTGCTATTGCTTTTACTTGAAGTGGTCGTAACTTTGAGTGATGAGCAAAGAAAGGCTATATTTCAAAAAATGTGTTTATATCATCCAGACGCGAAAGAGCTAAGTAACGTTAATTATCATATTGGCAACCAAAGCTTAGGCGCAGCAGAATGTAATTTTAAATGTGGGTCTATTAGATATTAACTGAAATTAGAAAAAAGTTGAATCGATTTCAGTTCTCCATTTGGAAGCAAACCTAAGAGCAATACTGCGTGTATTTAGTTTTTGTTAGTCAAATGGAAGTAGGACAACTCGGTTTTCAGTCAATTTAGGTGGTTTGGCGAAAAGTAATTGTCATAAATGCAAGAAAGGCATGTGCGCAGAAGTTGCAGAATGTCTGACGAAACTTCAAAATTTTCTTTTAAATCGAATAAATAAAATAACAGAATACACCCCAGCACTTTTGTATTTGTCATGTTTTGATACAATTATTTACAATAATATACACTTATTACAGATTAATATTAATATTGGGATTGTCTTTTCCTCTTGATAGAAAAATGTGAAAATAATAAGATTTTTTTAAAGACTGCTTTTTTTTCAACAACCCTGCAATTTAGGTATAGGGACAAGATGTATTAATGCGATTTTAATTTTCTGCCAGAATATTTCATAATGAGAAGAATATTCAATTCGAAAAAAAAAGTTTTTTTTTACTGCTTTTACTTTTCGGGTGAAAGGATCCTCTTCCTTCTAAAGGGATTTAAAGATTTATAAAAAGTTGTTAATTATTAAGTTCCTTTCGATCTGGGTGTAGTCGTAAATATGCGCGGAACGCTGCAAATCCAGCAAAATTTGCTGCTGTATATCACGCATCTCACTAGGAGGGAAAAGATTACGGCGCCACGTAAATTTGACAAATGCTAAGACAAGCTTGCTTAGAAGAAATTGGCAACACCATAAATTTAATTTTATTGTAAAATATATTGAAGTAGGTGGTGGAGAATTCGAACTTTTGATTTGAAGGTTTTTTTTTATTTCCATTATCAAAATTGTTATTGTTAAATATTGTTCTTGGTGCTCCCCATACCTTTTCATTTTTTAAGTATTTATAAAAATAAAAAAAATACCTTTTTAACTTTTTAAGTAACGACGGAGTTAGACAGCCTAAGAAAGAGTATACTTTTTCAAATTTTCTAACCTAAAACTGCCAATTTATATTATCGTACTATAAAAACTTCTCAGTTGATCAGAAAATGTAGGGTGATATTTAAACTTTGAACGTCCTATATCTCCGAAAACATAGATGAGAGTCAAAAATCTATGAAAAAACTTGTAATGTTTTGTTATCCGTGAGGAACCCCCCCCCCCCCCACTCATACATTAACGTTATATAGTAAACATCTGAATAGTCTATTAGGACTTTCATTATCCACCTGAAATATTGCCCGAATTTATATGGTTTTATGGGTTCATTTTCTCCGTATTCCTATGGACGACCCTTAAATTTGGTCGCACTGGACAGAATCCCCTGTTTTATTCCTTCTCAATATTTAGAATCAGACTTTAAGGATAAACGATCCGGATCTGGATTTAGAGACGGTTGTGTAACAACCAACGCATCCATACCAAAAATATATTTAGATAACGCGCTGCTGTTTGCACCGACGGATAATTTTTTGGAGCAGTGCTTGTTGGCTCCTACGTCACAGCTCAATTATCTGTGTAATTGACCGGTTTACCCAATTCGTCTGAGGGTTTATTTTTAAAAGACGAGAAACGCGAAACAAGGTCAGTTTTTCACACTCTCATAATTATTTCCGGGTTTCGACGACTACGTGCCAATGCTTCCGATGAACCATATTTCCATTCATCTCCTGCGAAATAAAAGATTGCAGGGAATTCCGATATTTTTCCAGGCAAAGCTAACATCAACGGTTCAGAAACTAACGGCGATGGCTCCGGCAAACCAAAAGACCCCCTCAAGCTGGTTATGAACCCCGCTGGACAGGTACAAGACATCAACACATTGAGAAAGCAAGGTCACACGTTCGAAACCATCCTCTCTCCGGAAGTTTGCTTGGAAATCGTAAAAGATTTGAATTCGCCAAAAGGAAAAGGTGAGTAACGCGAGTGCGACATGTTGGCGACAATTGACTGGGTTTTAAGGGGCGGAGTTATTTGCGAAACGACGCAAGCGGTCAGAAAAGTGGGTGGTTGGAGAGACTAACGGAACTCGACCTTCGTCCACGTTACCGGATGCTATAGCACCATCTCCGACGCCAATTTCAAACCCTTTGCCACCTCTAAATAATTTACCGCCGTTGAGTTATTTACCGGAAACAGCACAAAGGTTGCAGCATAAGGAAAAACTAGACGAAATACAGGTAGGAGTAAATATCACAATAGCGATGAGACGCAATACAGCTCTGTAAAAGCGGAACCAAAAATCATAGTCATAAAAGTTCTTGCTGATTTTTTTTACACTATTTAACTTTCAAGTTGTTTGCTAAGGGGATTTCGTTAGCAGTTCTGTGTTCACCAAATTATCATTGTTATGATCGTGATTTTAATAAATAAATAACTAGGGGTAAGTGAAAAAAAAATTAAATATGTAAAGAGGAAAAATCAGATCATAGTTCAAACACAAGAAAAATAATTGCAATCGACAAAAAACTCACATCATTTCTTTCTTGCAATACCAATTCTTAAAAAAATCGTAATGCATGATATCATAAAAGGCATAAAAACAATTAGTTCAAAGAAATATTTGGTCAAATTTGACAACAGATACAAACAATACAGAATATATTAAATTCAATTGCACGGTTTTATCCATTCATTACCAAAAAAGCACATTGTAGCTCTCACCTTTCGTTTGAAGATACTCCATCTATTTGCAGTAAAGACTTTATGCCAAATTAATTTCTTGGTTTTCGTATCATTCATCTGCTAAAAGTCATTATGCGGTAAACGGCATCACGAGTTTATCGAACATATTGCATACTATACTTTCTCTACGACCGTTAGTTTTTGGGTACAACAGAATATATTCACTGACATGACCGTCAGAATTGACAAACGTCAAAATTCGAGGCGTGGGAAATATCTCCGAAAACATCCGATTGTTTCCAAACCCGTGCGTCAAAATGCCGGAAAGTGGTTCGGTTCCGTGGGAAACGAAACTGACGCTAGATCGGTGTGTAATTAGATATTTTACAGACGGGAGTAGAAAAACATAATTTTTGTTTACCCAAACCGTTCACTTTCAAATGGTTCATGTTAAATCTACAAATGGAGGTTGTTTTCCATAGTGTAAACCGTCCCACTTAAATGAAAGTTTAAAAAAGTAACATTTTCTTTGCAAAGAAGAATGAAAAGGATTGGGCTTTTAATGACTTCTGTAAAATCTCATGCTTAACTTTCTAAACCTTCCGGATTTCTAAACTAAAAAGGAAAAGCTCGTTACTTTTAATCATTGCAAACATTGTGCATTATTCTACCTGATCGCAATTAGTAGCTTTTTGTTTATATCCTTTATTTTGGTAATAAATTTAAATAACTAAAAATATTGTTTAATATCTAGATTATATTATCAAAAAACTTGGTAATAAATTGGCTTTAAATAAAACAACCTATAAACAAATGTTTATAATCATTCAAAATTCCGTTAAGCGCCCTAAACCATTTTGGAAATCATTTAAAACAGATATTTTTTCTGGACCCTTTTGCAGAGATATTTTGTTTGCATAGGAAAAATTCACACGTCCAAGAATTAAATTGGTTAAATCCCCGTGGGACGCGGCCCTAGAGACAGGGTCAGTGGACGCAGCGTTTGAAATCGAACCAGTTTGGCCGACCAAAGGGATCATAGTGGCACCAGCCGTGGATTCTTACGAAGCTGCCCTTAAGAGCGACAGTCTGGCTTCGTGGACTGGATCCAAAAATAATGGGTAAGTCTTAGAACTTCAGTTTTGAATCGTTACCGGCATGAAAATGTAACAAGCCGTTGCGTTCAGTGATCAGAAGATCTACGCCCATAATCCGGCATACAATAGTCAGAGTATCAACAGAATTGTCGAAAATCTTCAAAAGGGTACCGGCAATGTGGACGTTTACAAGCCTTCATTGCCCCAATCCTGGAACTCGGACCCTGCCAGAAAGCAACATTATAGTGAGTAAAAAGGTTTTAACCCTTTTTGCTAATTACCAATGAGTTTGGGGACATGTGATATCACATCCACGCAAAAATGAAAAATTAAAAAGCAGTTTTTTCTTACTGCTAATTCAAAAGCCTAAATATTTTTTAGCGACTTGCTGTCGTTTTAGATAAATATAAAATCAACAAAAAAATATTCGTACAGGGTGGTTGTAATTAGATATTTTCAACAGGAAAGACAAGTTCTAAACTATATAGATCAAAATCGACTTCTTCGTCATGGACTCAATTTTTGAGAAATTTAATCTTATATCTTCGCAATCAATCCAGATATAAGGCGTTTATCAATTTTCGGCGAAAAGAGAGACTTTAAATTTAATATGGTCTATAGCCAATTTAAAAGAATTTACAAAATCCAAAAGCTGCTTACTATTTTTCATTTAACATTATTTGTTTAGTAGTATTAATATCTCATTTCAATATTTTCGATTATCTAAAAAACAATACATATATCATTTGAAATAATAATTGTTTTAATGTAATAAACGAAACAGAGTAATTATTCGAAAGCAAAATAATAAAATTAACTTCTGGGCACTTTTAGTAAAACAGGTTCTTAATATTAATTTCTTTCGTAAATTAGATTAAGCTATGTATGATTTAGTTGTATTAATTTGCGGTCGATTAGAGAATTGTAGAAAAAGCCTGATCATTTCACTGAAAAAAGTGCCTCAAGTGATCGCAAAAGTTATAGATAATTTTCAAAATGATCTAACACTGGCGCACTATATCTCGGTCTCTAATTAAGATATTACTATGCAGTTTCCGCCTTTAATTATTTCTCGGAAGTCTTTGTTCTGGTTTAGAAATAAGTTTTTTCTTTTGAAACACTCCAATTCCTAGCACCCTGTATAATAATTACCTCTAGCATTTCCATTTTATTTTGAAGATTAGCTTTAGGCACAAAATCGTTACTAAAAACGCATTGATTCGCTTTGACCGCAAGATTTTATACCTAGGTAGCGTGACACCATCTGCCAATAACACTCTTATGCAACCCGCCTCATTAGACGCAAGCGACGAACCTACCCTACCCTTCCCCACCATTCCCGACGAATCCCGAATCATGCAACAGCTAATACCGACCACTACCGAAGAACTGGGTCAACCACAGGATAGGCCGAAATCTCCTTTTCCAATGATACCCGATGTTAATCTGGAAGACGAGCTTGTCACCCAAGATATCGTAAACTTCCAGAGAGATCAATGTCTAGAATCTTCTTTGCGACCCACTTCCCCATTTCCTAATATCCCGGATATCACTTTGAACCCGGAAGTAATTGAGCGCGACATAGTTGCCCTCAGAACTAGTCCTATCCCGTTTAAGGTGGAGGATTCCGAGCCTCCGACTCCGATACTTAAGCAGACGTTTCCGTTTCCTGAAATACCGAATATATCGAAATACTTAGCAGTGGAGCAGGCCTCAACTTTGTTTAAACCGATAACATTAAAGAAGGCGGAACCAAAATCTTCACCTCCACTAAAGCCGGAATTTGGGTACGCTTTGCCGTATCCGGAAGTTACGTATTCGGAACACACCTTTAATAATTCTAGAATGATACAATCGGAAATGTTCGAAAGCGAAGGTCATTTTAACGCTAGGTCAGCAACGCCTATAAAAGTGTTCATTCCCAATGAGGTAGAAACAAAGATAGCGGAGGAAGCCGTTGAATCCAAAGAGTCAGAAAAAACCAAAATAATAATTGAAAAAGTGCAAGTGGATGCCAAAAACCCCCGATGCGAAGAGCAAGTGAAGAAAATCGTAACCCAAACGGACAGAGAGAAGTCTGGTGTCATGGTGACTCAAAAGCAATGCTTTAAAGAATTGGAGAACATCAAGACGGCCTATAACATGGCGGATAGATATGCGTTAAAGGGCGTTGATAAAGTTGAATACATCGACCCGTCTGACGGATTCGATAACATCCTTAGCGATATGAAAAGAACACAAGAAGGGGTTCACGAAAACCGACCAACTCCAGCTGAAGATTTCGCCGCTAACGCTGAATCAAGTGCTAATTATAATTCGGTGTTGCCTACTAAAGATAACAGGCAAAGAGGAACAGAAAATACAGGTTCTAATTCTACAGACATTGCTTATCAGGCCGCAAATTCAATTAAAACTAATAATGGTAATTATAGAAATAGAGAAACGTCCCTTATGGAAGTTGCCGATGAGCCTAATTCTTCAAGCAATACAGGGAATGCTACCAAATCTGCACAAAATGACGAAATGGAGTTAGATATAGAGCCCAAGATCTGCAAGAAACCGCCAGGCGCCATAATGGGTGCAAAACCGTTGTTCGGAGAACTCGATATTAACGACGAGTTTAAAAAAGCGCTAGTCGGAAGGAAAAAATCTATACAACAAAAACGTTCGAAAAATGTCACACATAACAAAACTCCTGGGGGTAGTACGTCGGAAGTGAATCAAGTAGAATATCGGGAGGAAGCCACAGACAGTTCCAGCCTAAAAACGGGACTCGTAACCAACGAGAAGGCCCAAATCGACGTAATCAGATTAAACGAAAACGAAGAGATTGAAAAAATTTTCTATCAGCGGGACAGAGAGTACGACATCGACTTCCAAATAATCCAGGAGGACGTAGGCAATGAGCAGGGTCCGGAAGACTACGTGAAACTTCCTGTCAGACACCTGATAAAGAATTTCGAGCAGACGATAATGCCCCAAATGCATTACAAGCAAATCCGCGATCCGTTGCCTGACGTAGTCGAGAAAATCGCTCCGAAGCACGCCAGCCAAAATGCAATTCAAAAACAATTAAGAGATCAAAATTTGGCAGAGGCGGAGGAAGCTTTCAACAATTTGTATTACGTTGCGAGCTCGACGGTTCAAAATAATCACCGATCGCCAGACTCGACGAAAGCGTACGCTTTGCAACAGTCCGAAAACAGCTCTTTTTGTAAATACTCTTCCTTGGAATCCTACCATCAGTCCCAAGCTTATTCCTCATCCAGCTTTCGACCGATAGATGTGGCTGATAGCAATGCTAACGGGCAACATGCGCAAGGCAAGCGTTTAAATGTTTATATTGGTGTTTGTTGTTTGCGAATTAATATTAACAACGGAAAAGAACAACTATCAATAGCAATTAACAAATTGACCTCTCAAAACTAATTAACGGGAAGTATCTGGCAAACCAGATGTTCTAACGCTCTCAAGTATTTTCAAGTATGCAGTGCTGCCACTTCTATATAAACGTGGCAACGCATTTTTAGATTCTAGTCAAGTAACAAAGTAGATTTTGTTCAGGTTTCCCTATACCTTATCGTTATCGACATTAAAAATTATTTTATCGACATTCAAGCAATTTGTTTCAATTAAACAGAAAGCCGAACTTTTGCTGACAATTGTTTTCATTTAAGAATTCTTTTTAGGCATCCGCTTTGATTATAATAATCTAATAAAATCTATTAAAGTATGACCTTTAAAATTATTAGTTTTGGTCAGCTAAATTAAATGTAAATGATGTTTATGAAGTTCATTCTGCCAATGTGCGAAACTTTCTTCGAACTGACTGTGTTCAGTGTTGATATTACGTAAATTGGGTTAGTTTCTTTCCTAAATTTCAAAATTGAAATAATGATAGGGTGTTCTGGTCACTCAATAAACGGAGTTTTTTTGAACTTCCGTAAAAATGCTAATTTTTAAAACACCCTGTATGTCACATCGAAAATGATATGCCAGGAATAAATAGACTAAATGAATTTCATAAATAACATTTTCATTTAATTTAACTAACCGCAGCTCATAATTTTGAATGTCAAATTTTAATGGATTTTATTAGATTATTATAATTAAAGCGGAATGCTTTGAAAGAAATATTAAATGAAAAAATATACAAGGTGTGTTATTTAAAAAAACTTTTTTTTGGAAAGCGATCAGAAATAGGGAAACGCGATCAAAATCTATTTTATATCTTTCGTAGAATCTAAAAGTAAAAGTAAAATATACAAGGAGTACGATTTAAACTAAGTATTGTCACGATTATATAGAGCGGTAAAACTGCATATTTAAAAATTATTTACGGCGATAGAGCCCGGTCTCTTACATCTCCATTAGTTCTTACATTTAAAGTATTGATCAGTTGACCAGATATTTTTAACTGTGCGCCACCTGGTATATATAAACGGTATAGTATTAACAGACTATATATCCCCATTGCAGTATAATACTGTATGGTATGGTGTGGTATATCTTGTGATATCTAAGCAAAGTCTGATAGTCCTGTTGATCCCACGATAGATTATTAAAAAAGAATTTTTCATGGCTGAATTTTCTTGATCTGTATCTAATACAAAAAGTAAAAGCAGTCTTAAAAATGTCGATCACTTAAAAAAAAAAACATCACCATTAAACACTTAAAAAATCAATCTTATTATATTTATCTATTTTTCAAGAATAATAACTGAATTCTGCAATCAACTTAATTTGTCCGTCATCTTCCATTCACTTATTTCATTTTTAAAAACGATTGCTTGCTGCAGTCGTTTACTAAATGTACTTAAATTTGGTACTTAAACCTATTTATTGCGTGGAATTTCCGGACATTATTTGTTTGTGTTTAAAGTTGATCTATTTTAATTTGTGATCTTGTTCACCTAACAAGAGTAATGTGTATTTCCTCATAGTTTTACATTTGAATATTTTTGTCGACTCTTTCCCGAACATCATTTTCAATTCTTACTAGACAGTAAAAGTTTTTTTTGAAAACTAAATACGGCAAACCTTTTAAATCTACTTCGCTAGTTCTTATTTTAATACGCTTTCTCATATGGTAGGATGTCCAGTAGTCTTTCCACCTCCTGATCAGTCCTCCTCTGGATCTTCTTCCAGCTACACTAGCTGCTATATACTACCATTTTTGGCAATCTCTCGTTCATTTTGTTTATTTGCTTAATCCAGAATTTTGTTCTTATTCTAACCTATTTTGTCAAGTTTTAGATTCCATTTTGTTCTCTAATGTCTTCATTTCTTACTCTATCATGTAATAATTTTCCTCGATTTCTCTACCATTAATCTTATTGTTTTTATTTTCACTATGTTGCAAAATGAAGCCTTCCTTACTATTTAAAATATAAACATTTTCCTTTACATTACTAATTTAATTAATCTAATCTAATTAATTTTTTGTATAATACATTTATTTCGGGACCTAACTCAGTCTGTTTGAAACCACGATAACACTTGATTTTCTTATTTTTTGCATTTAACTGCTGAAGCGGTCAGGAACTGGTCAATGATCGCGAAGTAGCACATTGAACCTAGGTACCCAGTTACATTTTAACAATCCCTTTTTTGTTTAGGTTCCTCCACGCTTCCAAGACCCCAACAAAAACCGGCCTTATCGCCCTCCTACAAACCAAACACCTCTCCGTCTGTTTTCGTTCCTAAGGAAAGTACCAGCCCTTTGCCCAACCCTTATTATCCTGCTTACAATGCGACTCCTGCTTACAACTATCAACCACCATCTCACACTTATGACGATTCTTTCCTGGCTACTCCTTTACCGCCGACTACCAAGAAAATCAGTTTCGACGACCTGCAGAATTACAACACCGCTCCGAGGGGTTGGGGTGACGTGAAGGACGTCTACAGACCACTGACATTCGATAAACCGAAATCGCCTTATTCGGATTTCTAAAACCATTTTTAAATTTTTCAACACCTGGTTTTAGAAATCATCGTGGAACCATTTCGACCAATCGTCCGTTTGATGATTGCGAATCCGAGACGGTTGCATTGCAAGATTTGTTTGTTGTTTTATTTATATGTTTATTCTGTATATAGCAAGACCATCTACTAATCAGTTTTAAGCACTTAGCAATGAGACGTTGTTTAGAATGCGTGATTTGTAGTTCAGCTAATTCACACCGTTTGTTTTGAATATTTTTAACTACACGTCTAGCGAATATATTCGTCGCACTTTTTTTTGATAGTACCTGTTATGTCCACTCTTTAAAATAAAGCTCTATAGCCATCCTGACGTTTCATTATTAATTAGTATTAATTATAATACATTTTAATTAAGCGTTGTAGAATACATTGGAAAGTGCGAAGAGCTACGGAAATAGTGTATTATGCAAAAAGTGCGGTAAACGGCATCTGACTCACGAGTTTATTTGACCCGAGCGGAGCGAGTGTTTAATAAACGAGTGGCGTACAATGTTTACCGAATCTGTTGCATACTACGAAAAAATCACAATTTAACAAATTTTAAATAATAACAGATTATGATTACTAAATTTCGTACTATTCAAACAGAAAGATGTAATATTGAATATGTCATAAAAACAACGGAATAAACACAATTTTAAAACGTTATGTTGTCTATTTAAATTTAACAATTGTTCATTAAGTATTTTTTTTAAAGAAAAAGACAAACTGGTAGAAAAATCACCCAAGGATAGAGCTTTTAAGATCGTACAAGCAGGTCCTAACCTTCAATATTGTTTTGTTTGTACTGATGAGACATGGATATTTAAAAATGGTACAATTGGTCTTGGCAAGATATTAATATAAAAATTGTAAAAACCACAAAAGTTTATCCGAACAGTGTTTAAAATTTTTGTGTGAAACTTAAATTATAAATGTCACTTTACTTACCGACAACATTTTAATTGTAGTTTATAGCAGGTAGTATTTAAATTGTCCGATATATTGCATAACATTTTTTGTGTATTGGTTTTTGTGTACATTTTCGCAAAACAAAACGAATACATTTACCGCCATGACCGTCACAATTGAAAAAACGTCATAATCCAAGGCGTGGGAAATATCTTCGAAAACATCCGATCCCGGAAATGTCCGAAGTGGCTCGGATCCGTGCGAATCGAAACTGACGTGGTGAAGTGACGCTTCACGCACGCTAGATCGCTGTGTAATCAGGTATTTTACAGACGGGAGTAGAAAAAGAATTTTTAGTTTATTGGTCACACTACAAAAACAAATGATTGTTAACATTAAAACGAACAAAATAATTTAAACCAATTAAAGGTATCTACCACCTCTGCATTTTTCTAGCCTGTCGTAGACACGTAGTTTATGTGACCACCCTCCACAGACTGTGCTAGATTTCGTTGTTGGGGTATTGGCAACAAATAATACAGGATTCATCATCATTATCACTGATGTTGTTTTCCTCGTTTGGTAGTGATCCATGCTGTGTTTATTAATGCGAAAGAATTATAAATCCTTTTTGAACTGTAAAACTTACTGGTCGTAACAGATCAAGAAAGAGAAGTACAGGAAGAGGAGACACTTTAATAAATGAGGATCAACGACTGCCATCAGAACAATAATACACTCATTTTAAATGATTCAAATTTATAAGTATTATAAACAGTAGATTTTTTGTAGTATCTAACGACGAAGACTTCGACGCTTAATAAGGACCACCTATTGGCAAATATTCAATTTGGAGGGATAAAAATCAACAAACGTTAAAAATGTTAATTTCTTTAAAACAAAAAATGATAAGACAAGATTATATCTAATTTATTGTCACAAATGCCATAAAACAACGTAATTAAAATAAGCAGGTTGATTTACATACCGTAATTTTTGCTTCCACGAACTATTACCATCACTGACCTCAAAAATAAAGATGTGATAATAGACCAACCAAGGTTAAAATAGTATAGTGTAGAGAATACGACAATCTACAACGTCGTTACGGAATTTATTATCTAAGTTCGTCATTAAAACAGCACCTGGTTTTAATGGTAATGAACTAAATTTGCTAGTCCGTTCCGTGAACTCCCTAATCTAGAAAAATAAAAAAACAATTGTTTTCACATTTAATTGTAATTAACATTACTACATTACATCAGCAAATATTGAATTAAAAAATTTACTAAAGCAGCTTTTACTTTAACAATCGGTATGGACTTCTCCACGTGTTGTCCCATATATTGAAGTAAACCAGCGGTTGATTAGATAGATAGATAGTTTTATTTAGACATTTTTTACATAAATAGTCTTTACAACAAATGGCGCGTCAGTAGTACAAAAGAAAAAAGAAAGATTAACGCTGACAACTTGCGGTTGTGGATAAATAAATCGTATAAACAATAGAAAAATTCCATGTATGAAAGCAATATGAAGTACCATACATAAATTATAAAGTGTAAAAACGATGGCATCTAAAATTAACAGAAATCGTAAATATCGATAGCTAAAACATAGGTTGATGTAAAATTTGTGTTTGGCCGAAAGGATGTATGCTGTAATTGAGTAAAAAGCATGCTCCAGACGAAACAGTCTAATTTCTCTGGAGAATTTAGACTATGATAAGTCTCTGATATGTTGAGGAAGAACATTGTACGAGTCGGTGCCAGGCTTATTCCTTGCCGAAGTCGTCAGTCTGGAATAGTATGGTGAGGTCTGCCTGTCTGGTGTTGTGTGCATGTCTTTCAAAAGCACCTATATTTTCATGGACGTGGGCCAGTGTACGGTAAATGAACAGATAGGGCGACAATGTGCCAGAGGTATTGATCCGCGAATTGTGCGTATAGCTTGATTCAGATGCCTGACTTTACTGCCTGAGAAGGTCATACGCCGAGTTTTGCTGTAATTAAGAACAAGGTTGGTGCAGTTGAATGAGGTTTCCGCGACTTCCTCTGCGCGGACACACTCTTCGGCCAGATGAATGGGATTCTTTCCCCTTATAAGGAGGGCAGTATCGTCTGCGTAGAGCGTAACATGATGGGGGATGTTCAAGAGGAGATCATTAATGTATATAACGAAAAGTAGGGGGCCTAGGATAGAGCCTTGCGGAACACCACACCTGACGGGAAGTTGATCGCTCCTAGTTCCGTTGATTTCTTCTAACGATTCTATTGTTCAGGTAAGACTTGAGCAATTCGAGCGGAGTGCCCCTCACACCATACCACTCCAACTTCCGATACAATACATTGTGATCAATACAGTCAAAAGCCTTAGCAAACAATGTGGCTCTTCCCACTTCAGTGCCATCAAGATCAAATGCCACCTCCTCGACAAAGTCCACAAAAGCAAGAGTCGAAAACGAAAACGAAATTGAGAACTGCTGAACAGATTTTTGTTCTCGAATTAGTCTATGAGCCTGTTCTTCAATATCTTCTCCACCATCTTGGCCAGAACCGGGATGATTGCCATTGGACGGTAATTATTTAGATCGCATTGATCGCCCTTTTTATGGTTTTAGAGTTTTGGTTAGTTTTTGCCTTGTGCCATGTTGTCAACAGGATTCATATCAGCGAATTCTAAAACATTCCCTCCCAACACATTTCGGTACACCATTGATCAGCATCAACTTTGTGAGAAGAATTAAGTATGTGTCTGAGTTTCTCTCCAGCTTTTTCGCGGATTAAAATCTCCCTTCAGTCCGATTCTGATTCGCAGTGGAATGTAGTAGTTGAATCAGGACCTACGAGTGGCTTCCAGTCTCTAAATTTGCATTATGGAGGCGAAATGGACTTCGAAAACGAGCTGAAGCTGTGCGGTGTCTATGCGCGGTCTGTTTTACAATATCCCACCTTTGTGATATATCTGTACTATTCGAAACATCGGTTCTTGTATAACATGAAAATAAGTTGACACTTTTGATTGAATTTTAAGCATTAAATCTGACATTTTCATTTGTGCACGTCAGGATAATACTAATTCATTAAATCCAATTCTTCCGAAATATTATCAAGATGAAAAAAGTCGCGCAAACCTTCGATACCCTGGGCAATAAATACGGCAAAAAAGATATAGAAAGGATAGGACTTTTCAGCGAGATGCCTTATATGATTGGAAAAGGATATATTTCACGCGTTTCACGTAAGCACCAACCGCAAATAGAATTTTGGTTTTATTCACAACCAAACAAACATCGTCGCATAAGGATCTCCGAGAGCCAAGGGGAAAAATATACTCGCCGGTGGCCCCAAAACCAAGACAGGTTCGCAGGATTGCTACTTTGATAAGGAATTCAAACGCCTGTTCGTTGGCGAAGCCCTGAAAGGCAGAGGCAGAAAAAGGTAAACAAGTCCGCTCCAGATAGACTCCAGTGTCAGGAATTCAAATCGTTCTTTGCAGGAAAACAACGTTAGCGAAATACGTGTCGCAGAAACCGTTCGTCCCGCCCGGAGTGCCCAAAAGACACGCGTGTCCCGGAGACTGGTTCGGTACTTTCGGTGGAAAAGTTGAAGCTTTTGGCGTCGGTCGCAAGAAAAAACCACCCCACAAATCTCAACTCACAAATCTTTTGACCAGTCCGGGCAAAAAGGGTGGTTATGGCTACGTGGACATTTGCTTCAGTCCCTATCCAGCTCATAGGTAGCACTCATTAAATGAACTACTTTAATATTGTATTGTACTGTATATAAATATTAGCCTACTACTCTCATCCTCTCAGAAGCTAAGTGGAAGTTTTGGTTTTATGTACCCTGCAGCATCGATCGTTATGGTACTAAACCGAAATTTAAAAGCTACGGGAAAATTTCCCATGGCCCATTGGTGATTGGTATGCATCCCAAAGAGTATTTCGAAGAGAATCCATTCAAAAATCCGGAGTCAATAAAGCCTGGACCTACGTATGTGCCACCAAAAGAAAAAGAAAAACCTTTTCTACCACCCGGAAAAATCATACCTACGGGGCCTTCCAAATTGGTAAAAGTTTGATGTATGCCCAATAAAATTCATCGAGAATGGCTTCGCTTTTAGCCAGGAGGTTGCTTTAGCAAGTTTCCTGAATATAAAACAAGCAAATATGGCGGAAGACTAGAAGTTAGCAAGCCGTCCAAAGCCAAGGGAGTATTTTACCCTCAGCGCACAGCTGAAACGTCGTACTACACTTGTTCAATAGTCAACGAAAATATTCGATTTCGACTCAATATTAAAAACCACGATATGTATGAAAGTTCATACGTCAAGCACTTGGTCCGCGATTGAAACTTCGGAGAGCTGAAATTTTGTTGATGTTTTGACGAACAAAAATAAAGGATATAAATAAAGGTTATTTATTATATAGGTAATTAATTAAGTAACTATATGATTTAAGTAGATTAGATGAACTGCAACGACTAGATGAAATGATGAACAATTTGAAGAGATACTGTTATACTTTTTTAATTGGTATAACAAAAATTAATTGGAAAAATTGCAAAAATAAACGAAATAAATGTATATGCTTTAAAAATAAATTAATACAGTAATATTTTTAAGAGCCAAAAACAGACAACGGCACGGGGAGTTCCAAGCGGTCACCCAATTCAAGAACTAACGGCGTCCGACGTTATTTAACTTAAGAGATCGGACGGCATCTAGTGTTTCAACCTTTGCATGTAAAACATGTAAAACATAGCTATCTTGTAAAGGGCAAGGGACTATTCTTTTCAGCACGTGTACCACAAACCAGAGCCGTATTTAAGACATTAGTCGACAAGAACTGTGCCGTGTGGACTGTTGTATTTTAAGAGTAGGGAAATTTTCTTTGATTAAACTGTTATATTAATTCATATTGGTGTACTTCTTATAAATCTTCCTAAAACTGTCCTCACTTGAGGTAGCTCGATTTCAAGTTCAATTTGCTCATTAGATAGGTTGACCTCCTAAATTAAAAAACACATTAGAAAGCTTAAATTGATTTCCTGTTCACGGGTTTACCATAATGACGCTAAAATATTTTCCTAGAAAAGCAATACAAAATCTTATTGTTTTTCAAGACTCAGTGTGTGTGAGGTACCATATACATTTTATTGCAACTTACTTAATACTAACATTGTTCAGCAACGAAGTAGTTGAGATTGTGGTCGATGACGTAATAATCGTTGATGAACATCCGTCAAATTCAAATGGTCCAAAGACGCGAGACACATTTGCCGGTTGCTGCCAAAATTATAATTTTGAATGTTTCTGTTTCTGAAATTGAAATCTGGGGAACTGGAGCCATAAAATTAACGCCCGAGATGGCTAAAACCCCGTACGCCACAGTACGTGACGTAGTTGTGAATGTTGTCAAAGAAAAACGTGGAAAGTTCGTGAGGCCCCAAATAGTGTACTTGACATGTATCGTGCCGGAATAATGATATATGATGCGTATCAGAAGAATATTGTTTCAATAATTAAAACTTTACATGAAGAGTTGCGTAGTGTTTTGAATATTGAATACTGTTAGATATGCCAGTTTCGCGGGGCAAACGAATTACGATACTACATGCGGGCTCTATAAAAAAAATGCTTCCCAATATTCTACCAGTGTTGCATTTGTATGCACGAAGTATCGAAATACGGTTCTGTAACGTCATTGTGAAATTGCGAATCTGTTTATTGAGGATTACAAACAGAAACCCAAGCTTGGTATTCCTGTGCTTAAATACCAGATTATGTAGTAAAAACGGTATATTATTATGAACTCTACTAAAAGCGCCCGACGTTGCTTAACTACGGAGATCAGACGAGATCTGGTGTATCAACGCGGTATGATGGCTGTTGCATTTAAATGTTACCATTTCAAAGATAAATTATCTAACTAAACTAAAAACAAAAACAATCGCGATTAGATGTAAATTTAGACGAATTTATTCTTTGATGGTACCACTGCTGACAGTAAACAAACAAACCTCTGGCCCGTTCATTCTACTAGCTTAAGCGACAAAAAAACATTATTCGTGGCAATGTTTATAGAAAATCGCACAAAAACAACATCCGACTATGAAATCTATTTTACAGTATTTCAATTGTAATGTAGAAATAGGGTGTTTTTGTAAAAGAAAAAGCATAATTAATGGTCGATAACTCAAAGGACAATTTTGTATTTTACCTTTGAACAAATAAAAAGTTAGTTAAGCTAGTTTGCAGGGAATTTGCAAATATATTGCTACTACAGTCCTTCTAAAGTGTGCTACGCAGCTTCAAATAATAAAAAAAATACATCAAAAGCTGATCTTATAATAATAATAATAATTTATAGTTTGTGAAGCGACATCTATGAAGCAAAGCAATTTGTATTGTGCATTTTATTTTATTGTAAAATCGCTGTTATAAGTAAATTCGTACGTATATCGTTGAAATGAATTGTATTTTGTAATGACAAAGAAGATACTAACTGGAAAACATTGAAATTTTTCTGATTATTGGAACGGTTAGTAAAGAAAATGGATTTCAAAATCAACGAAAATGGACAAAAGGAATTATAATTTCAAAATAAGAAAATATAAAATTTAATAAAAAAAATATTGCAGTGGATTTTAAATTTTCGTGTTATTTAGAAACCGCATTTCGACTTTTCAAAAGCTTTTGCATTCGGATCGTAATTTAACTTGTGTCAGTTATTTTCATAAACCGCTAAACCCAAAGGCATCTCTGAAATTTAATACCTACCTCAACATTAGCGTTTTTCGTCCAAACAAACAAAACCAATTAAACAAATAATGTAATATATTATTTATAACAATAATAAAAATAAAACTATTGAAAATATAATACAGTCGTTTGTTATGCGCAAGACATTGTTGCGTTTCTAGTGATCAAACGATATTTATAATTCGACTAAAACCCTATTGGTTTCAATTATCTACTTACTTAGTGCCCTATGAAAACTTTAACTTAAAACATTATGATGATATGATCAACGTTTATAAACATTTGCTATTTTTGAAACACATACATATAAAACATCGAGTGTATATTATTTATATAGAGGAAATCGTTGCAAAATTCATTCTGGGTTCTTACTCGTCGAGTACGCAAGTTCGGACCAAAGCTTCTGTTACCGCATAGGGGTCACAGTTGGAGGAAGGTCTTCGATCCTCCAAATAGCCCTTCTTTTCTTCGGCACAGCCACGCGGAATTCTGATACTGGCACCCCGATTGGCTACACCTGTGAATATATTTACGTATAATGAAAACTCCACCAATATAATTCAAATGCAAATATGTACAATCTTTCGCCAAATCTGATGTAAATTTCAGGTAGAAGCGTAATCGCTTACTGGGCATTATAATTTTAATCACAATTTTGCAAAATATCTTGCAACAAAACCTGATTCAATCCTACACTGTACCAACACAAACTGTCCTTCTGTAGCTCAATGAGTGATTGTGCAGCCATCTAGCGGTTTATCGGATCCCGATACGTTTTCACAACAACAGAGAAAACCGTGGGTAATATTTTCCCTTGGTTCAGAAATCGATGAGGCGGAAGGACCAACAAAGAACATCATTTCACGATGTATACTTTTTCAATAAATTAATAATAATTTAGGTACCTAAATTTTCGGATAGATGTTTACAGCACAAATTTGAAATTATCCCTCGTCCGCCATCAAAAAAGTAATTGCACTGTAATTAATAATTAAGCACCGATTCACAGCCTGGCGGTAACGGTCGCTGTTGTATTTGAAAGACTCTAATTTGACCAATAACAATCAATCAGTACCTGATTGAATACGGCAGAAAGTGTAAAAAGTGAGAACTACAAAGTTAGAAGGAGTGCGAGGAATTAGAAGTAACGCTCTGAAAAAATATTAACTTAATAGTGTAACCACATATCTACAAGATATATAGAAGCACTGTGTATGCTGATAACACAAGAACTTTTCAAGCCACGATGAAATGTGAAGAAGGCTAACATGGGCATGCGTGGTCATTTCAAACCACGTTTTTTACCAATAAGACCTGTGATTTCAAATCTCGCTTTTAACACATAAGACCTAGCAGCTTTCAGTAATCATCATGGTCGCTGACCCTTTTAACGAATTAATCGGCTACTATATGATCCAATAGCTTCTAATTATATTTTTTTAAAGCCGTTTCGAATACGTACCGGCACTAAAGTCGTGAATTGACGAGGTCTCATGTCGGCCCGTAAGGCGGCGTTCGTTGTCTTTTCCCCCCTTGGGGTCATAGGCCTGGATATGCCTGAGATGGTTGCGGCTCAGTTTGTCGATGGCTTTTTCGATTTCCCTGGAGAGATATAAATAAATGCTTTCCTATTTCGACATCTATTCCCTATTGTACTGAAACCATAATATAATATGAGAAATTATTTCAAATAATTTACTAACTTTCAGATTCATAAAAGAGAGACAAAAACTTCACCTAGCCTCCTTTTTACATAAAATTGCACGTCCTGAATATTTCAACAACGTTTCAACAATCTTTATGAGATACCAAAAATGCACAAAGCTATGTCTCGGAATTCTTTTTCTTATATGTCTGCTAAGTTGCTAAACAAAATATTAAAAAGAAACTGTTAATGGAAATTACATAAGTTATATTTTTCTACTTTTGTAAATGAAGATTTTATTTTATTTTATTGCTGTAATTATTGTTCTACTGTTTTCCCACGTTTATTGTTATTGTTATTCTATTGTTGTTATTAGCTCATTTACGTATTTATTTATGGTATTTGTTATAAAATTTGCCTTATTTTAAGTTGATTTATGGAATTTGTTTTAATACTCGGTTAAATCAGCAGTTCAGCTACACTTTTTTATTTTATTGATTTAATTATTTTATTTGATTTAAAAATCAAACAAAATCTAATCTAAACCACTAATAAACCTAAATCCACTCAAAAATATCTCGGAAAGTTTCACAGTTAGATAAAGTGATAACAAAATGTGCATTTTTCAGGGCGAAATTTTCAAGGACAATTATTAAATTTGAACTCCACAAGATTTTTTTAGAAAGGCTAGCTGGCAAACTATTATGTAAATAATAATTTATCTATGGCAAGGACGTTACTCTAGTAAGTAAAGACAATTGTATAATTTTTTTGACAAAATCAATAATTAATCTAGCTCTGAAAACAGCTGTTGAACCACTGTCATATTTTATATTTTGGCTACGACAAATGTTTACAGAAGCTCATAAATTTTGTGAGACAATTGCATTTGTTGAAAAAGATAAGGCAATTGATGACGTGAAACGAATTAGACCTAGATAATGTTTTAAGTTCAGTAGCGCGTAGTAAAGGCACGAAATAGGATATTCTAAGCGTCCAATTAGCTCTGCCAAACGGATAAGCAGTGCACGACGCGTCAATAAATTAAAACAACAAATACTTAATGAGGATATGTTAATAAAACACAATTATAACTCCCTAAATACTCATTGCCGTCGTTCCCTATTAATGACGAGTTGTTTTAACATAGTAGAAAATTTAGAAAATTAAAAAATGAAAAATAAAAACAATTAATTTCAAAAATTCGACCCTTTCTTGATTTTCCTTTACCAAGTAGGTAATAATACTGTTGGTATTGTGATTATATCCTTTCGCAGAATACTTTGAGAGAATATAATTAACATACATTTAGTCGACACTAAGCCAGTAAAGGAAAATTTTGTCGTTTCTAATTCGACCTTGCCAAGGTTTGATAATTAGTTCTGTACCCAAACAAGTGAAAAGTTTTAAGTCTGCTTAAGTCTTTCCGAGTTGAAAAAAAAAAGTATGAATCGGAATTGCGAAAAATTACAGCTGCAAAAACTTACAAGATTCCTCCGTCTTCTCTCATCGCCTTAGTTGAGAAGTTGCTGTGCGCGCCTGCGCCGTTCCAATCTCCTTCCATCGGCTTCGGATCGAACGACACGATTACACCGAAATCTTCAGCGATTCTATGCAAAATGTACCTCGACACCCAGAGTTGGTCGCCCATCGTGATTCCTTCGCATGGACCGACCTGGTATTCCCACTGCAATTCATAAAAAATCATCTAGTATAATAAAATAGAAGAAATGCAACTGAATTTTTTATGTTCATTGTTCTGTTACTAAAATATAAACTTAGTTTAGGTCAACTAAGATGGAAACCATGTGGCACGCGTGTGACAGCAATAATTATTTTTTGGTAGATGGTCTTATTAAAACTTAAAATAAAACCCTGACAAGTTAGAACATGCAACATAAAAAGCTCTTTGAAGAGTTCCATATTAGGAAGTATCTAAAATCAATTACTGAACATGGTAATAGAAATTTTGAACACTCAAAAATTCATAAACCTCTCGCGCACACAAGGTAAAAGTGCGTTCTTAGGGAATATTTGGAAAACCGTATAAGTACGTAATAGCTTATTGATCGTGTCCTCGTTTATTTTATTCTCTAATGACGCAAATTTGGATGAGCGTTGCGATAACTGATTTTTCCATTCCTAATTACTTCAAGAATTGAATTTTGGAAAATTTTTATACAATTTTAAAGTATTACAAAATGCAAATAAGAAATTTAAGTTTCAGACTTATTTTCTGAATAATTTAATATTAATGACAAAACTCAATTAAACATGCAATTTGTTAGTGCCCGACTAATTACACAAACACCAAATCTTACTTTGGTACAATTTCGGTGGGAGAATTAATCTCCAGATCATAATGATAAAAAATTGGATTCCTTCTGCATCGGTTATGGATGAATCGAACTAGCTAACTATTTCAGTTAAGGTCTGAAGAATCCTACAGGATAATTAACGTCACCAAGTTCGAATCAATCATCAACAACTGATGCAGGAGGAAACCAGAAGATTTGTAAATAGTATTACAGTAGTCTGGGGAAGTTTCTTTGAAAAGTTATCATCATATGTTCTTATAATAAACAACTATCTGGGTGGCTGTCGATTGCGATTATCGATTTGATTAATTTGGTTTTGGTTCGTAGACATACCTGAGCAGGCATTACTTCCGCATTACTTCCGGATATTTCAATACCAGCATACAAACAGGCCCTATAATGGGCTTCGACGATATCACGTCCGTAGACCCTATTCGCTCCCACACCGCAATAGTAAGGCCCTTGTGGTCCCGGAAATCCGTTCTTGGGCCATCCTAGCGGTCTCAGATCCATATCTAACAGAGTGTATTCCTGCTCGATGCCGAACCATGGTTTAGCATTTTTGGCGGCCTCCATGACCTGAGCGCATGTGTACCTTTTGTTGGTCTCCGTTGGCTTTTTGTTGTATTTGTAGGTGTCGCAAAGCACTATAACGTTGTTACCGCGCGTAAACGGGTCCTTGTAGATGGCGACAGGGTAGAGGTAGGTGTCGGAATTTGAACCTTCTGCTTGATATGTTGAGCTGCCGTCGTAATTCCATACTGGGAGTTCTGGAAAACAACTTCGTTCACGTTCAGAGTTTTGAAGATGCGTTTTTGAAGTTTGAGAATTGATATAATCGGCTTTTGAATAGCACCTGTGATTCATGAGCTACAAGGGAAAATTTAAAAAGCTGACGATTTTAAAAATATTGCAAATACTCTTTTCATTTCAATAACTCAAATAAAATGAATTATTTAAAATTTGAACTGAAATCCCGCCATCCAGGTCAGAATATAAACTACAGATCCATTTATTTTTGCATAATTTATATCTGTTTTATTTTTTTTTTCTATTTGTATGACGGTTAGTTTTACTATTAAATTAATAAAGTGATAAAACAGAGCTTTGACTCCAATTTTTAAATGTACCATTCATTTTTGTTAAAAATTCTCCATGAAACAATGCTTAGAAAATCAGAAAAGGAAGATAAAGTAATATAAGCAACTAAAGGTAAATTTTTAAAATCACCAATTTTTCAATATTCCATCGTAGCTCATAACCTACTTGTCTTAAATAATAATGGAGTTTATCATAATGACGCATCGAAAATGGAACAAAATGTACTAAATCATTTTTTAATATTATCCGCAAAACATTTCTTAAAAACATAATATATTTTTTTAAGATTCCAGATTTTGCATGTAATGTAATGAGTAATGAGTTTTATCATGTTTGCAAGATTGGTCCTTAAGAGTTCAATACTCGATAAATTAGATTAAGTCTACAATGGTAATTACCGAGGAGACATTTATACATATTTAAGTAATAAAAACATCGTAATTTCTAAAATTTTCGTTTTTATGAGTGCCTTGTACTTGTACTCTTCGAATATTAATTTTAATAATTTAATTTTAAAAGAAATTCTAAATGGTACAAATAACCAAAATTTGGAAACAAATCTTTTATATACTTCCTTCCATAAATCCGAATAAATATTTGTTTTTTGGAAAACTTTTATTGAATTTAATGGCATATATTGAGAAGGAACTCTTATTTTTTCATAAGGGAGTAACCAGAACAAACATACAAAGCATATCGTTAGACTATGGATTTTAGATTTAGACAACATATAAACGTTAATTGTGATTTGTTTATGGTTCTTGTTTAGATAAGATTAGAATTCAGTAGGTTTAGAAATCCAGGTTCGATTAACTTACGGGATACGAAAATTATCAATTTCTCACTATAAAAAAATGTAGATTTTGTAATATCGCCATATCTAGTTAATAAAATGAAATTATACACTGAAATGATAACTTTTTAACGTCAGAGGAGCGATTAAATTGTTTTTAAATCGAAAGAAACAAAACGTTTCCTTTGTTTTTTCACTCTCCACGGAACGTTGTGTTTTTCGATTGATACCTTCTGTATCATTATTTATAAATCGACATTTCCTTTGAAATTAATCTGTGGAATGCGGTACTCTATGTTAGGATCAAAGCTTTAGAAGTTTGTGAAAAAATTATATTAAAATATCATATTTGTAAGAGACAATTCTTAATGTAATTAAAGCAAAAATACGAAGATATAGGGTAATTTATTACTGGCGATGCTCGACTTTTCCTTCACCTAAAGCTTTGGTTTAGTTTAAGAAAACAAATGTCATTGCTTAATTTAAAAAAAAAAACCTTTTTATGATATAGACCCTCAATCTTTTATTTTTTTTTTGTTTAGTTATTTATTTATTTTTTTGTTTAATTATTAACGTTGCAAATAATGCGATTCCGACGTCATATAAACATACATCTGTGTTAATCGGCATTGCTCTTACCGTCTGATTTGGTTGGTACGAAATCGAGGGTTCTCGTTTTTCCTCGGATATGTTCACCAGTGCCGTCGATCCATATATACGTGGCTTGACATTTTCCATCTGGAATGGGCAGTGACATGTATTCGGCTAATACTGTTTTGTTTAATGCCGCATTGGGCGAATGCTCCAGCGTCAGGTTCGGCATGTTTTATCTGTAACAAAATTACACATCAAAGTTTCAAAAATTAAGACCTACTATGGTATAAAGTAGTTTAACCTGTACAACTTGTAATTAAAGTTGCCGATGGTTTAAGAAAAACAAAAAGAGATTTTTCACCACGGCAAAAAACGACCCTCAAAAAGTTCTAATAATTAGTTTTAAAATAATCTGGAAAAGCGGAAATTTCATTTACCTCGCCATAATCCCGAAAGTAGCAAAAAAACACTATATACCAAAAATATTTTTTAATAAAGTCAAAACAGAAGAGAATGTTTTTCTTGAATTGAATTTTGCTAGTTTATAGCATTTTAACTCTCTCCCTCGCCATTTATTTAGAACGTGACCGGAAAAGTGAAATAGGTATTGACGATTCAAGTCTTGTTTGACGAGCTCCTGTGTTTTCCCATCAACGCAGGTGCACAAAAGTTACGACGTTATACATTTACAAAATAATCGGTCAGTTTGTCGTAATTTTAGACGTAAATTTCTTGACTTGACCAAATTTGGGCTATACGATCTTGCGCCAATATAATGCGTCCTGCTTTAATTATATTACCAGTTCTTAGCGTTCCAATTCTTTCCATTCATTACAGCTCGGCCTTGTAAATATTTAATAACTGCTATCTATTTTAGCAACAATACTGTGTTAAATACTGTCAAATCTTAAACCAGATAACTCAACTCAAAAAGTTTGAAAATATAGTAAAATTGACATTGCCCTTTTAAGTTGACCTTGGTAACTTCGAAGATAATCAATTCATGGGACTAAGAGATCACATTTTTTTTCAAATCGGACAATACCGAAGGCACCAAAATTACTTCAGTATTGCACTACGTCAGAGGAGACAATAAATAAATTCCAAGCACATCTTTTTTTTCTACTCCCTCTTATAAAAGAGACAATTATGCGCTAATTAAGATTGCGCCAAGTCTCACTTAAGACGCCAGTTTCGTTAACCACCGGCGCGAGGCACTTCGTTTCTGGGGTTTGGGAGCGATCTGATTTTAAAGTCACACGATAATCGAGGAATGTATTCGGTTTTGCAAAAATATACCCAAAAATTAATAGTTGTAAAACAAGTATAGCATGTAACACGATGAAAAACTTCTTCAGTTAGTTAAATCGGTTACTAAAGTAGAGCGCATAATATACTTTTAAGTTATAGTGTGGGGTTAGTCCAAATTTATTAATTTCGGTTTGAAACTCTTTCAAAATGCTCTAAAACTATAGCAACGGTATGACTGATTACCTTTCGCTAGCACAAGATTACATACGGTAACGTTATACAAGTCTAGGTAAACGAATACATATTAGAGGTACTTAAATTATCACAAATATTATCACGAATGCAAACGGACTTGTTCCAAGGACAATATCAATATTTACGGATTTTGGTTAACCCCACGGGAATCTTTATTGAATTTACCTTTGCTTGTTTTAAAAGATAAAATTTTTACGGTGAGTTTAAACTAAGCAAATTGGGTTTTCTCTACTGAAATTATTTTAAAAAGTAACAGGCAAAGTGAAAATTTCATCGGCTTTTTCTCTTGTTTTGTTTGAAACAATATTTTTATAAGCTCTTCTTTAAAATAGCGAATTATGCACTGATCAGTCAGGCGTTCCCAGCAATTTGGTCACCGGTTTTATAGTGATCGGATGTTTTGCAGTAGTCTGATGGCACATTGACGTTTGTCAGGTCTAATTGTTAGGTCGTGCTATTTCCCAACTAATGGTGTAATATGAAGTACGCTCGCTCAGCTCGTGCCAAAGCACACTGGTCACTAAAACGTTGCATAACATACTATTAGATCTAATTTGAACTGGTTTGTGAGAGGTTAGATATAATTTTCTAAAAATTACAACCGGGTTCGACTTTTAGTGGCTCTTTAACGATTAAATTGATAAAGCGTGAACCCATATGCTCACAGTAGATTTATTTTAAGTAAGAAAGCGATTCTGTTTGGTTTATACCGGTTGAGTATCAAAACAAGGAATATTTATATTGCTCTTTGACTTCATTGGTATTTGTTGGAATTATGCATCAAAGGAAAATTTCGGTAACTATCAGAGCTATGGAAAAATGATTGGCACATTCCCGATCGCGAGGGACTCGATGGGAAAAACCAGAACCGGAGTTCCGTCCAAAAAGAAAATACAATTCCATATTCTTCTTATCAAAAAGACAATTAACTTAGTATAGATAACAAAACTAAAATAAAAATGGAACAAGGATTAAAGGCAAAAACACCAGCCACAACTGGTATCAGACAAGGTGGTTGTTTGCGCCCTTTATTATTCTATTTGATTATGGATAAAATCGTACAAAGTATAAAAATATTATGTGGACACAGCAATCTAAGAGGCTGAAAATGACGACGACTTACAAAGAATGCTATACCAGAGAGCCAATAAGATGTAAACTTTCGATACAGCAAAGTTCTAGATGTTCCTATTTGGGAGTGGAAAACACAAGTCACAAAGACTTCATTAAAGAAACTTGTATGCAAGCTACCACCGCATCCGGAATTGCAGAATATGATGTGGAAAAACAAGTAGATGAACAGTGAGACAAAGGTGTCGTGAGTGAGTGACACTATACGAGAAGAACTGGAGAGAATATTTTGATAGAATGGAAGAGAACCGTTGGACAAAACGGGCAAAAGACAACACAACACAAATAAAATCCTGAAAGACCTCCTAAAAGATGACATGAGAGCTGGACTTCCGCCTCACAGTTGAGACTGAACCCGGAAAAAAAAAATAGTTAGAAGCACCGCTATGTCATATGAATGAGAAAACGGAAAAACAGTAGACAATACTATAAACCAAGAAACAAAAGGAAACATCTGTTAAGGCCGTAACTATCCAACACTGAGTGTCTCTCAAAAAAAGCTATAAAAAAATTCCGAAATTTGCTTCGTTTACTTTGCCAAGATTGGATAAGAAAGCAGACAGCGATGTTTGCGGTACAGGGCAGATATAGATCTAGAGATCCGTTATCACAAACACACATTATCCAAAACAATGTAACAATGATTACACCGAAAACAGTAATGAGGTCGGTTTTATTTAAAATAAACAGACGAATTATAATTTATAAAATGTAACTTATAAAAGGTCCAAAATTTATGACGCGATATATCGAAACACAGAAGTCACTTACCGCTTTAACAAAACGAGTTCACTGCGATCCGGAGACTGATCATTTTTACGTTGTTCCTATTATTTATGTTAAAAGAATCGTCAACGATTGCGACGTCACAAAATCTTATCAGCAGTCAAACTCATTAGCAGAAAATTAAGGAGAGTTTATTTGAGGCACGGCGTCTAGCAAAGAATAATTTAAATAGAAATATTTTCTTTGTCGGTATAATTGAACCTTAATTACATTTGTACATTACATTTTTAGTATAGTCGTTTTCGTAGCTGATTACATTTAATTAATTTAATTTACTGTATTTGATATTTATCATGATTAAGATGACAAATGTTTGGCTCATCTCCTAGAAGCAAAAGAAATCCCCTTGTTAAATCAATCGTATTAAGAAATTTGGCAACGATTTCTTCGCACTGCTCTCAGTTGTCTCCATTATTTTGATTAATTTAAAAATTTTACGTACCTATTTTTCATTTAAAAAAAATGTTAAAATTATTATTCGAAAACCCATATAAAAACTAGAATTCAACTTTTCAATTCCACACCCCATCTATATAAGTTGTAGAAAAATATTCCACATATTTGAAGCAGCTTAAGTAATAATTACGCTGGAATTTACTTTCGAAGTTTTTTAGGACATGTTAGCGAGAGGTCGTTTACAATTAAAACCAAATTAAAAAATCTTTTGCAACTTGTAAGTCAAAGCGATATTTACCGCAAATGAATTAATTTTATCGATTTGGTAGAATACAAATATTATTTCAGAGTGAGAGCATACATTTAGCATTATTAATGAAGATCCTAAATACAGTAATATATCTTTTTGAAAAACAAAAATATATAGTGTTTCTAATTATTTAAACGATAATTATATTTGTAAAAATCAAGGTAACATAAAAGTACAAACTAATTAGGTGATAATGGATATAGGTAGTAATAGAAAAAAATTATTCGCATTGTTTTATCTACTCCGCTCTTCTAATACAATTATTAAAATATATTACGTTCAAGTATTTCTGTGTGTATATATCAAATAACTACATGCTACCAAATCGACAACGTATTTGTTAACAAATTATCAAATTGACTACTAATGGCTCTTATATTTCTCACCTAAAAGTTTGGCAATTGGCAAGTCTATCGAAACCAGTTCGTTCCGGTATTATCACGTACTTAGCCAATGCACTAGAATATGCGTAAGCGATTAACAACTTTATTTGCTAATTGACATTATATCCATTATTTTAAACGTCTATCCTCTATGAAAATAAGCCAAACCTTAAGAAGATTTGTAACTGATTGCTATCGTGTCGTATCTTGAAAAAATGTTCAAGATTAAGATTTATATTTTCCACCATATTTTTGGAACAAGTCGTATTTTGATTTACAGTCCTCTCGAACGGCAGATTATCATCAATGTACTTCGGCGAAATGGTAAAATAAAAAAAAAGACTAATTTCATTTAGTGAGACAAGAAACGATCCACTTACTTACAAGCAATGATATTGGATTTGAAGTGGAAGATATAGCAGAAACAGAGAATATTACATATAGAAGATTCTTTAACGATGACTCAAATGAGGAGGAATATGGCCTATTATATAGTAAATTGTATATTGTGTATATTATTGTAAATGGTACAGGACGTCCAGCCACCTACAGCCTACAGAGTTGTTTTGTTGTAAGTGGCAATTGTGAATAAACCCTTGCTTCTTGATACAAACTCTTCATATAACCCACTATAAAGTCTATAGTCTACATGCAGGATGGCGCAAAAGTTAACGAAATACAACATCTTCCTTATTTAGCACTATTTCCATTTTTTTAATGAATGTTGCATAAAATGGAGACATATTTTACAACAATTATACAGGGTGTTTCGCAAAACGCTAGGCAAAACAAACATATATATTTTTTATAAATGGAAATGGAATATTTTTGAATATTGCGATTCATTCAAGCAATGTTTATTGTGACATCGTAAAAAATAGCTTAAGATAAAAAAATGTAAATGAAATCTTGCCGCCTTGTCAAGTAAATTTTCTCTGATTTTTGAAATGAAGCACCCTGTATCTAACTAATTTATCATTTTAGTACTATGCAAAAGTACATAAGGGACTTCATTTTGCTTTCACAGAGTATCCTTGCATAAATAAAAATATTTTTAAAATATATATCTCTCGGTTTTATGGAACATTAGTTGAAATTTGGTTTAATTTATTTTTGCACGCCATTGTTTTTGGACGGATAACAATGGGCAGACTATGGTCACCCCGTCGGTCGTCCTTTTACATATAAAACATTACCATTTAGAATTGGAATATAGACTGAACTTGTAATATTGATTGAGCTCCCGTTCCAATTACAATGACGTACGAATAATGCCGCAATATTTAATTTGTTAAATACACACGCATTAAGTAAAATTATGTAATTTTGAAATATTCGTCTCGAGAGTACGAATACGAAACTTCTAAATCTTGACGGTTTTTGTGTTATCGTTATCGGCACTTTTTGACCCACGGATGAATTTTATCCCAACACATTTTTTTAAGAATATAAATTAAAAAAAAAAGGGCATTGTTGTACATGTATGCATTAACAACTGTTGCAGGAATTATAAACTTTGCAAGTCTTACAAGGTATTTTAAGAACAACTAAAAACTTTTTTTAAAATTTTGATTTGTTGCCCTATCAATACTTTCATCGCAATTTATTAATTTCCGTAATGCATTTTTATTTTTTAACTTCCATTTTGTTTGGAAAATGCTCTTATTTTTTTTTATTGCACAGGGTCCAAAAAAAAATCAAAAATATTAAATTTGCTGTTTTATTTTTATTTTCAAGCAACAATTCGAAATTAAAATTTTTGGCAAGTCACATCCCCACGCATTTTGTTTTATTTCACTTTAATATAACTTTTGACATATTTTCCAAAATAAGAAAAAAATCTCTCAAGTGATTCATTCTAAATTTTAATACAATATTTTCATTTAACATTCTGTATTAAAGCTGCAAATAAGGCCATTTCACTCTTCAGCAAATTTAATATTTTTGTAGTTTTTGGATGCCCTGTACTGTAGATCCAAGAGATCCAACAATTAGAGGAGACAGATACTTAGAAACTTTTGACATTTGCAATTTGGAAAATTTTGGTTGTTTGCCGTTATCAATTTTTGCGATTTTAGAAGATGTAAATATCAGTTAAAAAGTTATTTAAAACGGTCTTGGGCAGTTAACGACCTACGATTATCCTAATTCACTTTTCATGGGTAAGATACACCTATGGTGACATTGCACTGGTTTATTTTTTAAACAAACAACACCATATTTTTCATTTTTTAGTCCTCTTATCCACTCCACCCGTGGACATACTGTCTATTCCAACTAAACGTAAATGCATGCTTAGTCTATTCGCCATTAAAACCAAATTTCTGGCCGCCATTACCAAGTATACACTTGTAATTTTTGCAATAATAAAACCACCGAGCGACGATAAGATAACTTAGAGAGTTTTTCGTTGTACTTATATGCAAAATTATTTGTTTTCAGATACGAAGTACAATAACGTATTTAATAAGTATTTCGATATTTAAAATTATTGCCGCTAGAATAAAATATGAACAATCGCAAGCCAAAAATTTTTGATAACTAATTCACTTAACTGGTTGTCATGCTGGACAACTGGTTTTACACGTTTGAAACATGCGAACGTCTGTCTAAACGATTATGCCATTCATGGGCAATTTAATTCGGATAATTTCGAAAATATCAACATTAATTTAGCTTTGAAATTTATACTCCCGTGCAGAGTCGGTGCGCTTAAAGAAGCCCATTAAACGTTCCAAAAATTATAACTCAACATGCAAGGTTCTCAGAACGGACATGGCGTGAGCTTTGGTCAAGTGCCAGGTGTAGAAATCGAAAACGTTTAACAAAGACGTAGCGCGTCATAAAGGGAACAAGGTTATTGCACGCGGTTGTTGTTAATCTCTTAAAATACTCTTCCAGGCGCTTTTATTTTTCAAATAGTTACGAGAAAATGCATTACTATCACCGAACTCCCGATAACATATTGACCCACTTTCAATACATCTAACGATAATAATGATGTGTTTATTTTGTGATCCATTTCAAAATATCAAGGGTTCCCCTGAGACTATTATGTATACCTAATTTCCAAGCACTATAGTTTTAGTAAGTCGAAACAAAATTTTACAATAGAAATTATATACAATTATAATATTATGACATTACAATATTTGACCTAAACACCTAGGTATAAAAAACATGTATGTATTCAACCCCAAATTAATTAATTAATCAAATTATCAATTTGTAAGAATTTAATTTTAATTAAAATTAGAAAATTAAAAAAAAAATTCAACCAAAAGAGTTATCTAAAATATAATTTTTGTTTTCTCGAAAAATTATCTTAAATACTTTATTTATTTTTATATTCATAGGAAGCAGATTATTCAATTATATTTATTTTTAAAAAAGTATACCTAACAGGCATGAAACCAAACTAACAGGTAAGTTGCAGTAGTATAATAGTTACAGCGGCATTTTGTACCATACATACAACGCTGAATTTTTTGCAGCCTATTAATTGTATCCAGGAGACCAAACTACTGAGGCATACTCTAATTTAGATCTGATGTATGAGTTATTATATAATACTTTTATTACTTCTGTATTGTTAAAGTTCATAGCTTTTTTAAGCAGCTGCCAGTACCTTATTAACATGAGGAACAAAGGATAATTTCGAGTCCAATATTACTCCCAAGTCACAAAAAGTATTAGAAGAGTTTTAGAAAAAGGATGATAGTTATATTCAATAGCTACGCCTGCTGCTAGGGGACTGTATTAAGCTACAAGTTATTTATTTATAGACAAAAATGCACAATCCTAGTTAGCATATAACAGAAAACTAACAGCAAGATCTTGTGACTAATGAACATGTTAAATGTCGAATAATAATGGCCTCAGTATTGAGTTCTCGGGAACGCTTGGGGAAGCAACGCATTCATCAGAGATAGACGTACTGAGTACGAGAAAACAAATTACGATTCAGAAAATCCAAAAGTACGAAGCTTGTGGATTACAATTTTGTGATCTAACCGATTAAATGCTTTGAAAAAATCAAGATATATGACGTCCACTTGAGAACCTTCATCCATAGCCCCAGAAACATACTGAGACATAGTAGTTAAACAGGTAATGGTGTCTCTACCTTTAAAAACACCATGTTGTTGAGGGACTATTTTATTCTTAAAACCATGACATAGTTTGTCATGCAGGAGGGTTTCTAAAACTTTACAGAAATTGCAGATACGGGAAATATCACCGTAGTTTTTGATTTTTGGTGTAGGCTTTTTTGTGTACGAGAACAATTTTAGACATAACCAGGGATGGCTTGGTTTCTCATACATTGATTAAAAACAAAATTTTGGTCCTAAATACCATGATATTTGTGTGCTTCGCTTTCTGTGTGCACCAAACAAGAACAAAGTTCAGTGATATGGTTCTGTGGTGGCAGGCGTATCAGACATTCCGACTGAATCTTCGAAAGGTATCTTGCCACGAATGTCAACGGATAGAAACATTCAAAAGTGATAAACGACGACTATATCTACGAATTTTTGCAATCGATTCACGGACTCGGTCTTTGATTGCCAATTTTTTTCTGGCTCCATTCTTTACTGCAGATATTGTTTGTAATTTAACAAAATAGAGAAAGTCAAATAATGAGGAATTGAAATAATAAAAAACGGAGCATGTTTGTCACCAAACTTATTCAGAATATAATTATACTTCGGGATTTTACGAATTTGAATAATGAAAAACAAAGACTGCATAGAAAAATAATTAATTTACCCCTATATTAATTATTTATTAATTATAATATCTCGCTGGAGAATTATATTATAAAATGTGTTGTTGCCTGTTCAATGTAACCTCCTAGATACGAGGATAAACTAGAAACAGAGTATTAATACAACTCGCATATTCTTAAAGAACAATTACAGGAAGCAAGTGAACGTCTACGGATTTGTGTTAAGTGCACATCAACTATTGGAGGCCATCGTCCAAGCTCGTATTCATTCATTCAAGTAGGGAATGATAGTTTCCTCTCATCATCCAGGACTATATATTAACGTCAATTTAACTTTTTTAGAACTTTGAAATAATGTTGTAAATCGAATGACTTACATAGCAGTGACTAAAAATACATACGGTCGAAGTTGATCTTTGCATTTCTGCAATTACATACCATAGAGATTAACCCGCAACCAATGAGGTCATTTTTTCGAATGGAAACAAAAGAAGCAAAAGCTGATAATTAGGATGACTCACAAGTCTGCGGTTAGTTGCATAGAATATGCAGGAGCGCTTATTTTGCTGCAGGAAAAATATGGTAATTTCAGAAAATTTGTTTTCGCACTGACGATAATTACCCAGTATTATGCTAATTCGTGTTCGAGGATCGGGTTTCTAATATGCGTTTCCACGCTATTCCGGTCGTGCTGGACCGATCGTAGGCCTTGCAGTTTATTGGACGCACGAGATTGTCGCGTGGACGCTCGCTGATGTTTACTCTCCTAAGCCCGATTTAAAAAATTTTATGAAGTTTTCCCGGCTCGGTTTCGTAATAGCATCGAACAAAATTCAATGAAAAGTGCTAAAATAAAAATTAACTATTACTAATCATGTCAAGGCATAAAGCGTATTTAGTAAGACGGTCCAGGACATTAGCAACTAGGAATGCTAGAAAAGGTGGAAGTATTTATTATATTTAATTTTAATTATCAATGCCAGCTACAGTAAAAAGAAAGGAAGATTTTTTTTACATACAATTTCTTAAAGAAGAAAGCAAGAATTTACTCAGACAAGTTTTACATTAAAAATAAATGTACCAAACATTATTAATACGAACACATAAATAAAAAAATTTAGCCTTTCAAATTGTTTACACGCAAAATAGAAATTTTGGTTTTTAGGCTAAAAACTTTATATAAACAGGACAAAAATAGTAAAAAAAATGGTAAATTGGTGATCCAAACTTGATCCGAATGATATTACCTTGATGATAAAAAAAATCATCCATCGTCACTTTCAATTAAAAACATAAGGTTTGTGTTTCTGCAGTCGTTTGCGCATGCGTAGTTGCAGTTTGCAGGTTAGTGAGTGAAATTTATGGGCATGCGCGGAAGAACATTCCCTTCTCTAGACAAATATCATAGTCGAACAAGGAGCATCATTTTTTACCGTATTAGGGCCACTATATTTGCTATAGCTATATGGTGGTTCAATTGTAATTATATCTATGCATGTTCTATGTGTTTAGGTTAGTTGCATCATCGATGTTTGAGGTTGACCGTAACTGCTTCGCTTTCTGTGTGCAGCAAAAAAGAAAAAGGTTTAGTGATATGGTTTCTGTGGTGGCAGGCGTATCACATTTTCCGACTAAATCTTGCCACGAAGGACAATAGATAGAAAAATTCAAAAGTGGTAAACGACGACTATATCTACGAATTTGTCATTATTTGTCAATTTTTTTTTATGGCTCTTTATTTGGTCATTTACTCCATATGTAACTTACATCTGTTATTTATATTAAATTAACCAGTAATTTGAAATATGGTAACCTAATTTAACTTAAGACACGAATTTTGAAGTTTTTGTAGACGTCGATTCCTACTGAGTCAACATAGAAGCTAAAAACAGCCCAGCAATGATTTGGCTGATATACGCATATAAAAGTACATCTTCCTATATACGGTCGGTCCTCGTACTTTTTTATAAAAGTGAAATTTTTAAAGAACGATTCATTCAAAGAACTGGCGGGAAGCAATATAATTTGTGGGTGGGGTAATATGCTGCAGGGTTCTGAGGTAGGCAAGCCGATTCAGTATGATTTTAATTCATTCCATTGTGAAGAGCACTTAAGGTGTAATGCTTGTCTAAATCCATCATTATGGAAGATCGAAAAACTCGAATAAACATAGCAGGCAAAGTGAAATTTTACTTTATCAAGTAAAAGTGGAGAAAATGTTGTTTAGCTGGAGTGGAGAAAGTGCAGAGGTTCATTACCTAAATTATTTTTTCTAGATAACCGTAAAAGGGTTTGAGTTTCGTGAAGCGCCATTTTTGTTATAAAAAATTTTGACAATAAGGCGATAAACGCTAAAGAAAAATATAAAATGCCCCTCAATAGATTTCGCAAAAAAATTAATTGGTCGGGATCTACGGAATAATGAAAAGCGGCTTCGAAGAAAATCGAATTCCTAAATTTGTAGATAATAACCGCCGGGGGCAAATGTAGGTCACCGAACCGATTCCACGCGAAAATTGACTGGTTCCGACAATATGAAAATACCAAACCGCAGGTAAACAAAGGAAACGTTTACTCACCTATGCTATCAGCTGATCGGAGGATTTTGTTTATAAATAGACACCGGAGCACAGAACTCGAACGATATATCTGCCGCATTAAACCACTGAATAAGGTTTTGAGCGAGTGTTGACTCTCTTTATGTTGTATTTTGCTCCCCGATCCCCATTCTCGGAGCGAATTCGTTGCGCTGCGCAAGCCCATCGAGGAAATTACATTTCGTGAGAACAGAAATTTTCATTGGGGCGACCGTCATTCAATAAACGTACTTTAATAACTATAATAACTATTTCGTGTCTCGATGTCACATCGAATTGTCGCTTGTAAATTTGTTTGAGCTTTGCGCGTGCAATTGAGAATTCAACTATAGTCGGTTTATTTGGAATGTAGAGTAATTTAGTCGAATTAAGGTATGCACAGTACGTGGTGTTGGCTACGTGATCTTCCATGTGGCTTCCTAACTTTCCACTCTTCTCTATTTTTGTTTCAAGAAATTTATCGAATTGAGGTATGGTCTGTTCATAGATATAAGAAAGTGACCAATTGCTTTTGAATGGGATTATCTAGGGGTGGTCATTAACATACAATACAACAAGATTATTACCTAAAGTTTCGGAATTTAAATTCAGGTAAAATTGTGATCCGTAATAGAAAATAATTTTATACCTACCTGTGTTTAATATTCTTTAGTTTGGTATACTACTTAGTTTAAGTTTATATAGAAAAAGCAGAACAATCGCATATCCATATTGCAAATAATATAGAACAAATAATAATTAGAACAGGCGATGATAGCGATAGTGATACTGATATATTATGTGAATAATTTTAATTAATTTAATTAGGTAATAAAGAAAATTTGTAAAATAATTAAATTCTTATCAAAGTACGGACCTGTTCGGCCATATTTCATTCTCACAGCTTACCCGGGTCTTTCCTTAATTCGTATCAGTTAGTCACTTTCTTATATCTATGAACAGACTTTAGCGATGTTTTACATGCAACGGTCATACCACGTTGATACACTAGATGCCGTCCGATCTCTTAAGTTAAATAACCTCGGACGCCGTTGAATTGGGTGACCGCTTGGAACACCCCGTGCCGTTGTCTGTTTTTGGCTGTTTAAAAATATTACTGTATTTATTAATTTATTTTTAAAGCATATACATTTATTTCATTTATTTTTCCAATTTTTCACTTTCTTATATCTATGAACAGACTTTACCAAGTAAGTTACCTATTTCCCGGTTTTGCATTGTCTTGCAAGCTGATGAGCTACTAAACCAGTACATAGAAGTAATTGTAAACATCTACAATTTAACTCTGCGGATGCTTGATTTGTGATAAACAAAACACAAGTTTTAAAAGTGTCCAAAGTCAGAAGCACTTTATTTCCATAGAAAATGCAACATATTTTATAAAGATAATTATAAATTAACACCGATGAAAAATAAAATACACAGGAAATGTCCACACATTTTTTAAATGTTTTCAATTATACAGGGTGGCAATACAAAAATATATCTTTTTAAACGCAACTCCTGCATATTTTTGCCTATTATGATTCCTCCGAGAAATGTGGATTATGACTCCGCAATTCTTCCCGAATTTTAATGCGAGGAAATCAACTTACTATTGGAAAAAAAAGAAAATTTTTCAAAGAATATGTTTTTCTATATTACAACTCTCGATCTGCATCGCTTGCAAGTTCAAAAATGGATCGTAAAATAGTATAATGTACTATTAAGAGTTCAGTTAGGCGTCTAAGTAATTATTTCACACAGGGTGTTTTATAAAATCCTGCCAACTTGGCGAAGTTTAAACTAATTTTCCTAATTTTCTAAATGTAACACTCTGGATCTAACTACTTCATCGTTTTCAGCTTTACACTTTTGCCATTTTTATCCGGGTTTCCCTATATCTATCGATACAAGCTTTTTCATGAAATTATTATATATAATTTTATTATTTATTAATAACAAAAACGTATTTTTGAGCAAATAGCTAATTAAATCTTATATTTAAAATGTAATTGTATCACAAATTTTTGTAAATTAATAAGAGAAACCAATATTAAGGAAAAACTTGGATCGATAGGTGTACGGAACTCTTAACAAAAGTTATAGACGCACAATAGCTGGAAATTATGAAGCAGTTAGATACAGAGTCTTCCATTTGAAAAATCAGATAAAAAATAGTTTAAATTTTAAGTTTGCTTGAATTTGAAAAACCCCTTGGTTGAAAAAATTGCAGAACGATAGATATAGGTGATAATAGACAAACATGTTCTTCATTTTTTTTTTTTCTAATTAATAAAATTGTTTAAAATTGTGCTAAATACTGGAGATATTGTACTATTGTCATACTATTGGGCCACCTGTAAAATATGTTGTCTTCGGAGACAGGAAATTCAAATACTAACATGCCCAAACTCTAAACAATGTTCTGGATTCCTCCTGCGTCGGTTTTTGCTGAGTCGAAATTGCTGACGTTTCGCCAATCATCCTGTTGTCTTCTTCAGAGTTTCCAGAAGAGAATAGTATTACAGTAACCTGTGGAAATTTCTTTAAACAATTATCGTGACGTCTTCTATAATCATAATAAACAAATAAAAATGAGAAGACTAGCGATATATTTTTAAATATTGCTTTACCTTAAAACTGAAGGAAACTCAGGAAGCAAAAAATTGTAAATATAATGAATTTGTAAAGAGTTTATAATACCTTAGACATCAAATATACCAAATAAAATTCCGAAGTAAATTAAAATAATTTGAATTTCCGGTAAATACTAACTTTTGCGATTTGTTTTAGGTAAAATCAGTGCCCGGGATTTTTAATAAACTATAACTAAATTAACTAAACGGACATTTTCCTATAATAAAACTGAAAAGAGATTCTGGAAAGTTCAGCTGATATCTCGAAGTGGTAGTGTGGTACTATAAAGCATTTTACATGAGTTATGCGTTATGAGTTATGCTGTTAAATAAAACTTGCTCTTAATAAAAAATGCTATAATCTTATCACCTGCGCCAAATAAAAATCGCGGTATTCAGTTTTTTCTATTGGCGTTTTTGGACTTAATGATCGCAATTTATCAAAATAAGAAAGGAAATAAAACTATTTTATAATAAACGTTGGTCTATTGCCGTAGCGGAACACACGAATTATTTTCGAACCGAAACAAATAGGAGTAATAAGAACGCATTAAATAATTTAGTCTACTGTCCTCGGGTGGCATATGGGTTGACCGAAACATCCTTTACATGCGATGGTTCAAATAATTCAAAGCGATTGTTTTTTTTTTAAATTAAGGATCCATTTTTGGAAGCAATACGTCACGTAGTCACGCAACTGTATTTGCCACGCTTGCTCTTGATGGATTGACTCACTACAAAGCATTGTATTACAGATGGACCGCTATTGTATGTATGTATTCTTTGGTACTATCGTTGAAGAACATGGGTTGTAATAATTTAAGTTGCAAAATCGCCTTTTTGCAAATATACAAAACAATATAGCACTGAGTGGGACCAGGCCCCAAACAGATGGTTTCAGAACTCTGCTGATAGAAAATGATCGGTATTTCGAAAAAACTAAAAATAATACTGAGATATTGAGAAAGAATTGACAATTAAGAATACTAATCAATTGAAAGGTAGAAAAGTTAACAGCAGAGATAAAGACTTGGTGTTTCCAACAATCTACCTATTTATTACTTTTTACCTGAATAAAATGGAATTTTATTGTACTATGTTTAGACAATTTTACAGGTACATTATAGCGAGTCAAAAAAAAGGAATATGGATAACAAAGAAATACCAAGTCAGTTGAAAGTTAATTTTATTAACAATAACTAATTTCAGTGTATCTGTTGGATAGTATTTTTATGTTAAGGTCAATCAATTAATCTCTTATGCCCAAGATCTTGCCACTGAATCTATTACCAGTGTTTCTTTAATTTAGGTAAATCCTTTCTTTACCCCAGCAAAAACCTCTTTTACCAGCTTTTCTTAATAAAAATAAAAGATGACAATTTTTGAAGCTTTTATTAATTAGCAACATTTTCAAACTGACTCAAAATCTTACAATTAATTAAATCATTTATTTACAAAGAAGCGCAGAGTTCCATAAGTTTGTAGGGATTACCGGCGCTAAGAAACCTTAATTCGTCGTCTTGTCCGGGATATGGGGTCACCCATTTTCTCTCCCTATAATATTCCATGCAGCTTAGCACTTCCTTATCTGAGTAGGCGGGAACTGAGATGGGCACAAATGGATCCATATGCTCGAATCCATCCTTTCCCAGCAAATATCTAATATACAATGCAATACCTTACTTTTCTGAAAAACTTTTGTCAATTTTGTAATTATCATTAATAAGCAAAAGAAAAAAGAAAATAGTTATAACATCACTTCACAGAAATTACAAAATAAACCGGGCAAACAGCCAGGGCAAAACTATTGCCTGAAAAGCAATAATACCAGAGGAACCAGTTTTTCAAAGTTCGCACATCGATTTGTAGATGGCGCAAGGAATAAGGCTATGGTAAAAGCACACTGTAAAAGTGTAAACCCGCGCATTCATCAAATATTCAAAAAACAATAAAATTGTACCTTGGCAAATGTGAGATCTGATCTTCTTCCGCAATTGCGATTTCGTCGACAGTCACGACTACTGCTCCATTTCGCCAATCAAATTTAGACAAATTCCTGAATGCTTCCGCTAAAACCACACGACTCGGCGGTACCATCTCTTTCTTTTCTGTGTACACCCTTGTTTTTGGATAAAAAAACGCGTTGAAACCATCAACCGCCACTAAAGTTCTGCATCGACCATCCCGCGCCAAAGCTTTAATATTTTCGGCCAAGATATTAACACAATCGGAAGCAAATTTGACCCTGCTTATACCATGTTCAACCAGTTCAAGTAAAGGTGCACCTTTCTGTGTGACTTCCCTTAAAATATATATATTGATTAGAAATAAACATTAGAAAAACGTTTAAACAACAAACCTTTTAGACCATTCAATGTCTTCATTCACAACAAGAGCAGGATCTTTTAAGAGTTCTGCATTCTGTGTTTTGAAATGCATTAACCAGGCAGAGGCATCAAGATTGAGGTTAACAAACCCTTCTTTCGTTTCTGAATTGCTAAACTCTTTAGCTCTTCTCATCCAATTGCCAACCCAAGGCACATGAAATAACAAAAAGTCATTGTTGTGTGCCCAGTGAATAATGTGGACTAGAGATAGTGACTTGCCGGAGCCCTTTTTGCCATACAAAACAAATCTTACCACTGGTTTTGAGTAATCTATCGATTTCAGGCAATTTATAATGTCTAAAGCTGGCTTCCTGATCATCAAACATGTCTCATTGAATGTTTGCGCTTGCACAGTGAATGTTTTAGGAATGCCGCCGTGTTGGAAAAGTTTACTTTTGATATCTCTTGGTATTGAATAAAACTGCGCAAGGTTATTCACCGTATGCTTCGACGGATCGCTTTCCAATGTTCTGACGTTTATTTCGATTCCTGCTTGACTCGCTGTGGACAAAAAGATATTTTTTGAGCGATGGTTTTCGCAAATTTTGCTTGAAATTGATCTAAACATCTTAGAACGCTAGATTATAGTTATAGGTTAGGTTTAAATTCATTCCTTGTCTCCTTTACTTTTCCTGGCCAAATTAATGAGATCATTCGACGATTCTCATCCAATACGTTCTCATCTTGATGAGCTTACTTATTATCTTGTTTTTATTATGAAATGTCAATTAGAATAAGAAATATTTATTCGAAATAACGGAAAATACATATGTTTATAACAATTTTGCAACATTAGGCCGTAAGCATCGAATAAGTGCATATTATCTAATATTAATTAAGACTTTTTAGCACGTACGTAGCTACAGCGTTATTTAGCAAACCTGTAATAACAGACTCAAGCCATTACAATTATTAATCCACTGAGATCACTGACGGTGCCTGAGAAATCTCTGTTTACAGATTGTTGCAGCAAAAAAAAAAGTAAACAATAAATAAAAATTAATCAACGTAACAGAGCCTGCAAACCTTGACTCATTGACGCATTAATAATTCACGAACAGACATCGTGATCATTTTGACTCGCAGCGCGAATTTATTATATGTATTCCAGTTTTAATTATCCTCTATACTTGCTGGCGGAAAGTTTACCTTGGCTGTAAACTAATACATAAATTTGTTATATAAAGCAATACCGATAATTCCTTCATTTTTCGGATCATATATAACGCGCATTGAAAGCTGTGACGTCAATGGATGCTACCTACAAGCAGGTCGTGGGTACATACCTACATGGGTGGTAGCATTAGCCAATATGCCTTTGGTAAAATATTTAAAGAATTAGTTGTGCAATCTATATTAATTTAAATTTAATATGTTCCTTATAATAAAATCAAATTGTTAATAACAACAAATTATAATTTAAATACTTTTTGCATTAATGCGGGATATTCCGGAAGTGAACTTTGTTGATCTGTTATAGGAAAACCATAATTATTAAAAATTGTGGATTACACCTACTTTCCTGTTTGATAAAAGTACTGTATATTTTTTACACTGGTCTTATTTTTATACGCCGCAGAACACGACAAAGAGGCTTCAGCAATCAAATGTCGATGGAAAATACTAATTTTTCATATGGATTATTTTACTGTAATGTTGTAAAAAAAAATATAATAAATTATTAATTATCCATGAGTAGGTGTATTATTGATTATTAATATATTAATATTCCAGCTTAACTATTACACAGAGGGAATGAAACTTGAGACCAAATAAAAAAAATGGGTGTTTTAGATCTAATCGAATAATATTTGACGTTCCGTCAAGATTTCACTCTTTTATTTATTTATGTAGGAATTCTTCTAATATAGTATACGAAATTAACCAAAATCGATCAAGAATTTGTAATTGTTGATGATTGTAGCAAACCCACCTTTAACCTAATCATCCAACCTTATCCAGTTGCTAAATCTAGTTGTGACATAAATATTAACTTTAACTATTTGAGACGTCGAATATTTGAGCTAAGCGTGTGATTCGCAAATAAACTGAAAGTTGTCATTTATCATATGCGCTTCAATTAATTACGAATAAATTTATTGATAATTATCGAAATTTGGCAGTACCTACTAACGTTGGTCAGAAAAGCAATCATTTTGAAAATGTTATTTACTGGATTGTGGCTGGCGACTGATATTATCTTTATCACGATTAAAACGATTTTGAAAGACTACATTTTAACCACAAAGTTTTGCGCTTCATTTTTGTGCGCAATTGCACTCGAACTTCGAATTCAGAAAAATTATCACGTGGAAAAGGTCATTTCCTCTTGTAGAGGGTCGATTATTGTTATCTTCGCTATTATTAGACTGATTTTAGGAGACTCGAGACTCACCTACGTCGTATATGAACCGTGTCTAAGGTATGTGCTAAAAAATTCAGGTCTTCTTTCGACTTCTAAAAAATGCTTCAAAAACTACAACTACAATCACAATCATAAAGAGTTGTTAAAAATCACATACGCCACACACAGTTTTAATAGACAAAAGTGTGAAAAAAAGATTACGGCGTTCAAAATTCATACATTCTATAGATTTAACTTTGCAAATTTAAATAATGACATGAAGTGAATTTGAGCGCTTTGAAATTTTCTCTTAATGAATTTTAGTGGCGGTGTAAATAAAGATATAAAGACATATTCCAATCGTAATTATTCAATGTATCCAATACAAATAATTAGGTTTCTTGTGAGAAAATGATTTGCTATTTTGCACAATCAACTTGGTGTAAGTGCCACTAACCAACTAGATATATTTAGATCCTTACGGTATAACCCAACGAAATGGAATGTCAAGGTTGTTAAGGTATTGTAATTGCTTTTTTTTACTAAAATTCTATAAAAAATAACTATAAAGGTATGCGTTTCCGAATTTTAAAGCATCAGCTTATTCGCGAATATGTAGGAAATTTACCTCAAGAGTCTGACCGAATTTCTTTCACTATCTTTCTCGTATCTTATCTCGTCATCCATAAGACAAGATAAATCTGCAAACTGTTTTGAAAAAATTCCGCGGACTATACTGTCGAATTTTGTATGATTATTCGGGTATTATTTGGAGTCCCAAATCTGCTTGCAAATATCCTGAATTTTACAATAGGAAAAATACGGAAATCCCTGGTCCGTATTATTCCGATCACGGTGTGTAAGCGCATTTGAATAGAGGGTTTCACAAAATAATAACGAAAATGTGGATTGAGCAGGTCTGAAATATTAACCATATGATTTCGATTGCCTATGCTGGTTATGGAATGCACATACGGAAGGATGTGTTAAATGCGACATTTAAAATTATAATAATTTGATTATTCTGGACAATACCCTATAATATCTAATTATGCGTAGGTAAAATGTGCGGAAATTATCACTGTAAGACGCTAAATTCGTTACCCATCCAAGCCACTTCAGACATCTCCTGTGCTTTAATCATGGGTTTGGGATACGTCACACATTATCTATGAAATGTACGTAAAAACTAATGGTGGACTTCTTTAATCACTCGTTTATTAAGCATTCGCACTATTTGTTCTTGCTTTGGGTATAAAGCTTAATATCTATTGTAATTCAGATTCGCCCCACGATAAGTAAATAAATAAATAAAATCATTGGTTTTTTTTTACCAAACACAATTAAAAGAATTATCTTTGCCATAGTCTGGCAGACAAGATAAGTACAAGCAAACAAAAACTCAACAAACAATAAACACATTTTTGTTTTTGGGAAAACATTACGTAAGTATGAGAGGGAGGGAGAGAGGCGGAATTGATCTCTAATGAGTTTGACTCTGAATAAAGATAAGTACGGCACTAATAGTTTCATTTCTAGAACTACTTGACTAGCTAACCAACATAGTCATATTGACTGGTCTTGGAACTAAGTCTAAAATAATTTCGGGTAGAAAATACTATATCTACTCCTTATCTCTTCAAGCTGATCCATTTTAGCGATCTCCATTTTGACTACTATATATCTTTTAGTTTGTATAATTTACACTATAAGCACAGTTTAGTACAACAAAACCTGCCACAGCAATATAGCAAATAGCAAATATAAATCAAACAAATGCGGTCAGTTTTACTTTTTTATATTGTTCAACATTTTTTGGAACCAAGCCTTAGAATTAATTACATGTAGCAAATAGTATTGGTCAATGGTCGGCTATTTATCTTTGGATCAGGATAGCAGACAAGACAAGTGGCAACCAAAGACATAACAAAACAGAAAACACATTTTTTTTGGGGAAAACGTTTATTAAAAATGACAGTGGAATGGATGCTGAATTGACTGTCTAGCCAACTCTCATTATCAGATTAACTTTTTTGCATAGTTCAACATTTTTTGGAACTATATTAATTTCTAGTAGAAAATGCTATTGTGGCTTGCAGCTCTGAATGTATTTGTACTCGTTAAATATTATTTTATTATTATTCTCTCTTTAATTATCTAACGTAATCGGCTTGTTATTGTTTTATTTTATTTTATTAAATTAGTGTGAATTTTGGTTACTCTTCTCAATAATGCTCTTTTGTTCCTGTTTCAATGTAAATAAATTCTGAAAAGTAAATAATAATAAAACTGTGCTAACATCACTGAATATGCTTGGAGTTTTCATCGTCGGGCTCGGTAAAATTTTAAACTAAACAAGCACTACATTAACTGGAACAGGTACGATTGAAAAAATTATCTTTGGATCGGGTTGGGTGACAAGACAAGTGCAAGCAAACAAAAATTCAACATAACAATAATACATATTTTTGTTTTTTGGAAAACACTGCGCAAAAATGAAAGTAGGAGGGATGCTAAATTGACTGTCGATTGAGTTTGACTGTGAATAAAGGTAAGTACCGCGTCAGTCAAGTGCGACAGTCGCTTCGAAACCCAACTACCGGTACTATTCACTGATTCAGTGGACGACATACGATCGCGCCTATTTTTTGAAATTTGGTTTTTGGTGATTTCAAACAAATTAATAACGCGTAAGTTCCTGATTTATTTTTGATCGCTTTTTGTTGCTTACAATTTTCGATAATTGTTGCGGGTTAATCTGATTATTTATTAGAATTAGAAGTTTGCCTTTTCTGCAATCTCGTCCCAGATGTTCATGAAATGAAACGATACAACTGACAAAATTCTCGCAGATCATTTACACGTTGCTGTGCAGACAATTAGTCTCTCATTTGCCATTGGCGCTCTCATAACTTTAAAAACTGATCTTGGAAAAAGTGTAACAATATGTATTACATGTTTTTTTATTTGAAGATTAAGTACTTTTCGTTTTATTTGATTAAATAAATAAATAAAAAATCTAATTTTTTTAAATCTCCGCTCGAGATTTTTAATAGGTAAAATAGAATTTTACTCTAGTTGAATGTAAACACTTAGTTGGCATTATGTATATATTGTTCATGTGTTGGTTTGAACTTTAAGTGAATTAAAGCTCTTATTTGATTTACCCACTTATGTAAGAAAATTTTTGCTTCATAAAACAAACATAACGCTTATGGAAAGTAATCCTTAAAAGATTTTTTTTTATTTATGTCTTTACTGTGAAAATATAATTTAATGATCCATATAATATTAACTCCGGCTGGTTATACAGAGTGTTTGGCCTGACAACCGTTACAGGTGCAATGATTGATTCTTGTTGCTTCCGAAAAACTTTTTGCAGTCGTTTCCAATAAGAACCCGATTCACTAGAAAGACGTCTTCTAATGTTTAAAAACACTCCAAGTATTCATGTTGCCCTCGATTACTTTAAATGGGTACATGAAAAGTATAATAACAATACTGGGGAATTAGAAGCAGTTAATATATAAAAAAGAAATACACAAATTCTTTAGCGGTCACAATACAGCTCATTAGGCCATTTTAACCACTTTTACCTTAATGAAGTAAACACAAATTAGTTAGTAATTTGATTGTAATATCATTTCCCACTATTGAAATATTATAGAAGGTCAGGTGAAACTTCAGTGTTACGAAATATTTGTCTAAGAATTCTGTTATTGATTTTGGATTTTTATAGAGACCCTAGATTTCTTGAGATGGCGGTTACAAAACTCGTATCTATACTTAATAAAAATCAGGTTTTGTTAAATATTACTCCAAAACCAATCAAATTCAATTAAACGTTTACAGTTGGCTGCATAACACCTTGAAATTAAATTAGGAAATCATTCACTTCTCTCGAGTTGATGCTTGTACCTTTACTATCGGTTATAATTTAAAATATGAACAGATCGAATCTCTTGCAACTGTTAATACTGAGACCTTCTGTTTAGTTATTTTAATGCAATTATTTTTACCATCCACTAGCTTCTAAATTCCTGCCTCCGAAAAATTTACTTAGATTGAGAATCCAAGGGAAGAAGTTTCAAGGTTTCTCAGGCGTTGAAAGTTTCCCGCCGCAGGAATGCAGGCTACGACAAAGTTGATAAACAAAAATTCGTATCGGCAAATCTTTAGAGTACACTCACTGCTTATCAAGGTTCATGCCCCAATATTTTGAGTGGTTCATGTTCGCGATTGCGTGCAGACGGGTTCCTGACAAACACTTACCTACGCATCGGACGTCAGATCGTTTTGCAAAATTTTGACATTGTGATTGCTAAATAAATTCAGACGAACCTGCTATCGCGGTAACTGGTACAAGGTCCATGAGCGTATACGTTTACCTTCGAATTATTTCTCAGTTTCGCTAATGCTTCGAGATTCTTAAGTTCGTTCAAGTCAGAATTAAAAATCATGAAGACGATATCTACCACGGAACAGAGAACGGTTTGAATTGCAATGTACAAAAAGCAAATTAAAAAAAAAATGTTTTTTCGTTAATATTTTAACAATCTTCTAACCAATTTTGTTAAAAATTGTCAAAAATGACCAAAACTCTATATAAGGCTATGTTGATTATCCAGCAGCCAAGTTAAATTCACGTTTCTGTTAAGAAATATAAGACAAAGATATTGGAATTTCAAGATATTCTGGAAAAATATTTACCTTACAAGAGCAGCTATCAGATTAGGCATTGGTACCTAATACTCAGTTAGAATGTCTAACTGAACTATTTCAAATAAATAGCGACTTAACAGTAAACCTCAAAAAAAGTTTTAAAACAATATTAAAATCTTTTGACTAAACGAAAATAATAATAATTTCAAAAAAATCGATGGAAATATAGAATAGAATGATTTGATTTGATTTTCGATATATAGTTTTTTAAAATTTATTTCTTAAATTAATATTTTTAAAAGTTTGTCCTCAGGTAATATTTTGCGTGTTAAATTATAGATACTAAGCTACATTGTATTGTTCATAGGAACTAAATAATTCACATTCTACTCTATTCTACTTAATGGTGTTTATGCTCGAAAAAATAAATTAATTAATATATAATAAATAATAAAAGAAAATGAAAATTATTAATTTCTGCATGGTATCCACTTTTGTGAATATTTCTGACAAATTTAAATTAAATTGATGGCAAAATATTTATAAAACCGTAACCATTTCCGCCCACTTTAAAGCGCCCGTAGCAAAACTATCCGCCAATTTTTTAAAAATAAACAAACAGGTAAGGTCGCCTGACGCAATTTTAACCAAAACCTTCATTCTTTTCTTCCGCCTCATTCAGTTATCAACCATGTGGTATTTCATAATGCTTCAGTTCTATTTCGCTCGAAGCACTGTTAGCTAAAATTAATCATCAGGCCGAACTGGTTGCCTGATACGCATAGAAAGTACATTTAATTCGGCATAAGTGCGCAATGGACGTGGGTGCCCAAAAAGGACGAGTCCAGTTACCACAAAGATAGCAAAAACTTTTTTTTTGTTAATCATTTATTCTTATTAAATTGTATCTATATTATAGCACACTTTAAATTTAAACAATTATAAAGATGTTTCAAAAAAGAAGAGAAGTGATATTAGTTAGTTATTTGAAACACCCTCTCTTATTTACTTCTGGTTCAAAATTGAAAGTCATATGTTTTGCCGGGCTTTCTCTCCGCATTTTTTTTATCCGAACAATGTAATTTTTCGTAAACGCAGATTTTCTTTTTAAATCCCGCGGTTGCCAAATGATTGGCTATTTTTTAATCGGACAATGACAAACTCTGTTACAACTATCAATGAGGAGGTGAACGGTATACGGTAGGTAGAAAGTGGTCCGATCTTTTACCTATAATCCACAGAATTTGCGCAAAAACTTAAACGGCAGATAATTGCTGCAAACAAGTCTGACGACCAGAAGAAAGTATGTCTACCGCAAGTTCGGCATGATATAAACGTTTTGAACGCCGTATCTTCAGTTTTGTCCTTTGCTCCTCGGCACTTCTTAACTGACTGGGAAAATAGGAAGTAGCTACTCTCCTGATTTTCAAGAATCCAAGTTCAAATATTCTCATGGAAGCAAATTTTTATTCTTCTACACACATGTTACTTTACAATGTGATAAACGTGGTTACATCATAAAGCAAATACCTTGTCGTTACACCCAGACTACAGTTTGACGATTTCCAGGGTCATAAAGAACGTTATTTGAGCGCTGGCTAAATTATATAGAATCTACATTACTGTAAAGTGTATGTAAACATATTTAAATTTCAGAATGGACTTGCAACCTAACGAGAAGCAGTATAACGTAGGTAATGGTGAGCAGCCGCACCAACCTTGGTACGGATCGAAGTCTAGTTGTGTTTCAGAAAAAAGGTAATATTGATAACTTAACACGTGCTAGCCTTCAATAAAAATGGACGCCACTGATATGCGGATTAATATAGATATTTGTTTCTATGACAAACTCGTCATAGAGACAAATTCGCAAAATTTTAAAATAAATTTTAAAACTTTACGTATATCGAGAACTTATTGAAAATAACAACTATTATTATAATAGTATACATCTATGGAAAATAACTATTTCATTTAAACCGCACTTTTAAAAGCTCGCAGAGAATGCGCGAGCCTCTGGCGGAAACTGAAGCCGTTTTCAGAGCCATTAAGTCAAAATTACGTTATAGTCCCTTTTTACCCTCGGCAGTCAAGACATACAACCCTGAAAAAGGTTTTTGATTCCCTTATGTTCATACTTCATAAGAAACGTCGGGTTCCACATTCCTTTATCCCCATATCGCGCAAGAAATGGGATTTGCGGAAAAAACGGGCTCTACATGTGCTCGCTTAAATCTGTAAAAAAATTACTAACAGGAAAATCGTATTTTGCAGGGTGCCCTATCTTTAGTTTAAAGCCTCTAAAAGTAAAGGCTTATACATTTAAAAAATGATGTGTTTTTTGAATTGTTTTTGTGTATACTAGAGGGTATATAAAACAAAAATATTTAAAATACTTTATATAAGAGACCACCCGGGAGCAAATTAAAAATATTTTGGACAAATTTTTTTTTTTTTCAAAAGTGTACTTATAGATGCGTCCATAGAAAAATGAACTTCGGGTGCACCTTGACTTCGAATACTATTTTTTCTGATAAATCCACAGGGAGGGTCGTTAGAGACTGTAAATCTAAAATTGGAAAACTGTAAATTGGAATAACAAGCTTTGGTTAAAAATAAAACTTCAGTTAAAATAAACTGATCGAGAAGTTCGTCATCTAAACACCGTAATACAAATTATGTACAATATAATTGCAAACGTTTTATCATTATTAATTAAGTACGTTTTTATACGTACTTTTCAAATCAACTTCGTCTTTTTACCCTCGAAATAACCGAACTAATTTGATCCATCTGAGTTTACGAAGGCGTGTTATTTCCACTCTAACAAATTGTCAATTCCAGCAATGGTGACAGTTTCATGACTTTCCAGTCGAAGGACCCCATAATCTCCATACCGCTCGAAGAAAAAGTTCCTAAGGATAAAGTTCCTGGCAGTGGCGGCGCGCACGGGCACGGAATGCCCGTCGAACACCCGACGTCGTAAGTAGGATAGGTAATGACTAAGTTTGTGTTATTACCTTATTTTAGTTTTTTATTTTTTTCGGAACGGATGAAATCTCTTTACGAAATATTAAATTGTTTATTAAAAGAAGTTCTTCGGGACATTGCGGCTTGTATATACAGGGTGTCTTGAAATGGGAAGTTAAAATTTTAACCATTGACTGAAAAAGGCGTGGAAGTTCTTATAAATTGGTGTCCACAACTTTTTAAGATTACTTTTTGTTAATGTTTTCCAAACCTGGCAAGTGTAATTGAATATAATTTGGCACAGTCACTATATTCTACTTCGGTGTAGAGTCATAAGACATCCAATATTTTATGAGAATTTGTTAATGTGGCATTGAAGTTTATCAATTTTTAGCATATGGTCGGTTCGTTTATTCAGCACCGTACCCCTTATATTTAAGGTGATTTTTTACCAACGTACTTCTTGTATGCATTTGAACGCTGTTAATTTAACAATATAATGATAACATATATTTTGAATTCGTTTCAGCTCTTGCATGATAAATCTATATCTACTTATATATTGATAATAAATATTTTGAATCCATTCCAGTCTTAGTATTCAGGAAAAAAATTAATGCCCATTTGTTGAATTTGTAAAAGTCGTTGTACTAAACAAACTATTATTCTAGAAATAATAAAATTTAGACTCTTATTATTATTAACTTTGATCAAGATCTTATGCTAGATTTCGCCTTTTGAGATTTAATGAAAGTATATTTAGTTTATATTGGTATATTGGTAATTTTTTTACAATAATTAAAAACATCTCAATAAACACTATTATTATTTTTATTATCTGTTCAAAAATAATGACATCCAATACAAGAAATGTTTGCGGAGGGGACACAACAAAAATAAACGAAATTTTATTTTAACAAATATTATCAAAAAATTACCAAATATTATCAAAATTGATAGAAAATAAAAATTATAGTATAGGTACTGCGTTTCCGATCATATTTTGACACACGTACGGTGCCTTTATATTTTTTTATATTTTAGTTGAATTATATTGTAAAAGTCATATTTTTCTTCATGTTAAAAACTGTCTTCATCTGTTGATATTATGTTGAAAGCGTTCGATCAACCCTGTTATCATTTTTTTTTCTTTTTTGATAACATCATAGACTGGCAGCTTTTTGCCAATTCTCTGCAATTATTTCCATTGTCGTATTAATTTTACGATCCTTAAATTTCATCGTACTGTGCTTTAATTAACTCGAACTTAGGATTGGTTCATGTTTTTCGGTTGGAATACAACGTAACGAATTACTCAATTTGAAGTTTTGCCTACAATAGTATTGAAGATCCGGTCCTAAGTAGGTTTTGTTAAATCGAAAGACTTCATTGTCGATCTTGCCTAATCTGAAAGGAATGCGAAAAAAATGCGCACTTTAAGCATACCTCGAACAATAGCCGTAATGAGTTGTGCCAATAACGTGAGAAATATTTTTACCAATGTCGCTAATGAATCGAATTTTCCGCATTTGCACACCGCGTTAGCATGTCGAATTATGCGCACAATTGGGTATATAATTAAAATAATTCCTGGGAATTAAAGCTTTTCAAAGAAAAATAGACAAAATATCTCCCAAGCAGCGAACCGAAAATACGTTATACAACCGGGCATGTTTTTCTAACAATCGAAATACATTTACATTCAACAATTGAAAATAAGAAAAAAAATCATATATAAAGGGTGTTTTTTTTTTCGATGTATAGAACTTTAAGTTGCAATAAAACAACGATGGATTATTCGTTTGACATGAATTTTATTTTTCCGAAAGATAATCTTGTGGCATTACATTTTAAATATGATTTCTGGCATATGACCGTCACGGCTGGCGCGGATGTAGTCCAATCTGGACGTCCAATTTTCGATGATTTTTTCCAACATTTGTGGCCGTATATCGGCAATAACACGGCGAATGTTGTCTTCCAAATGGTCAAGCGTTTGTGGCTTATCCGCATAGACCAATGACTTTACATAGTCCCACAGAAAGTAGTCTAGCGGTGTTAAATCACAAGATCTTGGAGGCCAATTCACAGGTATGAAACTTGAAATTAGGCGGTCACCAAACGTGTCTTTCAATAAATCGATTGTGGCACGAGCTGTGTGACATGTTGCGCCGTCTGGTTGAAACCACATCTCCTGGACATCATGGTTATTCAATTGGGGAATGATCACCATTGACTGTAACCTTCTGGCCATCATCGTTTTTGAAGAAGTTCGGACCAATGATTCCACCACCCCATAAAGCGCACCAAACAGTCAGTTTTTCTGGATGTAACGGTGTTTCGACATACACTTGAGGATTAGCTTCGCTCCAAATGCGTCAGTTTTGTTTGTTGACGTAGCCATTCAACCAGAAGTGCGCTTCACGCTAAACAAAATTCGCTTATGAAAATCGGGAACAACGGCAATTTTGTTTTGGGCCGATTCGACGAATTTACGCCTTACTGGATGATCGTTCGGCTTCAATTCTTGCACGAGTTGGATTTTGTAAGCACGTAAACCAAAATCCTTCCGCAAAATCTTCCATAAAGTGGACGGACACAGATCAAATTCCTGTGCTCGATGGCGGATGGACTCATTCGGGTCTTCCTCAATGCTACGCTCTACAGCAGCAATAGCTTCTTCTGTACTCACCGTACGGCGTCTCTGGGGATGCGAGTTATCGATAAAAGTAAACGTGGTGCAAAAACGTTCCTTGGTTAATCGAATTAACTGCTCTGATGGACGATTTTGTCGATGATAAAATGGACGTAGTGCGCGATACATATTCCGCACAGAACCATTATTTTCGAAATAAAATTGCAGTATTTGCAAGCGTTGTTCAGGCGTGAGTCCATTCATGATGAATTGCCAAATCAAACTGAGAATAAATCACTAGATAGCTGTTAAATCGGTCGCCATCTTGAACAGTAATGCCAACTTAAAGTTCTATACATCGAAAAAAAACACCCATTACATGGATCCTAAAATGCTTTGTGACGAAGATGGTGTCAGACTTTCATGGTTCTTTGTGTTTTTCAAGTTTTTTAGCACAATTTTGATAATAATGAACTAAAATTTGATATAACTAATATACTTTAAAAAGTCATTATTTACAGCTTTTTGAATATCTACAGAGTGAAAGAATTTTGACGGTAGAGCTCCAATTATTTTGCGCAACCTTTTGCTCTTTGCTTTTTGTAAAGCTGTTAATATATTGAATATTTTTAAACCATTCCGATTTCGAAATATTTGAGAAAAATTATTTGTTTGTGATAAAACCGTTATTTTTGAAACCCTTTTTCGATATTGTTTACTGAATGGAAATATAGATTAGTTGGACATTCGAAATAAAGTGAGGAGAAATTCAGTTCACTTTAGGAGATTAGCTTTCGAGATAAAGAGTGTCAAATTTACGAAAAAATTCTGATTTTTTTTTAATTTTTCATACTTCAATGAACTGAAATTTGATGCATCTAATGCACTCAATATTTAAGGCATTTTCCAAGTTTTTCACATTTGACTCGAATTCAACAAGTTTCTAAAATGAGCGGAGAATCTAAAAAAAAAGTTGGAGAAAGATTAACTACCACCTCCAAACCACCTAATACATTCAATTATTGAGTTTTCAAATTGTATGAGCTGTACCAAATTGCAATTTATTATTTTTAAAATTTTATTCATAAACAAAAAAAACAAAAAAATGAAACTTTGACTCCCCGAATCTTCAAATCTTGAATGAACTTATTTTGAGGTGAGGAACGTGCTCCTAAGTGTATTATATATATCAATTGAAATGCAAATAAAAGGTAACATTTTTTAGCAAAGCTTTAAGCACAAATAGGACAATAATATCTTTATTTTCCCACATATTTAGAATACAATCCGTGTAATAAATTGACAAAAGTAATTTGCATTAAGTTTCCGAAGATAGGGTTTCGTCGAGTTCTAAAAATGGACGTTTGAATATTAGTACCCTTGTTTTTTGGACATTCGAAAAGAGTTCGTTGATTGATTGATAAAAATGATGCCAAGTGCCAAGCACTGTACCTTGCGGTGCGCATCTATCGACCTATTTGACTTTTTGGAGATTTTTAATTTGACACAAGTTGCTCTTTAAAATGATCCAAACCAGTTCAGACCTATTCCACGAATTCCGTAGTGTTTTATCCTTTTCAAAAGAATTTCGTAGTTTATACAGTCAAACGCTATGCTACGATCACAAAATATCCTTTCAGGGTGCTCTCCAGACTCAATATGGTTGATAGCATGCTCCAAAAAGGAATGAATCGCTGTTTGGGTTGATCTACCTCTTCTGAAGACGTGCCAAAATTTTGTTTTTACTTAAAAAATCGGTAAATGGGTCAAGCATGACGTATTCAAATATTTTATCAAAGCATGATGTGATTGCTATTGGACGATAATTTTCTGCAGAGTGCCTGTCGCCATTTTTAAAGATGGGAATCACACGAGAAATTTTTAGGGCTGTAGGAAAAACTCGCTCTACTAATGATGCATTTATCAAAGAGGTCAATAGGCACACCACCAGAGCCAGAGAATTTTAGATGACTTCTTAATTTTGTGAACTATTTTAATAGGAGCTTCTATAAAAAAGTTGTTCATGGAAGTGGCTAATGCGATTCCTTAATAATATTATCATTGCTTTTAATCTCAAAATTCTTTGGCCGTTTATTCCTTCCACTCAGACACAATAGATCAAGCAGTTTTATTTTGATTATCTGACTAACATTTTTTGCTCATAGTAACTTTTTTTTCTTATTATTATTATATTATTATTAGCAGAAGCCCCGTTTACATTTCAGTTTTTTTTGTTTCTTCCTACAATTTTAAAAATAATGAATGGAAATTGTACCCACGACGATGTCAATATTTGCCTCTATCAATACCTTGAGGGTGATACACTTTCCGAGGTATTACACAATTAAATCATCTCAAAAACTATGCCAGACATGACATCCTGATCTTGGAAATAAAGTTCTGTTTATATCACCCTGTATGTATACTGACGGATGTCAAACCTGCTGACATTATAACGAAAATTGAATTTATTCGTCTTGTTATTTGAATCTTTGACTTACCAAATAACAAAATCTAATTGGTAATAAATAGTAAACAGCTGCCGTAAGCCAAATATTTTTGATCTTGCAGATTCGTCGAATCGCTTATGCACTTACTTAAAGGAAACGTAGGATCGGGAATTTTCGCAATGGGTGACGCTATAAGAAATGCCGGTATAATCGTCGGTCCAGTGGTCATCCTAATTCTTGGGGTCATGTGTACCCACTGTCAACATTTGCTGGTAAGTAACCATCGAAGTTAAATTTTAAGCTTTATGTGTCCATCAAATTCAACGGCCACTCAGTAACTTGCTAGCCTTGAACTTGGCTTTAGTGTTTCCCGCTTAATTATGCTTATGATTTGGTCACAGGGGAATAACCGTTGCAAACACTAATATTCGAGATATTTTTTTTCGATGAAATGGTTCGCTTCTCGTAACTGTAACATTAAACGAAAACCAAAATAGATTTGTCTCCACTATGCCCCAAGAAGTCTGTAAATAATATTAGTACTATAAAAGTAAAAAGTACTCTAGATTTATATGGTGCCTGATAAAGCGCTAATTTTGATTAATTTTTCACACATGTTGATATAGAATTCCTCTATTACCTCTAATTGAAAATACTTATTTTAACTCCAAATTTTGCATAATGAAATCTTATATTATCCCCAAATTTTTCTTTTTTTATTTGTTTTTTCATCTCCAAGGGAAAATTCTTTTAAATGGCTATTTTACTGTTTTTTTTTAATTACAAAAAATTAATTTGTAAAACCCAATCTAATCAAATTTATTGGTTAATCTGAACTTTGGTAGCAAAATTTTACATGTTATTTAATTAACTGCTAAAAATTCGGAGGCTGATGACACTCTGCGCCATTTTCTTTTTAGCCACTGGCCACCGCACATTTAATCCGATTCCCGCTAAAAATTAATGGAATTTGGGCATATTATGACAAAATATTGCCCCAAAAATTCGACATCCAAACTGAAAATTGTCAAATAGACTGCAACCACGTTGACTGTTGAACGACACAAAAATGAAAGTTGCTTCTCAGCACTCTTTGATGTTGGCTGCGAGAGTGCTTAGTGTTATCAGCATAGGCATATTTAATGTTATAGTCAACATAGCATTCTGGCGGCGCAAACTGGGAAATCCAAAAGGCGGGGAAAGCAGCAAATTGTCTGTGGCATTTAAGCAATACAGTAATGAGCAACAAACGATTAGCAATGCTAATGTTGATAAGGAAAAACGGGGACGTTGAAGGTTGTAGTCAACGTGAGTTTTTGCGTTAACTTCGACGGTTGATAATTTTTATTGCCAATATGGTAAACAGTTTGATTATATTGCATAGAACAGGTAGCCAATTAATTGTACGGTTAATTTTCAGCAGAAATGATGTTTTTAATTTGGATTCAATCTAAATTTGGATTCAATCTAAACACTGCAACCAAAAACATAAGAATTGGACTTTTTGCACAGATTTTAAAATATAGATAGTTTTTCATTTTACATTATACTGCACTATAAAATGCAATCCCGACTGGTCGATCGAAGTTGAAAATCGTTTCTGGACGTCCTGTGTACTTTATGTAAACATGGCGTAATTAAAATATTTTAATAGCGTTATAATAGCTTTTTCCAATGAACGACAGGAACCGGATTTATCCGGCTTGATTACCTGTTTATGCACATAACAGCATTTTATATGTGAGTGTATTTAAGACGTTATGCGCCCTTAGGCAATAGCATAGAAAATTCATATTCGTCGCCTTAGATATGTTAAATAGTTGATTTGAATTGAATAATCACTTGAGTAGTATTGAAATTGCAAATGATAATCAATAAAATTTGTCGCAATTACCAGTAGTCAAGGCTATCTGTGAATTCAAGGGCCGATACTTTTCAAGTATTGACGTAATGTTAATTGTTTTACTCAGAACCTTGCCAGGCACGCAAAACTTTATGAAAAACTGCGACTTCAGAGAAAACTACTTAAACTGTCGCGGAACAAAGCCAGTAAGTCAAGGTCGGAATTGTTATTTGCCGAAAAAATGAACCAATAAAAGAGTTAATAAGTAGACGGGAGAGTCGGTTTAGAAAAGTAGCTGAGAATTGCCGCAAATCTGATAAATTCCGAAATTGTTAACATCCTGTTTGGTGTAGCTCGTAGGCAAAATAATAATGTAATTTTGCAATAACGACTAATTTAGTGGTGTAGGTACACATATACGTAATAATTATTAACGATGTGAAATACCAGTTTTTAGGAAGTTTTAAAAAAAAATTATTGTTAGACCACAATATTTATTTCCTTTCGCCACCAATGGATTACTTATTTTTACTTACATTATTGGTCTCATTGGAAATATCAATTTTAATAAACTTACTCTTTTTACTAAAAACACTCAGTATGTTGATTCAAAGAAATACTATAACAAAGTTATTCCGAATTTTTTGGCACAACCTGTTGAACACATTGTGTTTTTACATTATTTTCACTGTTATTTATTTGATCACGGAAAATTCACTGCGACCTTCTGCGTTTGCAGTTATCAGCCGCCAAGAACTTAACTGAGGAGAAACAACTAAAGGTCAGCCCGGACTTTGCGGAAACAGTTGAGCTGTGTTTCGCTAACGGACCGTCCAAAACCCAATGGCTGGCGAAGACTATGAAGAGGATAGTAAACGTATTCCTCTGTGTCACGCAGCTCGGATTCTGCTGCGTTTATTTCGTATTTATTTCGGAAAATATCAAGCAGGTATATTCTTGGAATGTTAATTTTTTCGAAATAGTTATTTGATTCAAACCTTACACATGTTTAGTAAAAATTAGCCAAAACTAGTGATCAAAGTTCTACAACAAATTCACAGTTTGTGATCCTTAATTATTGCGCAGAGTGTTTATTTGCGCTGGTTATGCTGTGCTTATTGGACATTCTTTATCTATTCATAAGTTTTGCACGTTTTGTAAGTGCACTTCAACACAATAAACACTTCAAATAAATTTTTCCATGATTACTGTTTCAAGGGCAATTGCATAAACTCACCAACGTAGATAATGACATTGCCATTCGCTTTTGTTCGTCTCCTGAAACCTGATATGAAAGTAACTCGCTAACTCCATTATTTTAATGGTGATTGTAATTGTACTTAAAGTAGGTAGAGCAAAATCAACTTACGTGTCGATGAAACAACGCCGCATTTTGATATCTTCATTACTGAATGTAGGGTGTTGTTTAATTTTGAAAAGTGCGGATAATAGTTTTAATTATGAAATGATGCAGTGTCCCACAAAATGATTACAACTTTCTTATCTCATGTATAAATAGTTGGCAGGGTCTTGATGACCGGCGAAGATATAACTCATTTTTCGTTTATGTATAAGTAATAATAATATTAACGAAATAATTGTTAAACAAAAATTCCGTAACTTGCCTGATTGTTTTGGCGAAAAATATTTGGTGTTTAATAAAAAAATACACAAATTTATTACACATAAATTGTTATTTCCGTTTTCATAAATCAAATCAAATCAAATCTGATTTACTTATATTTCATATTACTTTCAATTAATTTTTTTTGTGGTTTTCCTAATTTAAGATCCTGGACTACTATGGCTACGTCCTGGATGTTCACTTCCATATGGCAATTATTTTGCTGCCGATATTGTTGACCGCTCTAATACGAAACCTGAAGTATCTGGCGCCATTTTCGACGTTAGCAAACGGTCTAATGGTAGTCGGAATGCTAATCGTACTCTATTATGCGAGCCAAGATATTCCTCCCGTTTCGCAAAGGGACTACATTGCCGATTGGAAGCAACTGCCTCTGTTTTTCGGCACTGCAATTTACGCCTTCGAAGGAATCGGATTGGTAAGTGTTTCAAGCGAGTCCTGGTTTGTTTGTTGTTTGACTGTCACTGTTCTATAGAATTTTTCACATATTCGCAAATATATCTTTAATCGAAAATCACCAAAAAATCCCATTTTATGGTACTAGCAAGAAAAATACTGTTTCTCCCGTATTTTTGACATAATTTTATTTATGTAGAATGACTTTAGTAGTCTAGCAAATGAACGGCTGTGCCAAATCCAACATAGCATTAAGTGATTCTTTTTTCTTAGGTATTGCCATTACAAAACGAAATGAAAGAACCCGCCAAGTTTAGCAAACCGTTCGGGGTACTTAACGTTGGCATGGTAGCCGTCACCACAATGTACATAGTGGTCGGATGCTTGAGTTTCCTCAAATATGGAGACGATATTCAAGGAAGTGTGACTCTTAATCTCCCTGCAGGAGAAATGTGAGTGCTAAAAGCTATGTGGAATGGAAGAAGAAATCCAACTGCTGTGTTTTTATATTTTAGCCTTGCCCAATGTGTCAAAGTTGTCATACCATGCGCGATACTGCTGACGTACGCTTTGCAGTTTTATATAGCCGTCGAGATTATTTGGCCGAATGTCGCGGCCTTTTTGGGACCTGTGAAATACCCAGTTTTTGCTGAACTAGCTTTCAGATCATTACTTGTATTGGTTACTTGTAAGTATTTCCTTCAATACTATTATTTTTTATATTTCTTAAATGAGGGGTGAGGTCAATTAAATCCACTGGTTTTGTCGTTAGTTTGGGTTAGTATTTTTTAATGAATGGACTTTTAAAAACAAGCTATAATTTGTTTATTCTAATAATAATTATTGCATGCATCTTGATTATTTATAAAAAAATAATTTTATTTAATATTTTCAACTTATCCTATGCAAAATGTCAGGATCTTGATTCCTTGGCCTTGGACACCACAACTTTAACGTAATATTTCCAGTATACTTAAGTAAATAACAAACAAAAAAATCCATGAACTTCACCTAAACTGGATTGACACGGGCGTTATAGAAGAGTTAACCAAATTTGCTATAGAGAAAAGTGGCTAATAATGGAGATTGTTGTTTTTTACGTGTTCATTTTTAAACAGTGTGTCCTAGTTAAAAACTGTACACCCTTGTAAAATCTTTGTTTATGTTTGTTTATGGTTTGGTCTTGATAATTTTTTGTTGTTGTACAGATCTCTGAAAACTGCACTAAAACCTTGTTTTGCTTATTGCTTTAACTGAGACAAACTGAGGCTATTTAACAAAAGAGAAAGGGAAGAGTAAAGTACTATTTGGGATTAAAAATAAATAAATTGGCAGCAAATTCTTATTCAGGTGTACTTAAAACGAAACTATAGCAATTTTTATAATCCTTTTACTAAAGTATTTGAAATATCGTTTAAGGATGTGCATCGTTGTAAAATCTGTGATTATGATTTGATTTTCATTTTTTTTTTCTTGGATAGATCTCTCATAAACGCAGTAAAACTACATAAATGCTGAATACACTAATTTCCATGAAGTTTGCATACAGGGTTCTGTTAAGTATTTTAATAATTCAATTTTGTTGAATAGATTTCAGTGAAAGATACTAACGATTTTCTTAAAATTAAATATGATTAGAGAGGATTAGATATGAACTAAACATACTTTGCAACGCTGTATTTTTTAATTAAAAAGGATTTTTTATTCTCATCTAATAATGAAAATAACAGAAATATCCAAACTGATTGACGTCGACATGCTGTTTCCTGTGTTCGCCATGGGTAATTCACTTGCTAATATATATTTTAATTTTGTTCATATTATACCTTTCCAATACTAAGATTTATTAAAGCTGTTATTTTAAAAAGTATTTTTTATCATTATTTTTGAAATTTGTATAATTAAAATTTCTAAGATCTTAAAATCACTTACAATATAATCGTTATTTATTTACAAAGTATACAATATTTATTTTTTTTTTAAGATTAAAAACTTTGGACATTACTCTAGTTACTTTTAGGTAGTCCTGAATACGAATCTGTTGTCATTTTCAATTTGAAAAAATCTCTAAAAGTGCTTCTCGATTTTCCGCTTCAAAAAATTGAGTCGGCGAACTTCATGGAAATTAGCTAAGTTTTATGTAGTCCTGAATAAGAATTCTTAAAGAATCCTACCCCTAATAGCCCTTCTTAATATTTGACACCAAAAATTAGTACCAATAACATAAGATGTACAGCATTAAGTGGGGCGTAAACGATATTTGAAATACGCTGCATTGGAACATTGTAGAAATTGCTATGGTTGGGTTCTAAGTACTCCTGAGTAAGAATTCGTTGCCAATTTATTATTTTTTTAAATCCCTAATACTACTTCTTTCTTTCTCTTTCTCTCTCTCTCTCACCATGACCATGACTTTAAATTGGAGCAATAAGCAAAACAAGGTTTTAGTTAATCTTTGAGAGATCTATCCAACAAAAAAAATTATCAAAATCGATCCATAAACAAAGATTTCAAAAGAGTGTATAGTTCTTAAGTGGGATTTAATCATTTAATGATCGTTTAAAAATTTGTATTAAATAGATCTATAATTATCTAAATTCCTTAAAGGAACTACCCTACACTTATGCAGTCATAAGAGAGACCTTCCACTTAAGAACTCAATGAATGTGTGTGAAATCGACTGTTCTGGTACAAATAATTCATTCGAAATAATTTTTTTTAGTTATTCTGGCGGAAGCTATTCCATTCCTGGGTCTTTTTATATCGCTGGTGGGGGCGGTCAGCAGTTCGGCACTGGCGCTAATATTCCCGGCCATCATAGACATCGTTTGCGCAAGCGGTTTCAATCGGCTAACCAAATTCGTATTGATCAAAGATTCGATCATTATTTTCATAGGAGCTCTCGGAACGCTCACGGGAGGTTACGAAAGTATTTCCGCAATAGTAAAGGCTTTTGGATCAGGCGAGAGTTAGGAGATCTGCGCTGCTAACCCTGGAAGTTGACAATAAATGGAACTTGCGTTGGTAGGCGAGCCACAACTACGACGAGAAAAAACGACACTTTGAAACGAGTGAGAGTGTAATTTATTACATGTACATTGCATATGGTATAAAGTATTACCATAGGTAATGGGGTAATATGGCCAGCGTTGAAATGTATTACTTACCGTAAAAGTATTATTAGTAGTTCTTGATGAGCGAATAACATAAATAAAGATACATTCTGATTCAACGTTTCTGAAAACGCAAAACCAATAAATTTATTTTTAAAAATTGTCTATTATGGACCGAAAACTTTTCGTACGACCAGCTGCATATTGACGGAGGCACTTTCAGGCGTATTCAGTGATACCAATGTCTTTCCTGAACATTTGAGGTGCAGCATTAATATTCAGTATTAAGAAAATGCAAACTGCATCGGTCTTAAGGTATGTTGATGTTGTTGAATTGTATGCGAGTTGACTATTTTTTAATAGAATACTCAGCAGAAGAAACAGAGTGTGGACCATATGTTCTTCCGGGCCATATTACCCTTAGGTACCTCATTATACTATTAGTTTTACTTATTTTTTGTAGATTTCGTTAGACTTTAAAACAATTTGTGATACTTTTTACATACATTTTTTTAAAGGAGTTTATGTCTTTTACAATAAAATGACTTCTTTGAGAGAATGTGGGTTTTATTTCGTAAAATGAATACAATCGGCTAAATTATCATAGGTATTAAGGAAAAATGTTTTTTTTTTTTTCATTTTAACGTAAAACTAGATGAGTACCAACCATACGAACAAGCTGGCATCAGAAAGGGCTACTTATACAACGAGTCCAAATTTCCCCTTTATTTGGCATTCTCAGATTGTGAAAAACCATTCGACATAGTGGAACATAATGACATCTCAGCGGAATTGCAGGATGGACCGTAAGATACATTAGCCTAATACAAAGTACCATGAATCTACATCTACAATCTACATGAAGCTACATACTATCTCAACCGTAACGAACACACAAAACCAGTACATATAAAGGACATGCAAGAAATGCTAATGGAGGTAGTTGCACACCAACTCTGGCAAAGTTGGTTTGAAGATGTACATTGAAAAAAACAAGGTAATGTACACGGAAGAGAGACAACATGGAATTTAGAGTATGTGGGTTGGCAGGCGCGAAAACTCGCAATCAGCGTTGGGAAACTTTATTTGGTTTACACCGAAACGGGTTGAGATAATTCCTTAACAAAAGAAATAAGTTAAAAAAAACTATAATTGGCATTTGCCACACAAAAAATATCCAACCTACCTTAACAAAAGACCAGGCAAGCGTCCGGTAAAGTGTATTGACACAATACGGCGATATAAGAGGCCACAGGTTCTCCCGATATGAAAAATATCTCAAGATCTAGAAAAATAAGAACTATTGGGCCCACAACTATCTGCTACCGGCTGTAGCTCGATACGATAATCGTTTTATCGTGGGGGCGCCATCTATCAAATTATAATTCAACTCGCAGCAGCAAATAGAAATATAGAAACCGCTATCTGTCATAATGTGTTTCGGTACAGCCTGGACAGCCTTCGGAAAACTAAGCTATATACTGAAGAACCAATAAATTCAAATACATCTAAAAGCTAAAGTTTTTGACGCATACATCTTGCCAATACTTATATTCGCAGCACAAACATGGACCATCACAAAGAAGAACATGAACATTCTAAGAGTCACGCAACGTGCTATGGAAAGGAATATCTCTTAGAGATAAGATAACAAATACATAGATAAGATAAAGAACAAGGGTAACCGACGTAGTGCACAAAGCCCTAAGACATTCCCATTTCAATCTTAGAGAGATGGACGGATGATTTAAAACTAATCGCCGGCCGAAATTGGATATAAACATCCTATAGCAGAAGAAAATGGAAAAAGGAACTTGAAGAGGCGTATGTGCCAAAGTGGATTTAGAAAACGCCAAAAAAAAGAGAGAAGAAGAAGAATATAATGAAAATATCTTGAAGGGCTGAGATGTCGTCGGGCTTTTTTGCCGATACACAAAAATTGTCTTTTTTAATGTGACATCGTAACAATGACTAATAGCTTATTGCAATGTAGGAAAGTTTCTAACCTTTTCGGGCGGTTATAACTGTCTATTTTATTGGCCAGAGTATTCAATTTCAGGGTAAAATTAGGAGAAGTTCTAAAGTTCGCTGCTTGCTCAGTTTTATTTCGTGTTTTTTATTTTGAAAAATTTATTGCATATACTCCTATTAATTTAACGCCAAAACCGTGAGGTGCATTTGCAAAAGAAAATGTATAAATAGCAATATTTCGAAAGCTGTTAATATTATATGGATACTCATCCCAATAAACCTTATAACGCAATTACTAACAGAATTTGTTAAACATACCTTTTTCTCCAAAGAAAATTATTAAGGCGTTGTTAATTGCATTAGCAACCACAATTATAGCACGTTTACTGTAGAGCAAAATTGGTAGTTACGTCTTATTTGTCTTATATGTTTAGTGTCCTGTAGACATGAATTCCGCTGCTGTAAATTTTTATATCGACTTTTTTGTTGCATTAGAAAATGTGAAAAATCAACACGGCTAGTTTTAATTAGAGAAATAAGATTGTAAAATCGGCATATAAAGGACTATTTTAAAATACCGAATGAAAACTTTGTTAAGTTATTTCGGCTTAACAAAGAGGTCATCGGACATTTGACTGCAAGCACTGGGTTGACTACTAACTATTACAACTTAAATTCTTCCGATATCAAGTATTTTTAACCGATTACTGTGGCTTCTGTAGGGAACTGACTAAGTACGACCTACCATGTGTGATGCAGAACTTAAACGATGTTTTAGCCGAAATAGGTTAACACTTTCCACGTGTCTTGTGGAACATCTGTTTTTGCTCATTTTTTGTGAAGAAAGTGACTTTTTGAAAATGAAAATGTGTTTTTGGATTTCCCTGCCTCAGTAATTGATATCAAATGATGAAATTGAAGACGTGCTCATAGGCCCGTGTTGTTTTATGTTGTCTATCTCTCGAATTTGCTTGATTTAACTATTTATAATATAGCCCCAATGATTTATTGCCCCTCTCGCGAATTATTCTCTGCACCCCATGTGGTTATCATGACCACCATTCATATACAGGCAATACTCTTCGCCTTACCCCTCCCTTGTTTGAACGTCTCGTCTGTGTAAATTATAGACGGAAGCAACTCCGTTTTATTTTAAATGAATAGTGGCCCAATTGTTGTAAATATTTTACACTTTTACTTTGGTATCAGTTATTGTTTATCAACTTCGATTCGTAGAAGATTTTCATCATGCCTTTTTATCATATCATACGTTATTTGTTCCAGAAATCTAGATTCCTAAATTTACTTTTTTCGCATTTGGAGTTACACCCAAACCTCCACCAGTACAACGCGTTACTAAATATTGTAAAGTTATATTTCATGTGGGGCAATATTAAAATTTCATTATACATAAAAAAGTTGAAAAATAATGACCACAGATACAATATATTTTGCGTGGTTTTCTGTATTTTATCGCATCAGGAGTACTTATCTATAATCATATTTTCACCTGCCTGATTTCTATGGTGGGTTAATCTTCGACCTACGTCTATGGACGTAGTTTTATTACTATGTACCATTTAGAAACAGACTAAGTGAATTTTGATAATACTGTAAAATTTTTGTCTTATTTATATGCACTTATTACAAAATTCAGCGATAGCATTATCTCGTCGCACGTAGCAGGTATTGTAAATATGTCCACTATCGGGAGGTTTACTATCAGCGTAGTGTTACATCATGCGAAGAGAATTCCATTTAGATAACACAAACTCTTAAAAAATAAAACTTAACAGAATAAACCATGTTGTAAATTGAAAGAGTCGGTAGATATAACAGAAACTGAATGTTGACCTACTTATTGTAAATATTTTATACTTATACTTTGGTATCAGTTATTGTTTATCATCCTCGGTGCTTAGAATATATTTATCAAGCCTATTTCTCAATACTTTATTCGTTATATGTTTCGGATACCTAGACTTTTAAATATTCTGACTGGAACTCTTAACATGTAAATTTAGTAGTCCTAAGTCCTAAAACTTAAAACCTAATAAAATACATGAACCAATTAAAAAGTGCCAGGTGTTATGAGTGTTTGCTTTCTTCCACCGATTAATCAATCCTTAAAATTATTGCCAAAGTATATACAGGATGTTCTCTGTAAATCCTATTTTTTTCTAGATATTCTAGTAGCCATTTCCGAATTCTAAAAGATTCCATTAAAACTTGCCTTTTGTCATTTTTTTAAATCTAAAACCCATGTGTTGAATACACTTCCATAAGCTAGTTCTGTCACATTTAACACCGGTTTCATCTTTTTCAAGCTTCCTAATTAAGATCTAATGTAGGCACGCTTTGTTACTCGTATAACTGGTAAATTTTACGCCGCATTATATCTTGATCACTACACTCGAGAAAATGTCAGCATCGCTTCTTTTTTCCTGGTTGAAATGGGATTATTCACAGTTGATGTTGGAATTTTCGTCAATGTGGCCATTTCTTCTAAAGATGCTTGCTGGATCGCAAAACGTTCAATGAGAGTTAAATAAACGTTGTTTATAAATTTCTTAGTCTCAATAGAATAGTGTTTTTGTACATTTTAGCGGGAGCATCTCCGGAGATACACTAGACTCGCACATATTTTGCATAATTCGCACACGATTCAACACACGCTGTATTACACACGAAAACACGAAATAAGAATGATTACTAATAAACTTAAACTAAGTAGTATACCAAACGAAAGAATATTAAACGCAGGTAGGTATAAAATCATTTTCTATTACGGACCACAATTTTACCTGAATTTCACATAAGCGAGGGACACTCAACAAAACTTCAGTAATTAAAAAAACAAAATGTATCGAGCGTTATTTAATAAGTTTCCTATATTTCACACAGTGATTTCTCTAATATTTTTTAGGTAAATACGTGCTACACACGTGTGGTCTTCAAGATATAAGATGTCGGTAATGTAACTAATATTCATTACCTGCTACCCAAATGGAACATTTGAAGTAATGTTGATGTCTGGAACTCAATCGTTATAAAACACTTGGGTATAATGGTAAAAACCGCTTAGGATTATCTAGCAACGTTTCGGACTTCAAAGATATTTTGGGAAAATGTGCATTTAAAAAAATCGTGCTAACGTTTTTGTTATGGAAAAATCTGTGTTTCTACGAAATGTAAATATAATTTTTTAAACGTTAAGAACCGAAAACTGTTTTTTTATATGGGACAGATCGCACACAAAAAGCACATGGTTTTGATGTGGTTCTTAGAAAAATGTTAAACCAAAACCAAGATTATTTGCAGCTAAAACTACAGTTCGACAGCTACCTGAACTCCAAATATGTGTGCTAAGTCCTCTTCAATGATTCAACATTTTTAGCTTTGATCATTAATAAACAATTCGTTTTGAAATTATTATTTATTAATTTCGACATAAAATATTGCTTTGGAAATGTTTTCATAGAATCATTATCTACTTTATGAAAATTTGGCACCCTCTGCACTAAACAAACAATACGCACTGTAGAATAAACTCTTTAGCCTACCTGATCTTTTTTATTACTTATTATAAACGATTAACTTCTTTCAAAAACTTATGCATCGAATATTTCCAATCACAATATTTCGAAAACGCCTTTTAATAAGATTACACATTACATAAAAATAGTTTGGGAATTTATTTTTTTTTTACCAAGACCACAGTATCTTTTTTATGACGCTTTGAAAGTGAGAAAAGGCATGCAGGTAGTGCCCTTATGAGTAGAGGCTAAATTAAACACAAATTCAAATTTTTCATGTCAAAAACCCCTAATATTGTTTTAACCTAAAACATAGTCGAGGAATCACCCTGTGAAATATTAGACATTTATTAGATAACACCCTATATAGGCAAATATGTATTGCGATAATAAATAAATTTGCAGATAATAAATGCGGTGGTTAGAAATCAACATTTAAAAAAATCGTATCATAATATTAATATTGAAGTCGTTTGTGCATTCCATGCCATCATAAAAACTTTTTGAAAAAGTAACTCAGCTAACAAATTAATCCAAACGGTTCCAATTTTCCGGAAAAGTGTGCGTTCGCCATTAACCAGATTAAAACGAAGATAATTGCTCCGCATGGGACAAAAAGGAGAAGGCAAGAGTCGGGATATATTAAAACATGGTCTGTGGTGCGCGGTTTCGCAGCAGGGAATTCGAAAGAAGGGGATACGAACGAATGAGACGATACGAAAATAATCAGCCAGTTCGTCGTTAGTTGCTGAACAAGCAAAAAGCGTCAGTCAGTCGGTGTTTGTAAACAATAATCGAATGATAAGGTAAGCTGTAGTATTTATCGTACCTAATTGCGTACATGAAGCAGCGAAACTAAAATGATAATACTAATGTTGTAAGACGTCTATTTTAATTGAAAAAACTTAAGGCCCTTTACGTGCGGCGTTCTAATTTAAAAATCTCGTGGAGGAAGGCTTGCTTTTAAAGGCAGCAACTGAACTGCAATTACGAACCAATATCAAAATTTAAACTTTACCTTACATTCTCTATTTTTCATATATATTTTTTGTTTGTTTTTGGATGAAATAGAATAGAATAGAATAAAATGGCGTATTAAAAATGTGTTGTCTTGATTGGGTTCTTGGTTTATTTCCAAGCAATACATTATAAGGTGGCAGCAGGTTTTTAAAAATTTGATTTTATAAAAAATCATTTCGGTATAAATTAAAAAAATTATATATTAATTAAACAAGGGTTAATGTGTAACCGAAATATACGTTCTCTGTTATTCAAATTTTTTTGGGTAATTGCAAGGTAATCGTTAATAGACGATTCGCAGAATTGCAGTTGCAGCCAACGCACTCGGCTGATGGACGTGCAAAACGGCCTTAAAAAAAAATAGGAAAATTTTTCCGCTGAGTGGGTTACAGTTCACTGACTGTGTTGGCAATTTCTGGTTTGGCGAACACGCAACGTTTGCTGGCACTCGAGTTCAAATTTTTCTAGATAATGAAAATTCGCGGGGGGTCACGATATCAGGAGCGCGCCACAAGTTTGGAAATCGCGTTATGATTTCGTCCAAGGTCACCGTAAAGTCGCGCCATCTAATTTGTCATTTTAACCTTGTTATCGAGAAAAAAAACATGTTTATTTTGATCAAACTTTGATTTGCAACAATGATACCTAATAGTTGTAAATATTTTTCTGTGTGTTTCCACAAAACGCAAAACCAGCCACGTTTTGAATATATTTAAAATTGAAAACCAAATTTCAATCGAAATGGCGTCTGAATAATATAATAATAATTGCGCAATGTGATTACGAGGCTGGTTATTATTATACAGGCAGGTCAGATAATAATGCAAAATGCAGAAAGTTTTCAGAAACCTTTAATTCGTCGTAGTAAAAAAATTTATTACTAAAGCGGCCAAAAGAGGATCGTGGGAAACATTTTCAAATTTTCAGCTGACGAAACCGCCATCTTTAACTATGAAAGTGATGTTTCTCTGAAATCTACCCAGCAAATATAAATACTCTTTATGATAATAGTTTTTGGTAAAAGTTTTTGATAATACGGTCTTTTTGAAAATTTGAAGGAAAGGCTCTTATTGGATCTAATTTTGACATATTCTGCTAAACTCGTGACTTAATGTTCCCTGTGGAGAAACAAAATTCAGAACAGGAATCCATTTTTGAGAAAAAAAATATAGGGTCAAGCAATGCATTCTTATTGCCTGTTATTAGTATATAATGCAACACGTGTAGTAAACGGCATTTGACTCACGAGCTTATTTGGCACAAGCGGAGCGAATGTTTAATAAACGAGTGATCTAAAAAGTTTACTAAACGGGTTGCATACACTCTTTCTACTGATATGACCGTCAGAATTGACAAACTTCAAATTTTAAGCCGTGGCTCGGATCTGTGGAAAACGAAACTGACGTACGCTAGATCGGTGAATAATTAGGTATTTTAGAGAAGGAAGTAGAAAAATTATTTTAGGGGCTTATTTCCAAAGTTTATCACAGATACGAATAAAAAAGTATACACAAAATATGTGACGCTATTGATCTTCCTTTTCATAAATATTCCATTTAATATAAAAAAAATTATAAAACAATATTTCTTATTCAAACTGCTTAAGGTTTTAGATCTTCGATTATGATTAGTACACTGGCAATGGCTTTGCTCCAGAAAACTGATGCGTATGATAGGTCGAATAGGAATTGCAATCGCCCCCATCATCCAGGCCAGTTATTTTTAGCTCGAAATAACAGAATCCTTACAACCAGTTCGAGCAACACATTATGTTACTATAAGTTTTGCCGTTGTTGCATGTTATTTCCGGAGCTAGCTTTCAGGATGCGATTTCTGTCCAGGTAAATCAAAATGGTAAACGACACGCTATTGGACAAAACAGTGACGTACCAATACATGGACCTGCCCGTACCCAGTAATAAGTGTCTTGCCACGTACGTCTGGATAGACGGAACGGGGGAAGATGTCAGAGGAAAAACCAGGACACTTGATTTTGTTCCAACCAAACCATCAGGTAGATTGAACGACGACTACTACGCAAGCTATGCTTCATAAAAAATAAAAAAACGTTAATATAAAATCTGTAGGATTGATAGATTTTAAGAAAGAAAGTAATGGTCTCCAAAGTGCAGTGAACTGGATCTAAACTGGAATGGATCTGGTCAGGCAAATTTTATGCATAGGGAGACCGGTAGTAATGAGGATTGTTTTCTTGATCATACCCGTCAGCACCCATGACAGATAACTGTATTAAAAGAATATTTATAATATCTTTTTACCTGTTTCAGTTTTTCGAAGGTGAGGCGATTGTTGTTTGGAAAATCACTTACATTGCTTTTAATAATTAATAAATAATTTTAATAATTAATAAACATTTTTTATATTCTTTTATTGCATATGGTTGCAGTAGTGCAAGTATATATCTGCCAAAATAAAGCTCATCTTTTTGTTAAATTTGCATAATGTACCTGAACATGATCTTGTTTTTTTACATATAAATAATAACTCAGCGAATTATTATGTAAATATTATATCGATGACGATCATTTAGCTACCAGAGATGCTGCCTTTGCCGATAATATGGAAACTTATGAAGCAACTATGAAAAAAAAATTGAAACATGCGCATGCTCGAGATTTAATATCTCGAGTTTAACATGGCCTCTGACATATCGTCAGTTTGGATCTAATAGATCTAATAGCTATATAGATCATATTAGTAACAGAAATGTTCATTAGATTTTATTATTTGGTAATACATATTTGTGCGTATTATTCAGAAATAAAAAATAAATCAGCGTTTTGGTAAACTTTAATTATTAAGTTAGTTGTCATTAAAATAAAAATTAAATTTTTTCCTGTTTTCACGCAATAAACAATATTAAATGTACGTATTTGGGTAAATGCGTGTACAGAGTAAAGAAATATTTCGGTAAATAAAGTAACTAAATGACTAGAACATGAGCAAATCTACAGTTTGTGAGCTGAAGAAATATAGTTAAAAATTAGTTATTTTGTAGGAAACGATAAATCTGAAAATTTAACGATCTCAGGAGAATTTAATCTTCGTGTTCAGCTTGTGAAAATGATTTTTATTGCTGAATAATTTCGTTCATCATCTACTCCGTTTATGCAAATGTCATTATTTGCAGCTGAACGACGCGATGTCGTTTCCTTAAAATTAATAAGGTGTGCGTTTGTTTACGGGAAATCTTAAATTAAAATTTGGTTTGGGCTTCCGCTATTCGGAAATTTAATTACATCGCAGGTGACGTGGCATTTAATTAACGCAAATAGGTACACAACTTAGCATACTTGTATTCTTGAATACATTTATTTATGAATGGGTGTTTTTTTAGCGTATCCACTTTCTAGGTATATTCTAAAGACCATAATATACCGGTTGTCCCTACGCCCTCGTCATTTTTAAAATAAAAAAACAATTTTCAAAATTTTTAAGTAATTTGGACCCTGGTAGAAATTTTTAACGCACCTTTCATTATGTAAATATGTCCATTCAAAAACTTATTCAATTTTTCCTTATTATTGAATTACTTTTTTTGTCTTCATTGCTTTCCGGGCCTAAGTATCACGGTTCAGAAGGTCTTTTGTTCATATAAGGTGGTTTTCTTATAACTTATACAAATTTATAATAGTGTTTCTAATAATCTGAAAATTTTGATGTACATTCCTTTAAAAAAATATATAAAAGGCACATCATGGGTCCTTACCCATACTCCGGGCTTTTATGTTATTTATTATATATATAAATATATATATATATATATATATATATATATATATATATATATATATATATATATATATATATATATATATATATATACGTATATATATATATATATATATATATATATATATATATATATATATATATATATATATATATATATATATATATATATATATATATATATATATATATATATATATATACGTATATATATATATATATATATATATATATATATATATATATATATATATATATATATATATATATATATATATATATATATATATATATATATAATAAAATAAATTCTAAAAGAGACGATTTGACCCAGACAAGTCAAAATTTACAGTATCTTAAAGTATTAATTTCATTTCGAAAATTGTTTTTTGTTTCATGTAATAACTATTTATATATCATCAAGAATGGCACTCATTTGTCATTATTTTCCTGGCACACGACCAAGTCCCTAACTCCCCTATAAATTCTATTAATTAAGTCTGGTATTCGTATTGTTGAATTGTGGTTTTCCAAAAATGTCGAGGTGTCCCAAATTTTGTTTAATGTCGACGAATTATTTGTTTTTATCGTTTGTGTGGATGTTTGATGTTTCGCTGTGAACTCAGGTTATAAAACTTTTGGGCCAAGAAAGAGCAAAATTTGAAATAATTATATTTTATATCCACTTTTTTAGGACATTTGAATTAAATCAGAAATACTCTATTTCCATCTATAAAATATTACCAATGGGACTAGGTCGCGGCCAGTGGTAGAACTTCAAAGGACAAGCTAAGAATATTTTTTGGATACCGACATCATAACTGCTAAAGCTGGTTTCCCAAACCAAAGAGGCTAAAATAATAGACGTTTCCTACTAACAAATGAGAGGAAGTAAAATTGCCCATTCTATTAATATTAATATTAAATTTTGATATTATTGCATTTTAATTTTTCAATCAATCAATTTTCCCAATCATTGCACGAATCTAGACACCCTTCTTAAATGTTCCAGACCTTCCCGTATGGAACTACGACGGCAGTTCCACTTACCAATCGCAAGGTTCCAACTCTGACACGTACCTGATTCCTGTAGCAATATACAAGGATCCTTTTATCCGAGGCAACAACGTACTAGTACTGTGCGAGACCTACAAATACAACAAAGAACCCACGGAGAGCAACAAGAGGGTACGGTGCGCAGAAGCAATGGAAAAGGCCAAAGGAGTACATCCATGGTTTGGCATTGAGCAAGAGTACACTTTGTTGGACATGGATTTGAAACCTTTCGGGTGGCCTAAACAAGGTTTCCCGGGCCCTCAAGGGCCTTACTATTGCGGAGTGGGAGCTAACAAAGTATACGGGAGATCAATTATGGAGGCCCATTACAGAGCCTGTCTTTATGCCGGCATTAACATTACCGGAACTAATGCCGAAGTGTTGTTATCGCAGGTATGATTTTTAAATTTGTTTTCTCCGATGGCGACATTTTGATCAAACTTTTTTCCTAATAGTGGGAGTACCAAGTGGGCCCGTGTGAAGGGATTTCTATAGGCGACGAATTGTGGATGTCGAGATACATTTTGCACAGAGTAGCGGAAGATTTCGGAGTGGTCGTTTCGTTCGATCCCAAACCAGTGGAAGGAAACTGGAACGGGGCAGGGGCGCACATTAATTTTTCTACAGAAGCGATGAGAACTCAAGATGGGATTTTGTAAGTACAGAGATGCAACAAGCTTATACTATGTGGTGACGTCGGCATAACTGTTGCAGTGAAATAGAAAAGGCTATTGAGAAGTTGAGTAAACATCATAAGAGGCACATCCAGGCTTACGACCCTCGCGGGGGGAAAGACAACGAAAAACGTCTGACAGGAAGGAATGAGACGTCTTCCATAGATACTTTCAGTTCAGGTATAATAAAGAGTAGCCTTCAACAAAACTATAGAAAAATAGTTTAGATATGAACTTTGAACATTTTTTCCCTCTACAATTTACATGACGTTTGGCCAATTGACTTCCATGGAGGATTCTATTGTAAGCATTGCACATGGTGGTTTAGCCTCCGCTCGCCCCCGATAGATTCCGTTGCCTTGAATAATTGAAAAAATTGTTCAACGGATGTCGGTAATGAGCGAACGGCCATAGTACCATTGCCCAACTGTAAGTAAAAAACAATGATCAAGAAGAAAGATTTCGATTGAGGTTAGGTTATCTAGTCCGGGAATTAAGAATTTTTATTTGTCAGACCAACTTAAAAGTTAAGGAATACGAACTTAAATAGCTATAATTTTATTTCTCAGGCGTTGCGAATCGTGGAGCGAGCGTACGAATTCCGCGGGGCGTCGCCGAAGAAGGAATGGGCTATTTCGAAGACAGGCGACCATCGTCCAACTGCGATCCTTATTCTGTGGCAGAGGCTCTTGTGCGAACTTGTATTCTGGATGAATAAATGTCGAAAATGTTGGCGTTTAGATAAAGATTGTATATAATCCTACTTATATAAATGTTTATATTTTGAGATACCTTTGTTTTTTTTATGAAAATATTTTCAGGGCTCTTGCTTTTTATTCCAGCATTGGGCCAAATGTGCTAGGTGCTCAAAATTTTGAAATCAAATGTGAAATTTTTAGGTTAATTAAAATCAAAATGATATGTGATTAGAATAATAATTTTAAAAATTGACTTAACTCCTGAGTCCTAATTCTTATTCAATAAATTATATTCAAAGTACTTTATATTTTTATATACCCTTATCAAAAGCCTGATTTAATTGTAGTCTTTTTTATTTAACTTTACCTGCCAATATCTTTTACCACTTTTATCATATTACTCCTTCATGATCTTAATTTTGAAACCATTTTACTTTAAATTTTACAAAATTTATGGGACTAAGAAAATACTTGGACGTGAATGTAGTATTTCATCTGTTAATCTACCCATTATTACATTAAATGCCATTATTCCATAATATCACCATATTTATTTCTTCTAGCTGATTTTGGGAATTCTTCTCTTGCTTCTGTGGAAGGAACTGTTGCAGGCAATTGTCGCGATTCCTTAGGAGATTCCCTAGAGCTTAAATATAAAGAATCAAGAAACACTTTTTGGTATAGCAAAGACAAACCTGTAACTAGACAATCGTTTTTGTTCATATTCTTCTCTATTTTTCTTCCTTAATTCCTCGTAAGTGGTCACATGCTTTTGTTCGGGTGGCATTTCTTCTTCTTGTATTACAATTGGATCTAAAAAGTTAAACAAGTTAAAAACCTCAATGACATACAATATTAATAAAGATAAAAAGGAAATAAATCTTTTGCCAAAAGATTTTTTTCCAACTTTTTTCATACTGTCAACAGAAGGTCGAAATGAATCATCCAATCCATCTAATTGAGGCCTATCCAAGTCAATATCCTGACTTCCCGGACTAATGTCACTGTAACTATCTGTTATTCCAGAGAATGGACTCAAAGACACACTTGGACCAAATCCAGATTCAGTACTAAATAATAGGAGATATAGTAAGAATGTAATCTCTACAAAAATCATTTTACCCCTCTGGAAGCCTACCCTCCTTTCTGGCCCTTATCATCTGCCCCAGAGGACTGTTGGGAAGCTGCATAAGCTTTTCCGCACATTTGCCTTGATAAGAGAATTTTCCAACGAAATATCCAACTGCCACGGCTGCCATAACCTTGGGTGTAGCTCCAAACCTAAGATTAGGTGCCAATGTTCCTTAAATGTTGAGTTACTTACAGAGAAAACATTCTTTATATGACCTACCGGTTTTGACTGCGTAATATGTAGCCCCTCCTAATAGGGCGGAGAGTGGGAGGCATCTTTGGAAAAAGCTCTCCCTGTTGCATTCCTTTAACACTCTCAATTCGTCCGCTGTGAATTTGTACTAGAAAAAAAATTAGGAGAAAAATTGGCAACATACTTTAATTGTACGTTTTAGTACATGTTGGCGCTGCCGGGGTGCGTTGGGACCCGGAAACGGAGTACGCCTTTCGTTTTCATCAAAAAGGTTTGGATTCATCCCAGAATTTTAAAAAATATGGAGGAAATGGATTTAGGTTATATCGTATGTCATTTCCTTCTTCTTTTTTATCAATAGCCTACTGTCAGAATGCACGTACTACCAGAAAAAGAAGAAAACAAATAAAAATTCAAAAATAAAAACAAATACAAATAATTTTATTTATAAAAATAATTTATTGCTACGTTTTCTCAGTCGTACAAACCACAAGCGATTGAAGTCCATATTATGTTTATGTGCCTGTCGGATTTGTTTGAAACTTTATTATATTTTCCACATCGCTTATGAGTTTTGCGTACCGTTTGTAGCTTTTCCTTCATCTTTTGCTTCTGTTTTTGCGTGAATTATCATCAACTCGGTTTCTGGAGGTCCGGTGTTTTTGAGGGGCGTGTTCCACGATTTGAGTTCGGATTTGGCGAAAAGCGCGAAACCTAGACCGCTTACCACCAAAAAGAATGTTGCCACCCAAAATACCCTTTGCCACTGGTGGGCAGTTTGCTGCAAAGAATAAGTTGCTTTTCAAATTATTGAAAATAATGAATTTGTGATTATGGATGAACTTAACCGCCGACTTACATTCTGAAAAGTTAAGTATCCGACCAATGCCGGGGTTATAAATCCCACGATGGCGGCGGATGTATTCATCAACCCTAGTATAACGCCTAAAATTGAAAAAATAAGCAGTGTGAAACAGGTGGGATGACTATTGAACGGAATTTACTTGCGTAATTCGGACTGATATCAACCACGCTGGCCAGAGGACCCGTAGAAACTGATCCGTGCACAGCTACGGCGAGGGTGAGGAATATTATGGCCGCTAGGCTGTTACAGCCGGAGTATGCGAGCCCTAACATGAATACGCCTTGGCCCACACAACCTAAAATGTTTAATAATAATACATTATTTTTGCGCAGCAACAAAGAACATTCGACGTTCAATGAATGAATGAAATTCCATTTTACCCGAAATTCATGCAGACCTTTAGCTCAGACTCCTAATAAAAAATTTACAGGGTATCAGATTAATATAGCATAGCTGGTTTTATAAACACAAAAAAAATGCAATAATGCAAAATAAAAATATCTGCGTTTATATAGAACAAATAAAAATACCAAATGAAAATAAAATTTAAATAATAACTGACTTCAAGTTTATTCGAATTTTTAGCTGGAAACTGGAATGCGTTGTTCTGATAGTCAACAAAAGCTGCAGACTGAAGAATAATTACATAAAACAAAAAAAAGTGTTTAGATTTTATGTGCGTGTGTAGGCCCAGCATGGGAGCTGGCTCCCATTTTGTCACTTTTTTTAAAAAGAATACTGTTGTTCCTACAGTATGGCTCATTTTTTGTGAAACGAAAGATCGCAAAAACGCACTTTTCTTACCGCCTTTCCTTTCTGAGAAATGAGATATAGGAATTTCTATTTTAAAAGTACGCGCGTTGAGAGTAGAATTAAGTGCTTCTCTCAGAATGAGTATATGAGGTTTAGTTAAACATATATTGGACCCTATTTTTAACATGGAATAATATTTTTATTGAATAATTGAGCTTTTTCAAAAATAATTTTGGTTAGTTCAATCAAGTACATCATACTTGTTTTGGTGAGTTGAAGTTATTTTTTGGAACTGACATTGATACAGAATAATACGGACTTTCAAAAATACACGATGTTTATAATTATTTTATTCTGATATTTTCCGATTAATCCCTCCAAAAAGCGTTGTGGAATTGACCTCTCAGTTGATCGGAATAACTTTAAAAATACAGTGAAATTTATATTTATTTAATTATTTTTATTTATATCTTGTGTTCTGATAACTAAATGGAGTGGATATTTTAATTGAAATTTTCCGAATCGCTAAGCATCGTTTTCAGGTATTCCTTGAAGAGGGTTATAGGTAAATTGAACATCACAAACGCATAATAATGTATTATAAAATACATTCGATTATTAAATAATGATAGATAACGCTCTACAATGGCAAGATGTTATTTAAAATATTTTGATCGAATTTGACTAGTCAATTAAGAAATGGTCAATTGACCAGCCCCCCCTCCCACATAGCTAACTATTGAGCATGTTTTCGAAAGTAAATTTACCTTACTACATATTTTTGAAAAGTTTATATCAACCTAATTAAAAAAACAATGTACAATCTGCTAAATTTTAAGACATAAAGGATGGCCAATAAACTTTTTGACTCGACCTCGTATTCTGCGCATAAAGTTCTTTATTATTATTGTTGTATTGATAGAAGTTTTTCGATAAGTTATCACATGAAAACTACATGGGTCACTTAAAAATTAATATTTTCTACTTAAAAAATGGAATGGCCTTTAAAAATCGCTCGTGTCGTTTGCGTTTCTTATTAAAGAACCTCACCATTTCGAAGGCCGCATCTTTCTTTCGTAAAAGTGTCCAAAATGTACACGTATAGTTTCGCGCAATGAAAACAACGATTTTGTGCCAAAAAACGACAACTAATTGTTTGGCATGAATTTTATGCAGCGCATATTAGCGACCGAAATGCAAAATCCTGACCCGAACGTTTCGAAAAGGTTTGTTGGGATAAACAATTAATTAAAAAACAAAAAAATTACACGCGATCGATACTCACAAAATCCCGTTGCCAATTTTCGAACATTGGTGCGGTTCATTTTGTTTGTTCTGAGCAAGTAATCCCCGATCAACGAAAATGCGTAGGCCCAGAGCATTCGGAACATGTGGGGCATTCCGGAAAGCAACCCCGTCTAAAAACATATATCAGGGTACACACATGGAGTTTTCCGCGTAATTTAAAACGTTTCTATCCGATAAGTTGTATCTGGTGTTTCTTTTACAATTCAGGACAAGAGGAAAACATTCTTTTCGATAAAATTGTGGTAAAGCACGCTGCATTTCGAATTGTATAAATTTGGATGCTTGTGTTATCGAGTCTGCTATATCGAACTAAAATATTTTCAACGACGCGTCGTTGTCGCTTGTAAAAAGGGCATATGGCAACATCGTTGTCTCTAAACGTTTCATAACATTTGTGGATTTACTGCTCTCTTCCAATTATTTATGCGTAATACTTTAGAATACCCATCTTCATTATTTTTATTTTGCTTTTCAAAAATATGCCTATAGAATGCTGAAATTCTGGACTTACTTGTGAAAACTCTGTATGTTAGACTACTTTTTATTAACATTTATTTCAATATGATCCTGAAGAGACGCTCAAAAATTTCGTGCAAGTTTTGAAATTTTCTAAATAATCACCATAATTCTTACAAATTTGGACATGTCCTTATTTAATGGCCATGAAACGCCATGTTGCTTAGCATGTATGCTTCACAGCTGTAATTTTTTACCTCTTACTGTCTTGTGATTAAATGCCTGTACTCAGTAAAAGAGTGCAGGCATTTTCCTTCCTTGTTTATAGATTGCTGTCTGTAGTATTTTTTATATATAGTACATTATTTTACAATTTCCTATATCTACAAATATTGTATTTGTCGATTTGGAAAATAGAGATTGTTATTATTATTATTATTATTATTGTTCTTATAACGAGAAGCAGGTTAAATCCAAAAGTTCGAGACTAATTTCTTGGTACAACAACGATCTAAGTTGCCTGCATGATAAGTTCTTACACGTGAAGGCTATGGCCATAGCGTCTGGCAGTTCAGATCATTGGCAGCAGTATAGAAATTTAAATAAACTCTATAAAAAAGAAGTTCAGTCGACAAAAGCTGCAGCTTATGGTCAGTGTATCGAAGTGAATAGTGAAGATGCAGTAGTTCTAGCATGCCCTGCTGTTCATAGTTTACACCAACGATTTCTCTTTCCACATACTATGTAATACTACCATCTGCGCGGATGATCCAATTCTTTTATCGCGAGATAGGAACCTATATGAACTTAGTATCGATAGTGTGACCAACAAGACTAGAGCGCTTGGATGGTTCGTCTCGAACTCGTTACAAAAATTAAACTGATTTTCTCTTGTAGCAAAGTGCACAATAAGGTCCTTGGGGTCTGGATAGAACGTTCTCTTTCTTGGAAAAATCACATTGAACAACTTTTTCACAAACTGTCAAGTCAATTGTTTTTAATTAGATACTTAAACAAGTCACTCATGGCTGTCATGTCAAGACTGGTTTCTTTTGATTATTTCGTTTAATACTAGCAATTTGGTACGGTTTTCGAAATACAAATTTGATTTTTTTCCTCCAAAATATGATACCACTTTAAATTTCTTAGCTGCCATTTGAACTTAAAAAACCTGAAGTTTTGTATTGAATTTTGCCATAGCCATGTGTATTCGATTTAACTATAGAAAAATTCTGATATATATATATATATATATATATATATATATATATATATATATATATATATATATATATATATATATATATATATATATATATATATATATATATAAGGAACTGAAGGTATGAAAATAAAGATAAGGATTTTGCTATATGTTGTTATTGAAATATAAGTGAAAAACTAATGGCGATTTCGAAGATTATCAACTACAAAGATCACCAAAGCGTCATAGGTGTTTATTACGTACATGAGTATAATAAAATTTTACGCTTATCAATATTATACGTTATCAAATCTGAATCCCGTGACAGTTTAATTGACCCCTATTGCAAGTAATTTCACTCGTTTGTGTTTTATGCCTGTGTGGGATCTACCCATAGAATATTCCCGTCAAGAGAATAGAGTACTTTTGGGTTCTTTTTACTTACGGCCTTGATGTTCCATCCATGTATAAACTTAAAGTAAGTCGGAGCGTGAGTCATTAGGGTAAAAAGTCCCCACAAGCCACCGAACTGGGTCAGTATATTCATCCACACGGTTCGGCTTTTGAAAATGTTCGACCATGGTACCGATGACTGAAATTTCATCATTTCCTTTTAATAATATAATAATAATACAAATAAACAAAAATACAAAAAGAACAACACATGAAGAAAGGAGGGAAAAAGGGAAAAACGTGGAAGACTGGATCTGCAAGTGTGCAACGAGATTTTATCAGCGGTAACTAGGAAGTTTGGTGCAAGTTTTCATAAAGTTTGGGTTACTGCATTTGTCGTATAAACAACGCCGAAGAGCAACCCTGCTCCAAACTTGTATCAGGTGTGCGGTGCTATTTGAGAACCACCTGCGTTTTAGCGACGCTCTCTCCCAAGCTCGCCAAAATATAGTCTCTCTCGTTCTTCGATATCCTCGGATGCTGACCCGGCGAATCGTACACCAACATCCACCACGCGACGAACCACACCGTTCCGAAGAAGCTGCTGACATAAAACACGTACTCCCATCCCCACCTGTCGATAATGAAACCACACACTGGATAGGTCAGAGCTGTACCCACAGAACTACCTGCAGCAAAAAAGTTGTCAGTTTTTGAATTGAACTTTTTGTCTGTATTGAATTTAGGGACTTCATTTTTGAAAGATTGAAGAAGAAAGAAAAGAAGAAATAGAAAAAATTGTTTCCAGACTTATGTTTAGTAGAGATTATTAAATTATAAGTGTATCTAGTCTAAATAACGGAATAAAAAGGAGAAACGATTTGTTCGTATTTTGAAAAAAAGGAAGTTGTTTGTCATTAATTCACCTAGATAAGCCGTCACAAATTTGCTTCTTTCGTTTGGAGGTATCCATCGCGCTGTTAAGTTGTGCATCGATGGCCAAGCAAACCCCTAGAATAACAGTTTTGAACTTTTATAAAAATAGTGCTGTTACCCTTTGCAGATAATAATAATGGATTCATTAAGAAAATGACTATTCCAAAAGACGTAGAAATTCAAAGTAATTAGTAGTCTCTCATTTAGTCATCAGTTTTTTTGGCACTCGCTAATCAAATAACGAGTGTCTTGACATGTTCATCATGGCCATTTGTTTTTGAGTATATTTTTGCAAAACAGCATACTCGCTATGATGTGACCAAAACATCCCATGGCTCTCAAACCCATGACTAAAGTGCCGGAAAGGTCGGTCATAATGTTTAATGAATTTAACGTCTTAAGGTGACACTTTGTGCATGCCTAATAGTTCATTGAACATTTTAGAGTAGGGAGTAGAAAAAACTTTATTTCTAGTCCGTTCAACAAAAAATGATAATTTTCGCATGTTAAAAGTAATGTAACGATGTAAAATAAACACATAATTTTTAATCCCTGCTTCGTTTTCCTTTCTGTGTGTGGGGGCACGACACATTAATATATCTGAGAAATGGCAACCTCAAACGGGTCAAATCTAGGTCAAGCGCAGCTACCAAAATGATACAAGCAAGTTTTGTTTACATATGCCAGCGAACATGTCGTACAGCTGCATTAATTAACCCTGGTTGAAGCTTATATCGTGTTTCTTTTGTTGTTCATATCTATTCTATTAGACAATTTGCCAGATAATAGAAAATTAAATTATTTAAAATTTGCCGGAAGCTATAAGAGCTATGGAAAAATATCTTACATTGTTTTTCAACGAAAAAAAATCTTTATACAATTTCATGTAATTGCTTGGAATGGTCATTACAGATTTGGAATATCTTCATTTGATTGATGGTAAATTAAATTGAGGTTTTCCGATAATATATTGTAACACATGTGTTAAAAACTATGGAAAGAGGATATTATTTGGAGTATTTGTTTAGTCATATGCATTTATTTTATAACCAAAAAACAAAATGAAATATCCGAAATCTTTTGAGACTACTCAAATAAGAGCCCGAAGAATGAGTAGACATCTTTTTTGTTAATTGGCAGACTAGAAAGAAATCAGCATTAATTGAAACCGCAAACAATTTACCTTTTCAATATACCTACAAAAAATTGGTTCTCTAGACTGTGTTCTAACCATTTCCACAGCTTATATAGTTACCGAGATCTCCTATTGGAAGATAAAAATTTTTCCATCTATGTCTCCAATTGATAGAGCGATATTACTCACACATATCAATCCTTGCACGAGTCTGAGCAAAATGAGCGAGGTGTGTCCCAGCCAAGCACAATAGGGAATAGCGAAACAAAGAACGACTCCTCCAAAATTGGACAGCCCGAAAACGAGTTTGGTGCCATATTTTCCGGCCAAGATACCACCAGGAACTTGAGTCACCCAGTGCAGCCAAAAGAAACTACCCAACACGTATCCCTGGACTTTTTCATTCCAGTCGAATTTTGCGTCCTTGTTTTCCGAAAAATTGCCAGCCCGGACAACTGCGCTTTGATTCGTCAACGGTTCGTGATCTGAAGTGTTGAAAATCTAAATATTTCATTCGTTATTCGACATATTCCGCGATATTCGCTGGTACTCACTGTACTGCCAGTATCGGATTTGTTTAATAATAACGACGACGTCGGTGCATCTATTATGCATTCGCTGGATATGGAAACGTTATCTTTGGGACGTGGTTGCACCATGGCGACTATAGCTATGTTTAGGTTTATCCTGATCATATAGTTCACTGCGAATCCAACGAAGACGAGGTACCAAAGGACGTCTCGGGCAGAGCAACAATGTTTTGATACTTGAAATGTCATATATCATCAGTCACCTCTGACTAATCAAAAGTATTTCAAAAAGTTTCCAAAACCAGAACCTTAATCGACATCTAGTAATCACAATATCGAGAGTGCGAAGGTGAACATATTTATTATGAAATTGTTGCACCTAGAAGAACGATGATGTGATTGAAACCGTCATGATTTTTAGTAGGTAATAACCTTTAGATAAATAAAATTTAGCCTTAATATGCATATGACAACCAACGTACCGAATAGATAATATAAACATTTTTATTTTACCTTTAATTTCGTTTCCTTTTTCCATGACGACGCCGCGAAATCACCACTTAAGTTTTGTGAAAGAAAAAACACATGCTACGAAACCATTGTGATAGGAATCTTTACTCTCACTCTGGCCACTGTTTGAAATCGTGATTTTTCCATTTAAACGCATATCTTGTAACTTTAGATAATCGTTTTATCTCTATTGTCTTTCTATGTTAGTACCCGATACTGTGTTAAACGTAGGTACTTAATAAAGGAACATTGTAAATATATCTTTTGTACACTGGCATAATGCGTGTTTGCATGATTTTTTGTTAGCGCAGTATACAAGGTGACCGAAAAGCGTAAACACCTAAATTAAATATTTGTTATGGTTTGTTAAAGTACCCAGTTATAGCATATAGTTGTGTTTTAATGAATACTCATTCGCCTAATCAAAGTACGGTATGACTTTTCTTTATGCTATGAAATTATTTTCGTGTTTCGGAGGCAAGTAATTTTGCCATGGCCATATCCAAATTCTCATTCTCTATCCTTCTTTGTAACTGATGAATTAAAAAATATAGTAGCGATTAGTTAACTAGAGAAACAATGAAATTCTGAATTTTTGGATTTCGGAGTTTCGTTTCATTTCATTTCAAAATATTTATGTAATTGGATTATTGCTTAGTTTACATTATCGTTATATTAGTTTAAAATATTTCAGTTAATCGGATTAATAGGTTATTGACACGTAACTTGTATGATAACAATTAGATATAATACAATGCAGTTTACTCATGAAGGAAAAAAAATCAAACACGATTAATCCGTACCTTCATGAGTTGTCGTATTCTTTAAACTTAACAAAACATGTGCTTTCTCATCATACACCACCAAATTAAAAATGAAAACGCCCAGGAAATATCCATGATACTGCACTGTATTGTTTTAGTGACAGCTAAGAAGAGTCAAGCCAGTCAAGTTCGAGTTCCTTGTTTGGACAATTATTTTGGATTTTACCTTTGCATCATATAAATTGCGATTCCCCGAAAGTTGGAATTACTAGGGAATATCTGACTCGCTAGGTAGAGTAATATTTCATATACCAAAAAAGATAAAAAGATGAAATGTATTTTGGCATTTTATCTATTATTTTCATAATTTTAATAATAAATAAAATAATATCGAGTAGCTCAGATCAGGATTTTAAGCTAGACTTTGCCGTTTGAGATGTATAACTAAATTTTTTGCGATTTGCATTTTTGACGAGTTTTTATTGCTAATCAGGGCTGCCAACTACACCGGCATTAGCAAAGATACATTAGATAGGTACTATAGGTATTATCTAGTACGCAATCTACAAAGTTACTACTCAGCTTTGTATTTTAAAATCTTTTTGTCCTAGAGGGACGCATTGTTTCCCTGAACTTTGACAAAATGGATATAATTTTATTGTGCATGCATCCAGTATAAATTCTCGTTTGTCAATAATTGATAAACCCTGTATATAATCGAAAAAATGCTTGAAATAAAAGTTATAGGACCGAATCTTGCACGTATTCCCGCAGAAGAATTTCGCCGATTAGGTTAATAGTTTTCGAGGACATTTGTTTTTCTGAGAGATAAAATAATCCAAAAAAAAAAATAAATTAAAAAAAAAACTTAGTATAGCATGAACATTCTGTACAATAGTTTTAGCTGTCTATATCTGCTATATGACTATGTGAAAAGGTGAAGCACAGCCTTCTAGTTATCGTCAATTACTATGAAAAGGTGACCTCAATTTTCAGTTTTTGCGAATACCAGCCACACCCACCCATTTCTGAAAATTATGAAGAATAAAAGTTTATAGAATTTGATCTCGCGGATCTTCTCGTTTACAGATTTTTTCCTAAAAATTTTTCGAAAATTGATTTGTTTCTTAAACTCCTGCAGAAGCGATTTTTATTTTTTTTTAAATAATTCCCTACCCCCCAGCCCCCCAATTTCAATAGGTTCCGTTAGGGAGCTAAGCTGTATATGTGGGCATCGATAGATTCAAAGTTCAGACACTTATCGTGTTTCATAGCGATGTTCAAAATTGAAAAAAAAAAGATGGCCGCCGAGGTTTGATCGCGCCCATTTTTACGTATGTTGTGCATCCCGTGGACTGTTAAAAAGGTGCAAATTTTTAACCGTCTAGCTCAAACCGTTCGGAAGATCTTGTCGGAAAAATCCATGGAAAACGGACAGACAAAAGTAATTTTTTTTTCGATTTTTTTCGTTCTGTATCAATGGGGTTCCTTGGACCTACCGTTACCGACATCTTGAGTTTAGTGAGGAGAAAACCATCGACTTTATCGATTTTTCGAATGTAACAATACAGTACAGTATGGAAAATAATTTATTCAAAAAAAAATAGTTAAGAAGTTGACTGTCTGATATATACTGGGGATTGGTGTCTTTTTTCGGCGTCCCTCACCTCTTGAAATTAAAACCATTTCAAAATGGGCTAGAAAGTCGGACCAAAATGAATTGCAAAACAGGAAGGCTAATTTAATAAATTTCGTAGCAATATAGAGTGATGCAAAAAGTTAATTGTCTTCATAAATCATCGCGGAACCCTTTCCGACATTTTATTAATAAAACTGGAAATTGGAAAACTTTTGTCAATATTGTTCAGGGAAGTAAGAAAAAATATATCAACCTCTCGCGTAATTACCACTTAGAAAATACATATATTGATGGGAATTGATGTTTTCGATTTTTTGTTTCGGGTGACTGCCAGATTTAATTTTCTGCGATATTAAGCAATTCCCGGTGCTCTTTCACCGTTTCATAAACTGATTTATGGCAAGGTTTTACAGCAATGTGTCACTTAAATTTTATCCAACATAGGAAAGATTAATTATATAATTATACAGGAAATATCTAAAAATACAAGTTTTGAGTTTCTCAATTTGTAAAGGAAATATTGGGAAAAAATACTGCCAAATATGCAGGCAAACCAAGCACGGTCAAAAAGCAATTTTTAAACATTATAATTTTTCCACAAGTTAATTCGTTTTTATGAATTTCAGAATTTCGCATAAGTTTTAGTGGGTTATAATAATAATAGTAATAATAATAATAACAATAATAATAATAACAATAATAATAATAACAATAATAATAATAATAACAATATTAATAATAACAATAATAATAATAATAGCTTTAATGCTCAACAGAAAACAATCCATTTACAGAGCAATGTATAGTAACAAAAAAAAGGGAACAGTATGTAATATAATGTAACCTAACCTATTCTAGTGACTAGTTCGAGCAGGTTGACAAAGTGAGCTCCAAAGAATTTGGAATAACCATAGATCTTGATTCGAGCTAACGACGGCTAGACACCAATATTTCTCAATTCCCTCAGTCCACAGTTAAATATGTCACACATGTCCGAAACACAATTACAATTGGAACATGCTATATTTATAGGCGAATTTTTCAATAGGTTTGTTCTTGCCAGAACACAGTGAAGCGTGTCTTTGGCGCGCGAATTGAGTCATGGTACACGAATATCCTAAATACTCTATTAGATTCGGACTATCTATAATATTGTGTACAAATTTATAAACAAAGATAACTAAGCTAACACACTTCCGCCTACATTTCATTAAAATTTTCCAAGTAAAATTTGTAGTTTATGTTTTGAACAAACAAATACTTCAAAAACTTTTTCTGTACACCATCGACCGCCCAACTATGACAAGAGTAAATCAGATTCCATACAACCGAGGCGTATTCAAGCTTAGATCGAACATAGCTAAAATACAGGGCCTTCAAAGCAGCAATGTAGAATTGCAGTTGCGTACTATAAAACCAGAATTACAGTTAGCCTCAGATACAATGCTCGTTATGTATTCACGAATGTAAGTCTTTGATTGTATCTGTAACACGCCGGAGGACAATATTTGAGATTCTGTATTGAAAATCGATAGTTTCATTCTTACGAGTGAAGCTTAGAACCTAATATTTATCTACGTTAAGACTCAATTCATTTGAGATACACCAGTCAACATCTACTGATCTCTGCAACGTAACGCAATCAGCAATACTGGAAATGGAAGTATAAATTTTTAAGTCATCCGCAAATAACAGGTTCTGAGTATCATTAAGATTTGAAACAACGTCATTAATAAAAATTAGAAATAGTAATGGTCCTAAGTTAGACTGGCGTGGCAGCAGAAAATTTATTTGAAAACAAAATGGAATGCAGTCAAAACAAAAATTTTTAACAATCTGTGCTCGTTGGCACTTGAAACGAATTATGCAAATTTAAGCAGGATTTTCAAGTAATCCTAGACGCTCTTGGTTAACACTGTTATAATATGTATTCAATTTTCGGCAATGTCGTGATAATAAGCAATTTATATCCAAGCAGACGGATATGCAAAACGCCTGCCAGGAATAAAACACAACCATTAACATTTGCTTCGATCGGTGAAGCCCAAAGGTTGAAAATATTTCCATTTTGTTTTAGCTCAACATATTATTACATATTTGTAGACGGGCCGCAATTTTCGCGCACAACTTCTAAACCCAAACATTCTCCCCAATGCGCAACAATAACGGATAGTTAACGATGAAAATTACTGACCAGGCGGAACTACTTAAATGCGCTGTCTATATATTTTTTTAAACGTCTCGCACGGTTTCGCAGTTGTCTTAAGGGTATAGCAACTGCAGCGAGAAGAAACTGTCTATCAAGCTCTGCAGAAACAAGTAAAATACCATATAACGCAGAAACAGATACATATTCAGAAAAACCATTGGGTAACAAGTAATACAAATTTGGTTGTCTGTTACAGGTTAACATTAAAATGATATTTATTTTAGTATAATTAACTAACTGAAAATTTTTTTTTATTTCTATTATTTTATTTATATACCATAAATAAATTTGGATTGTGCAAGTTAAGTTCTTCCGTTCCGGTGGACGTCAAATTGCCATTCTACCGTCTTGCTTGCATAGTCCACTGAGAGCAATTCATTACTGGATAATCGTAAATTGACCCAGGAATTTTGTACTAGCGGATGGGGAGAACGCGATATATTCATTCCCGATATTGGCAGCCTGTAACGAACTGAAACAAAACTAACCGAGAGTTTTGGCGGGTAGACTTGTTTATTATGTCAGATTGTTTTGAAGGTTGATATGATTTGACATTTCTTGATACTTACGATTTTATTTCGGCTTTTGACTCTTTTGATTGTAATTCCTTGTATTGTTGTGCTTTCTGGTGTTTTCGTTTAATTTGTGTTTGATTTATTGAAAATGGATAGCGTTAAATGCTCTCAGTGTGAACAAACCTTCAGTGCTCGTTTCAATTTGAGAAAACATGCAAAAAAGTTTCATCCAGGTAAGAAAAGCCAAAGCTAAAAGTATTGTCTTTAAGCACAGTGTTCAATTTTGAGATTCAGTTGATATTATAGCCCCGAGAAAACAATATAAACATTAGTGTAAACATTGTAATAAGAATTTTAATATACTGAAAGACTTTGCATACCATCAAAAAACCTATCTTCTATCAACACTTTGCCAATTTTTTTTCCTAGGAAATAGTTACTTCTACGGCTCATCGTTGCTCTATTTGT